TGATTGCAATATTATAGCGGCCATTTCGCTCAGAAAAGCGCAACAATAAAATCTAGCGTGTTATGTTGACATTCTGCATATTTTTATTAATAAATATATTGACCTGCGGTTTTCGTTTTTTTTTTTATTTTTTTTTGTGTTCTTTTTTACCAATGTTGATAAGTATACCGTTGTATATAAAATTTTCGAAATAATTAAAAAAAAACAGTGACACATCCATGAAACGCTACCTAGTGGTCACAAAGTGAACTAATTTGACAAGATGAGCCATGAGTAGGAGCGCAGGTGCAATCTCTTAATAAAATCAAGATAGTGAAAATTAGAGCAGCCATACAGAAGATATATTACCCTAAGCAAAGCAAAATATAGAAAAATGACATTGAGAAGAAAGGTCGAACATTTCTTTGGCTACTCCCAGCCTGGTGTAGACTTGGTACTTTCAGACAATAGCAAATTTATACTATATCCAAATTGTGCGAACTATCGAAATAAGTCAGCACGAGGTCCTAAAGACATTAGAACCTATAGAGTCGTAACGGTGAAAACATCTTGTCTATTTCCAGACAGGAGTTGCTAATACAAGTCTGAATGAACGGTATGTCAAGCCGAAAACTTCAATATTCAGGAAAAACAGAGGCGTGGGACACTGGACAACAAATTTTAGTTTTTTAATTGTATCTTGTGGGAAAAGTGCACTTCTTTGTTAATTTTGGGGCGCTGAATCCAAAAATGATAATGAAATAAAAAAATTAGTTGCGGTTTAGAAAAAAAACTTTTTATTTTTAAGGGTATATTAAAAAAAGTAACAAGATTCATATACTTATAAGAATCACTATATGCGCTGTGTTTTTGCTGTTCTTTTATGGATCGTTTCTGGAGCATCTCTACCAAGAGTCCAACAGTAGTCTGCAAGCATGGAAGGATTCCACTTTCGCTGGTACCTCTTTCCATTGTTGAAATATCCTGATGAAAACGTTCGCCGTGCTCATCACTTACGGCTCCGCAATTGTCAGGAAAAAAGTCCAGGAGTGAGTGTAGGTAATGCATCTTAAGAGACATATTACAGCCCATCTTTTGATACGGTGACAGCATATTTTTGACAAGGGTTTTATAGTCGTCAGCTTTTCTATTTCCCAAGAAATTAGTGACCACCAGACGGAAATCATTCCAAGCAGTTTTTTAAATACCTGTTAAAGTGTTTTCAAACTGTGTATCTTTCAAAATATTTCGAATCTGTGGCCCAACAAAAATACCTTCTTTAACCTTTGCCTCACTTAGTCTTGGAAATTTCTGACGCAGGTATTGAAAAGCTGACCCATCTCTATCTAATGCCTTGACAAAGTTTTTCATTAGGCCCAACTTGATATGCAGTGGTGGTAATAAAAATTTTTTCGAATCTACTAATGGCATATGCTGTACATTTTTTTGACCTGGCTCTAGGAATTGACGAACAGGCTAGTTTTGTCTGGTGTAATGAAGTGCCTTTGCCCGACTGTCCCATTCACACAAAAAACAGCAAAACTTTGTGTAGCCTAGCTGCAGCCCAAGTAAAAGTGCAACAACTTTCAAATCGCCACAAATATGCCATTGGTGCTCATCGTATTTTATGCATGTCAATAGGTACTTCATATTGTCATATGATTCTTTCATGTGAACTGCATACCCTACAGGAAGAGATGGTAAAATATTTCCAATATGCAATAACACTGCCATTAAACTCAATGTTGAACTGTCTATAAACAATCTCCATTCTTCTGGGTTATAGTTTATATTTAAAGCCGCCAGTAAGCCGTTAATGTTACTACAGAAAACCAAGTTATTCTCCATATTGAAAAATGGTTCTAAGTCTTTGTGGCGTTTACGAAAAACACATACCGAAACATCGTCTTCTAACAAGTTCCACTGCTGCAGTCTTGATCCAAGTAACTCTGCCTTACATTTTGGAAGTTCTAAATCTCTTACAAGATCATTTAATTCTGACTGTGTTATTTTGTGCGGTTGGTGGCATGACGTGCTCGGTATAAAATCAGGATCTCTTGACGTTGATGGCATATCTTCTTCCTGACGAATCACTCGATCGCCATGATCTCATTCGTTTTCTGATTCGCAAGTGTAGGATTCTGGGGGTTTTGGAACAGGATTTTCGTCACTGTGAGGCACAGGTCTCATCGCAGATGGTATGTTTGGGTAGTTAATAACCGATTTTTTTTTCTTGGACATACCTGTGGCTTGTCCAACACAAGGTACCATGCAAAAGTAACAATCATTAATATGATTTGTAGGCTCTCTCCAAACCATTTTGACAGCAAAGCGCATAGACCGTTTTTTGCCATTTAACCAGCTCCTCAGACTTGACGCACATGTATTACAGCAGATGTGGGGTGCCCACTGTTTGTCTTGATCACCTAGTTTACAACCGAAATAAAGCTGATATGCCTTTGTTATTAGTGGAGTAATAGATCGTTCTGAGACGCAAAAGTCACATCACCAAACACGTAACAAAACTGATCTGGATTGTTTACACACTTTCGAGACATCTTGCATGAACGCTGTCTATTACGTACACGTATGTATAACGTAACACAATCATGCCGATTACATCATCTTTCCTTGCTGAATATAAAAATGTAGCACGTGCATTCTTGTGAATTACAGTATATTAACATTGTCACAGCAGGAACACATATAATTACCGTATCTCTAAAACTTGAAATAATATTGAAAAAATAAGTTTCATTCCGGTTTTAGCACATTAAAAATAGTAATATTTTGTTGATTTTATTTAGGCTATTTTTTGGCTGTTCTGTTCTGTTCTGTTCTGATCAGTGAATCAGCTTGACCTGCCAGATGGCTAGACATGAGCACACGTCCGTCTTTCTGGAAAGGTTCGGATTCGTAAGATATCTGAAAGAACTGGAGCAAGCTGATGGTGTCTAGTCTTAGATAGACTCTAACTACACTATTGTTCGACCAAGGCCCAGACTCAACACTAGCTTTTAGAGGTCACTGACCTTGATTCGTTTTATCGTTATCAGTTACAATAGAGCCGTTAGGTACTTCGGTAAAGTTTTGTATAATTTAAGTGACGCCACTGGAACCCAGAATAGGAAAAGTAGTTCGTCATATAAGATGTAAATTAAGGAAGTTTCATTAAAGATTCCATTCAGACAAATCAAGGGGCGAAATGAATTATGGTAATGCCAGAGGAAGAACAATTCATATCAAAAGCGGTTTGGATTAGTTCCCCAAGGAAAACATTTCGGGATACTGTATAGACAAGGCCTCGTTTTTAGATCAACCTCACATACCAATACCAGTTAAACATAATTATTCTGTGCAGATCTAGTTGCTGGACAATCGTCATTACAAATGTTGCCTGTGATAAAAAGAATTGTATAGAATTTACATCAAGTATCTCTTTGTCGCTTTTGACTTGATATATTTCTGGTGGTACATATACTAAGTGACATATAAATCCGAACACCCAGTTTAAATGGTTTTATTTTAATAAAAGTTGGTGAATGTATTTATCTTACTGTAAATAACAAGTGAAAAAATTTTCAGCCTTATCAGTTGGACATTCCGGTGATATACTGCCTTTTTTTTAATTCACTAACGCTCTAAAAATGAATATTTCAGCAGCAGTAAAAAATCAACGTTGGCGGATTTTGGTTCTTGACATCCTTTACGATCGGTTACGATGCCTAGAGTATGGAGACCTGTACGATTTCGTCAACTTAGTGAGTTTGATAGGGGCCGTATAGTGGGACTTCGGGAAGCTGGACTTTCTTTTCGGGCAATTGCAGTTAGAGTGCAAAGAAGTGTAGACACTGTGGTTAGGTGTTGTCAGGCATGGCTTCGAGAAGGCCGTACGCAAAGAGCAAGGGGCACTGGACGCCGCCGTAGAACAACAGACCGTGAAGATCGCCGCCTAAGATTATTGGCCTTAAGGGACCGTTTCTCCACTACCAGGTCCATTGCAAATGAATGGTTTGCAGAACACGGAAGACCTATTAGCATGCGAAGTGTTTACCGACGAATGAGAAGTTTTGGCTTGTTTTCATACCGGCCACACTGGGTCTTCCCTTTAACTCGAGAACACCGACGTAATCGCCTTGAGTGGTGCAGACAACGGTCACTCTGGGATGAGGAATGGAACAGCATTGTATTTAGTGACGAGTCTCGATTTTGTTTAGGCATGCATGATAGTCGTGCAAGGGTTAGAAGGCGACGTGGTGAAAGGAGGAATCCACAGTTTTTTGTTGAAAGACATGTTCATCACACTGTTGGAGTTATGGTTTGGGGTGCTATAGCTTATGGTTCCAGGTCACCTTTAATCTTCATCAGAGGTAACATGAACGCGCAGCGTTATATCCACGAAGTTCTAGAACCCCATCTTTTACCCTATCTTGACACCCTGGCAGATCCATCTTTCCAACAAGATAATGCCCGACCACATGTTGCAAGAGTCACAATAGACTTCTTTCAACATAATGATGTCACATTGTTACCATGGCCACCAAGATCTCTCGACTTATCTCCAATTGAGCACGTGTGGGATATGATGGGTAGGAGATTGCTCAATTTGCAACGTCCTCCTCAGACTCTAGAAGCACTTCGAGAGGAGTTGGTGGTTGCCTGGAATGAGATACCACAGGAGGACATTGACCACCTGATCAGAAGCATGCCTAGGCGCGTTGGAGAATGCGTAGCACATCAGGGTGCATCCACACATTATTAAAGGTCAAAGGGCTTTAAAGCAGTGCAATCATTTTGAAATTTTTATCATTTACTTATTATGCTTCATTAAGTACTTATACAAAATTTTATTAAAATAAAACCATTTAAACTGGGCGTTCGGATTTATATGTCACTTAGTATATAATTATGAATACAGACTATTCGATTATTATAAATGTAATGATTGATGTCTGTTTAAGCTATATTTCATAGTTTTGTATCAAATATTACTTGACTAATATATACTTTTCTTTTTTCAGAGCAATGCAGGACGGGATGTCGAGGAGGTAAGTCATTGCAATTTGTAAACGTAATCACTCAGAAAATTTTATTTTTCAATCGAAAAAATATTGTGAAACTTGGGAAAGTTTTTTATGTCGTGTCGCTTTGCCATAGATATATTTTTCTCAATCTCGGTGCAAGGTGGAATAAATCAACGAGTGTAAAAAAAGTCTTTAATCAAGTTGCCATCCTATCTCACGGATTATCTAGTAATATCTCATAATTCCCCATATCGGCACAGGACACATAACTCTGACGGATCCATCAACGTCAGGTAGTCAGAGCCGTATTTTGTTTTGGTTTTTTGTGCACTACAGATTCATTTTGCACTTGCTAACATCTCTTTTATTTAGGAGAGTTAATTTGCATACAAAAAACAAAACGCTACAAACTATCAATGTTTTACTAGATTTTCACCCGATTCATTGTTGCTAACGTCGCAGACTGACACAAAAATGTCACTTGCTGAACAGCTGTGCACGCCACTCCTGAAATAGGGTATACGCCTTCTTCAGGGTTACAAAACACCTGTTGACTTATCCCAACAATCCGAGAAATTGAAAGCACATTACAGACGTTGAGATAAGAAGTTATTTCTTTGTTAATGTATTTTATAATACGCTCTCCCCACTCTGTGTCCATGCCGTTCGTCTGTATTCCTCTTTATGATCCAGCACGCTCATAAACAACCTATCATTATTATCCTCTGTTTATTGTTTATAAGAATTCTAAGTACGACTACCGCAAACCAGATCAATCTTGAGAATATTTTTATTAAACAATCACAATTATTGCGTAGATTACTATATAGCTAACTTCCCTGTTATTATATTTAATCAAATCGATTTTCATTCCGTTCAATATGTATTGTAAATAGGTTACGAATCTACGAGCAACTTCCCACTTCAGTTGGCCCAACTATTGAAATCTTAGTTTTTTTCTTATCAAACACAAATAATAAAAATGTAGCAGGGTGTTATAGGTTTAAAATATTAACAATGAATATTTTGATAATATATAGGAGAAAACACCAACTTTATAACTCCCTAATTAAAATTGCAGCATAAAAATAACACATGTTGCAATTACAGCATATCAACCTATTTTCATTTCAATGCAAAATAAGTCTATATAGGTGGCTGTGAAAAATAAAAGCCATGACAATTGTTTTTATTAATCACAGCTGTCAGAATGCGTTTAAAATAGTTTTGGGTAGTCAAACTCAGATATTGCAACTTTGTTAGACTTATCGCGGTACAGTGTTAAGAAATATTGTTAGAAGATATAACGTAACTGGTTCAGTTAATATTAAGCCACGATATGTGAAAAAAAGTAATATCACAAATGCCGACCGAAGAGCATTAAGAAGAATAATCGTGAAAAACAGGCGTGCCAATTATTTACAATTAATTGCTCTGTGGAGTGACGCCGTTGGAAGGAGAATTTCGAGGTCCACAACTCATAAAGAAGCCCACAAACTGGGATTTAGCACTTGCAAGGTATGTTTTCTTATAAAAAAAAGTGAAGTAAAAACCCTAAAGTTGCACAACCTATTTATAGGCCAAAGAAAAGCCACTATGAACTCCACTGCAAAAGAAAAATCGGCTTAGATGGGCTAAAGAACATAGACAATGGACACCTCAACAATGGTGTGCAATACAATGGAGTGATGAGGCCCGGTTCGAAGTTTGTGTTGGTGACACTCGCAGTAGAGTTATTCGCAAAAAAATTAAGAATTCCATGTTGACTGTCTGAAGAGAAAAGTGAAAATTCCAGCATCCATTATATCATCAAAAGGAGTAGGAAAACTTCATTTTATTGATGGAAATGTGGATACAAACAAATATTTGGCAATTTTAGAAGAATCGCTTTTAGCAGTAATAGAAGAATGTTTGACATCCGGCCAAGATTTTGTATTTCAGCAAGATGGTGCAGCGTGCCATACCTCAAAAAAGGCTATAAAATGGATGGAAGAAAATAATGTACCACTTTTGAAATGGGTTTCTAGCAGTCCAGATCAGTCACCTATTGAAACTTTGTGGCACGAGATGAAAAAGGTTCTACGACAACATCCTGCTCGTACAATCATCGAACTGAGACAAAAGCTTCAAGAAATATGGGATTGTTTTACACCAAATTTTTGCCAAAACTTGGTTAACACTATGCCCCAAAGAATTGCAGCCGTAATAAAAACTAAATGTGATGTTACCCAATGGTAATCTTTCAATTGTTGCTTTGTTAACTTCGTGTATTTATTCGCACATTGTTTATTTGTTCAGATGTTCTATTAGTTATCGGTCTAAGTGATTTCAAATATGTATTTTTTACGACTAGATTGTATCTAAAATGTTTTTGAGAAAATAAATTGTTTTAGAAATAGTTTCGTCATGTTTAGTTTATAAAGGCATATTTTGGTACAAATCTTGAAGTGGGCCAACTGAAGTGGGAAGGGGCTCGTACACCAGTAGTCGCTGAGTTAATGTTTGCCTAAAATGAGCTTCAAACGATAATAATATTATGAATTTCGTTTGCGTCCACGTACCCAAGAAAAAGATTTCAAACGCAATTATCTAAGTACTTATTTGGTCTGGCTCTGAGGTACAGAAATATGTTTGAATTTCTGGTTTGCATCTCATCTATACGGTAGCATCTCATTTGCCATTACGAAGACCTCCTTCTTTTTCTCCTTTCATAAACCTACTATCGTTTCTGCAGACACAATTTGATTGGTACAATTTCGGCAACTAATTGATCTTTGTTTAGTATACGTACTATTTTTTTAGCAGCAGCTATTAGTTTTCACCGCTGGCTTTCATCAGCTGGTATCAGCCACGTCAAGGCTGCAGCGTTCTTCTTCTTCTTATCCTATTCACAGGTCAATCATCCTTGTATATTTATCCAGCTAAGCCTCGAGGTTTCTAATTTCGTTACTTTCTCTCTGCTCAAACGTATCAATCATCAAACTGTTTTCTTCCATCACATGGTAATACTAGCAATTTCGTAGCAATCGTTCATATCCTTCTTGTTCTCCATTTTACAATATGTCCATTCTCAACAGTCTATAATTTAATCATCATCATTCCACAGCAACGGCCCTAAGACCGATCCCTGTGGAACTCTCATAAGATTCTCATTTATAGATCCTTGGCGTAGAGAATATTACAAACAGAGTGTAGCTACTCTCATTTCATCTCAATACATCTGTTTTTACTATTCGTCTTACAGTGTGACGGAATAATAACACTGGACAACAAATTTTAGTTTTTTAATTGCATCTTGTGGGAAAAGTGCACTTCTTTGTTAATTTTGGGGCGTTGAATCCAAAAATGACAATGAAATAAAAAAATCAGTTGCGGTTTAGAAAAAAAACTTTTTATTTTTAAGGATATATTAAAAAAAGTAACAAGATTCATATACTTATAAGAATCACTATATGCGCTGTCTTTTTGCTGTTCTTTTATGGATCGTTTCTGGAGCATCTCTACCAAGAGTCCAACAGTAGTCTGCAAGCATGGAAGGATTCCACTTTCCCTGGTACCTTTTTTCCATTGTTGAAATATCCTGATGAAAACGTTCGCCGTGCGCATCACTTACGGCTCCGCAATTGTCAGGAAAAAAGTCCAGGTGTGAGTGTAGGAAATGTATCTTAAGAGACATATTACAGCCCATCTTTTGATACGATGACAGCATATTTTTGACAAGGGTTTTATAGTTGTCAGCTTTTCTATTTCCCAAGAAATTAGTGACCACCAGACGGAAATCATTCCAAGCAGTTTTTTCAATACCTGTTAAGTGTTTTCAAACTGTGTATCTTTCAAAAAATTTGGAATCTGTGGTCCAACAAAAATACTTTCTTTAACCTTTGCCTCACTTAGTCTTGGAAATTTTTGACGCAGGTATTGAAAAGCTGACCCATCTCTATCTAATGCCTTGACAAAGTTTTTCATTAGGCCCAACTTGATATGCAGTGGTGGTAATAAAATTTTTTTCGAATCTACTAATGCCATATGCTGTACATTTTTTTGACCTGGCTCTAGGAATTGACGAACAGGCCAGTTTTGTCTTGTGTAATGAAGTGCCTTTGTCCGTCTGTCCCATTCACACAAAAAACAGCAAAACTTTTTGTAGCCTAGCTGCAGCCCAAGTAAAAGTGCAACAACTTTCAAATCGCCACAAATATGCCATTGGTGCTCATCGTATTTTATGCATGTCAATAGGTACTTCATATTGTCATATGATTCTTTCATGTGAACTGCATACCCTACAGGAAGAGATGGTAAAATATTTCCAATATGCAATAAGACTGCCTTTAAACTCAATGTTGAACTGTCTATAAACAATCTCCATTCTTCTGGGTTATAGTTTATATTTAAAGCCGCCAGTAAGCTGTTGAAGTTACTGCAGAAAACTAAGTTATTCTCCATATTGAAAAATGGTTCTAAGTCTTTGTGGCGTTTACGAAAAACACATACCGAAACATCGTCTTCTAACAAGTTCCACTGCTGCAGTCTTGATCCAAGTAACTCTGCCTTACATTTTGGAAGTTCTAAATCTCTTACAAGATCATTTAATTCTCACTGTGCTATTTTGTGCGGTTGGTGGCATGACGTGCTCGGTATAAAATCAGGATCTCTTGACGTTGATGGCATATCTTCTTCCTGACGAATCACTTGATCGCCATGATCTGATTCGTTTTCTGATTCGCAAGTGTAGGATTCTGGGGGTTTTGGAATAGGATTTTCGTCACTGTGAGGCACAGGTCTCATCGAAGATAGTATGTTTGGGTTGTTAATAACCGATTTTTTTATCTTGGACATACCTGTGGCTTGTCCAACACAAGGTACCATGAAAAAGTAACAATCATTAATATGAATTGTAGGCTCTCTCCAAACCATTGGGACAGCAAAGCGCATAGACCGTTTTTTGCCATTGCTTTAGACTTGAAGCACATGTATTACAGCAGATGTGGGGTGCCCACTGTTTGTCTTGATCACCTAGTTTACAACCGAAATAAAGCTGATATGCCTTTGTTATTAGTGGAGTAATAGACCGTCTCTGAGACGCAAAAGTCACATCACCACACACGTAACAAAACTGATCTGGATTGTTTACACACTTTCGAGACATCTTGCATGAACGCTGTCAGCCAACTGAGGAAAAATGGCTAATATAAAACAATATAATGTACATGTATGTATAACGTAACACAATCATGCCGATTACATCATCTTTCCTTGCCGAATATAAAAATGTAGCACGTGCATTCTTGTGAATTATAGTATATTAACACTGTCACAGCAGGAACACATATAATTACCGTATCTCTAAAACTTGAACTAATATTGAAAAAATAAGTTTCATTCCGGTTTTAGCACATTAAAAATAGTAATATTTTGTTGATTTTATTTAGGATATTTTTTGGCTGTTGATCAGTGTAATTTGCTTTAACTACTAAAGGTACGTTTCTATTACAACTTTGCGCCAACATTTACTAAGTCAGATGCCGACACATATTGCAGAAAAGTGTACAGTCTACAACATGTTGCAAAGCAAGTGTCGTCATATGTTCCAGACGATCTGGCATTCTGCAGCATGTTGCTGTATATGAGCACGGCCAGGTGCATTTTCATAAGTAATATCATAAGGGTATCTAAAAACACATTGCTAAGTAATATAAAAAATATTACTTAAGGTTCGATGTTGCAACATGAATTCAGTCTCAGGCGTATCTTAAAGGTAAGCTTCACGTTGCGAAGCCGGTACAAACGGCCATTAATACTGATGAATTGAATTTTGTTCCTTAATTTTAACGTGATCTTTGTCTATTGCAGCTAGTCAAGTATTCAAGTATTCACCTGGGACGACATATACTTACGACTACGAAGGTAAAGTTGACTTTACACTGTCATCGGCAGAAGGACAAGTGACGAGTACGACGGTCAAAGCGACGGCACAAGTGACACAATTGGCGGACTGCAATCTGGTCCTGAGGCTGCAGAATGTGCAGATCCTTGGAAGCAACGGGAAGGTAAGTTGGGGCCGAACCACTTTCTTACGTCATTAATTGGTGTTTCCAATCTGGAATTTGTCCTGATGCATTCAAAACAACTGTTATTACTCCTGTTTATAAAAGCGGTGACAGAATGGAAACATCAAATTATAGACCCATATCAGTACTATCGAATATAGCCGAAATTTTCGAAAAATTACTACAAAAAAGGATATTTTTGGACAAAAACAAAATTATATGTTCTGACCAATATGGATTTAGAAAAGGAAAATCTACTACAGATGCAATTTTGGCTGCAATGGATGAAATTAACTCTAATGTCAACCAAAAGATACCTACTATTGGTATCTTTGTTGATCTAAAAAATGCCTTTGATACGGTTAACCATGTCGAGCTTCTGAAAGTTATGGAAAGATTGGGATTTAGGGGAGCGTCACAAATCCTTTTAAAAAATTACCTTTCAAATCGGGCACAGACTGTCAAAATCACTAACACTTACAGTAAAAAAATGTACATCAAGTATGGTGTGCCTCAAGGAACAGTACTAGGCCCACTATTATTTAGTCTCTACTTAAATGACTTATTCAAAATTAACAGTTCTGGAAAGATTATATGTTTTGCAGATGACACCCTCGTATTATATAAAGCTGATGACTGGAGCACACTGAAGCAAATAGCTGAAAAGGATTTTATAAGGATCATTGACTGGTTTGATACTAAAATTTTAACAGTTAACTTCAAAAAAACAAAATTTATTGCATTTACATCCTATTCAAAAATTTTACCTACCTTCGAACAAATTTCCGTTAATTATCATGGCCAAAAGACCAAAATCGATAGAGTTAACACTTTGAAATATCTTGGAATATTTATAGACTCACATCTAAGGTGGGATAACCATATTAAATATGTTATCAAAGAAATTAGAAATGTTGCCTATAAACTCAAAATGCTTGCTAACATTCTTACAGAAAGTTATCTGCGAATCCTATACCATGCCTTAGTTGAAACCCATATAATATACGGCATCACAGCCTGGGGTGCCGCCTGCAAGACATATATTTCTGACCTGAATATAGCACAAAAAACTGTTTTGAAAGCCATTTTCCATAAACCAAGATTATATCCAACGAACAACTTATATCAAGAAACAGGGATACTTGATACAAGACAACTTTATTTCTTACATGCCACCACCTTATACCATAAGTATTGTAATAAAAAGAAAAAATCCTATAAACACGAGCATAACACACGATTTCGAATAGGCTCATCTAATATCCAAAGACCACACAAAACATTATTCAAAAAATCATTTAAATTCTTAGCAGCTAAATTATATAATGTAGTACCAAACGAAATAAAGATACTTAATTTTTGAAAAAAATTTAGAAGAAAATTGAAAGACTGGGTTAGTAATGTGCAGCGAATGACTATACATAATTATATAGAAAACTAAAACTACAAAATTCCAATTACATTAATACCTTTTGGATTTAAGAATAATTGTTATACACATATATGATTGATTTTTAGTTATTAAGATATAAACCACACACAGGCGATGCCTTCTGTGGTTTTTTCATATTTATTTGCCCATTTTTTGTATTTTGGCGAATAAATATTATTATTATTATTAATGGCCACGAAACATAAAACATACATTAAGGGATACGAAGTCGGCTAATTGGGGGCAAAGTTGCGTATTTTGGTAACTAACAAAGTGTCGCTTTATTTTTTCTTTTAGATACCATATTGGATTTTCAGACAGATAAATAGAGTTTTTAATTTGATTCCAAACATGTATGTATAATATGTCATACATTGATTTTGCCAAACCTTAGTTATTTTAGAAAAAAGAATTTCCAACATAGGCCTTGAAATTATCAGATAGTTATTTGGTTTTATACCACATTTATCGCAAAATCATAATAAACTGAGCGCTGAACAATGCACGACAGAGAAGATTCAGACTTTGTCTACAAAATAACGGACAACATTGTTAATATACTAAGTGACATATAAATCCGAACACCCAGTTTAAATGGTTTTATTTTAATAAAATTTTGTATAAGTACTTAATGAAGCATAATAAGTAAATGATAAACATTTCAAAATGATTGCACTACTTTAAAGCCCTTTGATATATAATAATGTGTGCATGCACCCTGATGTGCTACGCATTCTCCAACGCGCCTAGGCATGCTTCTGATCAGGTGGAAAATGCCCTTCTGTGGTATCTCATTCCAGGCAACCACCAACTCCTCTCGAGGTGCTTCTAGAGTCTGAGGAGGACGTTGCAAATTGAGCAATCTCCTACCCATCATATCCCACACGTGCTCAATTGGGGATAAGTCGGGAGATCTTGGTGGCCATGGTAACAATGTGACATCATTATGTTGAAAGAAGTCTATTGTGACTCTTGCAAACTGTGGTCGGGCATTATCTTGTTGGAAAGTTGGATCTGCAGGGTGTCAAGATAGGGTAAAAGATGGGGTTCTAGAACTTCGTGGATATAACGTTGCGCGTTCATGTTACCTCTGATGAAGATTAAAGGTGACCTGGAACCATAAGCTATAGCACCCCAAACCATAACTCCAACAGTGTGATGAACATGTCTTTCAACAAAAAACTGTGGATTCCTCCTTTCACCACGTCGCCTTCTAACCCTGGCACGACCATCGTGCATGCCTAAACAAAATCGAGACTCGTCACTAAAGACAATACTGTTCCATTCCTGATCCCAGAGTGACCGTTGTCTGCACCACTCAAGGCGATTACGTCGGTGTTCTCGAGTTAAAGGGAGGACCCAGGGTGACCGGTATGAAAACAAGCCAAAACTTCTCGTTCGTCGGTAAGCACTTCGCATGCCAATAGGTCTTCCGTGTTCTGCAAACCATTCATTTGCAATGGACCTGGTAGTGGAGAAACGGTCCCTTAAGGCCAATAATCTTAGGCGGCGATCTTCACGGTCTGTTGATCTACGGCGGCGTCCAGTGCCGCTTGCTCTTTGCGTACGGCCTTCTCGAAGCCATGCCTGACAACACCTAACCACAGTGTCTACACTTCTTTGCACTCTAACTGCAATTGCCCGAAAAGAAAGTCCAGCTTCCCGCAGTCCCACTATACGGCCCCTATCAAACTCACTAAGTTGACGAAATCGTACAGGTCTCCGTACTCTAGGCATCGTAACCGATCGTAAAGGATGTTAAGAACCAAAATCTGCCAACGTTGATTCTTTACTGCGGCTGAAATATTCATTTTTAGAGCGTTAGTGAATTAAAAAAAAGGCAGTATAAAAACTGGCTGAACATTTTTTCACTTGTTATTTACAGTAAGATAAATACATTCACCAACTTTTATTAAAATAAAACCATTTAAACTGGGTGTTCGGATTTATATGTCACTTAGTATATTTGCTATTATTTATCTCTGCTTATTTATGATTATTATTGTTACTAACATCAATAAGATGTTCATTTTGTGTTTAGGTTTTTATTTTCTTGCAAACATCCGCTATAATAATTTTTATGTAGACATGAAAATCAGATTTCAAACGCGCGTTGAGCCTGTCAAAATCGCATTAACAAGGAGTCTTTAAGCTTCTAATAGCAGTCGCGGTGCACCGGTAGGCGACTGGTTCAATATAAAAGTGACTTTAGTTTGCAATCTTTGCTATGGGTATCAAACTCCGACTGGTCTGCGGTGGTGTCGTCACTGACGAACAATATTTCGATACTAGGAGTACGTACCACGTTTTTATATCTACACATATATTTTTCTGAATTTTATGATCCCTAAATGTATCACCCCTTTCTCCTAACCTTTAATTTGTGTTACTCCATGTATGGTGGTTCTCTGAATATTTTGTCAAATAGATTCTCTCAGTACTTATGAAGCTTTGATGTACAATAGAAACGGGCTCACAAACCGACATAAATGAGAGACACGATCTAGTGTGAAGGAGATATCTTTAAGCAACAGAAAACTTGTGAATCGGAGTTCGAATATTATAGGTTTGATATGCAGAGTCGAAGATATATCGTTCCTACCTAATCACGATTCGATTTCACCATTTGAAACGACTTGACTCATGCCTGTTCTTTGGAACCTCCGAGACGTACTTGACGTCATTTTTTGTCAAGTTTGAAACTCAAAATGTTTCTTTTCCAGAAATTCGGAACGATTCCGGATATCGACAAGCCCGTCCGGTTCAACTTCCAGGATGGTCACGTGGAGGACAGCATCTGCATCACGCCCGGAGATACCCAGAACTCTCTTAACATCAAGAGGGCGGTCATCTCTATGTTGCAGGCGAACCTGAAGAGCAGCTACGAAACCGACGTGTTTGGCGTATGTCCTACGGAGATTGTCAAGCACCAGGAGGGTGGAAATCTAGTCATCAGGAAAAGCAGGGATCTGAACAAGTGTGCCTACAGGTAACAGTTAAATCAACTTCCATTGAAATACAGGGTGTTTCAGTTTATTGTTGCCTAACTTTAAGATTCGATAGAACTTTTAAAATTGATGCATAAAGTCTATATAAACATGGGTCGAAAAATGCGTGGCTTCCGAAATACAGGGTGTTTAAATTTACTTTCTAGAATAGTTTTTTTTTAAATATTTCGAACAATATATAGATTTAAATTTGCGTTTTGTGACATATCTTGCACCTAAATTTTACAATTTGATTCCTGCTAATATCAGGAATATTGGAAATAATAAAAAATTTAATGTTTCGTTTAATATGTTCTGTTGGGAAAATCGTGAACAATTTATGCGTCTATTTTAAGTTGCTTTGAGGTAGATTGATCTGCCTATTTGTTCCTTCTCTTTCTTTTTGATATTATTGTGACACTTTTTTTCTGTGATCTTAAGTTAAATCTATGACTTACAAAAATATGAAATTTTCTTTCATTTTGTGTATATCGTGTATCATATTTTGTTTGTATAGTTGAGTGATTTTATACAAAAATATATATTGCACGATATTTATCAATCAATTACTGTTTTGATCTGTTTTTGCGCATACAAGTTTTTAAACTTAGGCGCTCATATATTATAGAGAAACCTTGTTTTTGTTTCGTTAATGTATAGATATATATTACTTTTATATTGGTAAATTTGGGTTCTGCTGAATAAATGTGGTAGAGTTCAGGGCGTACTGTTCTCTCCAACAACAATAACAGTGAAAATTGGTATACAAGGGTTTTTTGGTATGACAAAACGAACCAGGGGCATAGTTTTACTGTCGCCGCTAGAGGGCGCTCTCTACTGGTTAGTTAGCCGTTTTTGAGATATTTCGATTTTTAAGGTTCGATGCATTTTTAATTATTTATGATAAAATAACGTTAAAAAGTCAGTATCTCGATAATTTTTAGAAGTAGGCTGTGCCTGCAAATATTTTTGAAATTGAAAGCGGAATAAGGTTAAACGTCAATTAGTTTTGTTGTCTGTTGAAACCTGAAACGTTTTTTGCAATTGTGAATGCACGAAATTTAGTTTCTTTTACCTGTTTTTTTTTTTGTAAATTTTATAAAAATGCCATTTTTATTCTCCAATCAAGAGTTAGCGGATATTCATTTTGTGTATGGCTTTGTAAATGGAAACGCAGCAGAAGCAGCCAGAGAATACGCACGAAGATTTTCAAACAGACGACATCCAACTCGCTCAGTATTTGTAAGAGTGCATCGCCAAATAATTGAAAATGGTTTTGGAAATCTCCAAAGGGATCAAAACATAAATTTTCGTCAGCGCAGATTTACCCGTATGATTCTGCGTGAGTTTGATAGAGATCCGACCACAAGTGTTAGGAGAGTTTCTGTTGCCTTGGTAATTTCAGCAAGCCATGTTCACCGTGTTCTTAGAAATGACCATAGACGTCCTTACCATTTGCAACCTGTGCAAGGACTACAGCCAGGGGACGGAGAACGAAGAATCACATTTTGTCAGTGGATTCTTGATAGAACTGATAATAATAGGGAGTTTTTAAGTAACGTTTTATGGACCGATGAGTCATGCTTCACTAGACGTGGAGTGGTAAATTTTCATAATCAACATATTTGGTCGCATGAAAATCCGCATGCAGTTCGGGAAAGAAATTTTCAGCATGAATTTAGTGTGAACGTGTGGATTAGTATCTACCGTAATCGACTATTTGGACCCTACCTTTTGCCTGCAAGGTTAAATGCTGCGACCTTCTTGGAATTTTTAAAGGCTGAACATGCAAATATGTGGGATGATGTTATGTTAGATTTAAGAAGATTGGTCTGGTTCCAGCTTGATGGTTGTCCAGCTCATTATTCGAGAATAGTTAGAAACTGGCTGGACGAAAATTATCCAGAAAGATGGATCGACCGTGGAGGACCAGTCGCCTGGCCTCCACGATCCCCTAACCTGAATCCATTAGATTTCTTTGTGTGGGGATTTCTAAAAGAAAAAGTGTACCAGACTCCCGTAACCACAAGAGATATGCGAATAGACAGAATCAGGAATGCATGTGATGAAATAAGGCCTTATTTGAATAATGCTATATCACGTTCGATCATTCGTAGATGTGAATTGTGTATTGAACTATTAGGTTTACATTTCGAGCAACTACTTTAGATTTTGTATGTTTGTCCTAAATATCCAATAGCATTTTGGTTGTAAATAATTAATTTAATTTGTAAAAAATAATTTTGGAAAATTAAACAAATTAATATTCTGTTTTTTTGTGTTTATTTGGAGTTAGGAATTATTACTGTGTTCAAAAACACAATCTAAACGATCATCTTAATTACTTGTAATGCCCAAATCGAAAATGTAAAAAAAAATATTATTTTCCCATAAATAATTAAAAATTGAAATATCTCAAAAACGGCTAACTATAACGATAACTCACAGGAGAGCTTTTTTATGCAGAAAAGTGCGTAGAATCAGTTTTTTTATTAAAAAAGCAAAAAATTGCACTAAGAAAAATTTTTCGGTCATTTTAATACACTACAGGTACAATAGCGAGTGCCCTCTAGTGGCTACAGTAAAACTATGACCATGGTTCGTTTTGTCGTACAAAAAACCCTTGTATACCAATTTTCACTGTTATACATCAAATATTGTTCGAAATATTTAAAAAAAACTATTTTAGAAAGTAAATTTAAACACCCTGTATTTCGGAAGCCACGCATTTTTCGACCCATGTTTATATAGGCTTTATGCATTAATTTTAAAAGTTCTATCGAATCTTAAAGTTATGCAACAATAAACTGAAACACCCTGTATAATGAATGGAGTAGCGGCTACCGAATGCACAAGTTGACATTTTAGTGTTTCTTTTAGGTTTTGTAGGTAATAACTCTGCCATACATTTGTCCTTGAAGCTTAGAGAACTATTTACAGACGCAATGGCGACTTTTATACGCCGAAATTTGTCCGCGTCCAACTGCATCTCTGGCAGCTATGATTGCCGGGGCTGTCGATCTCGAGTTTCAGTATCGTAGCTGGCGCTTGTGACATGTTTGATTGGTATGGTTCAGCAGCGGTGCCAGATGGTCGATACTTTATCAAATAGGCGGGGACTGTGGAGTATGGGCTAATTGTAAATAGGCCTGTTTAGCTGACTTGATCCATTTAATTTATTATATACGTGTTATACAGCTAGTTAGAAGGGATTCACTTTGGCCGGGCATAATCCTCCATTATGAGCAAAATCTTGTATCATCGAAAGATGAGAAGAAGTTGTTTAGATACTTGAGATCCACCCTGAACTCTAAGGTTTCTTCCCCACAAATCCGTGATCCCAATGGCCACCTACATACTGATGCCGAAAAATCTGACAATCTTCTTGAGGATGCTTTTAGTGAAGATTTTGTGAATGAACCTGATGGTAATGGTATTCTTCCGAACTTATACAGCCCTGATAGATGCCTAGCGAACATCTGTAACATAGATTTTCAACCTCAGGACATTGAGAGGCACCTTACTAAACTCATAAGTTGTTCGTCCACTGGAAAGGATAGGATTACTTCTGCAGTCATGAAGTACTGTGCTTCAGCTCTCGCCTACCCCCAGTGCATTATAATCAACTCCTCGTTTCAAAATCACATCCTTCCTTCCTTCCTGTTGGCGTACTGAATCTGTGACACCTATATTCGAAAAAGAAGATAAAACATCTGCGAAAAACTACCGTCCTATAGCTGCGAAAATAGCCGAAAAGATCGTCCAGGAACAACTTATGACATTTGCGTTCAAGAACAACCTGCTGCCTAGCAACCAACATGGTTTTATTCCTGGTAGATCAATTACCACCAACATGTTACACTGCATCGACAATTGGACCAGATCTTTAGACGCAAGTCAACCGGTCGACGTGGTTTATCTGGATTTTTCCAGAGCTTTCGATCGAGTTCCGCATAAAAGGCTCCTGCACAAGCTTGAACATCTCGGAATCAGGGGAAATTTGTTGTTGTCGATTAAAGATTTTTTGTTAGATAGATCTTTCTCCGTCCGTGTTGGAGACGCCTATTCTTCTCGCCATCGTGTTACTAGTGGAGTCCCACAAGGATCTGAGCTAGGGCCAATACTTTTTTTCTTTATACAAGCGACCATCCCACCCGACTTTCTTCTATACGTATGTGTTCCATCTATGCAGATGATACTAAAGTCTATAACACTGCCATGAACTCATCTGTGCTTCAAGAAGACCTCAAGCTGATCAGAAAGCGGTCAGAACGTTGTCTCCTGCCTTTAAATCTCTCAAAATGCTACGTTCTCCACCTGGGAAAGAATAATCCTAACTTAAGATATAAGATTGGTAAACATACCGTAGAGACTGTTTTTCATCACACAGATCTTGGTCTGACAGTTAATGACCGGCTCACCTGGTCGGAGCACATTCAGAACATAACCTCTAAAGCAAAGCGGTTGCTATACACGATGGAAAGATCATTTAGCGGTTGCACCGTTAGTACCTCCTCCTTCATGTACACAACTTTCGTACGACCCCTACTGGAGTTTGCTGCTCCGGTATGGGATTCAAACCTTGTTCGCGATAGCAGCTTATTAGAGGCCATTCAGCGTCATGCTATACGTATACCTTATGGCACACGTAAGCCAAGTTATGAAGACCGCCTCGAGTTATATAACCTACCTGCTTTTGCTGATAGAAGAATGCAAGGAGATCTCATCATCACCTTCAGAGCACTGCATAATTTGTTTGGTGTGGACATGTCGCATCTGTTTCGTCTGGCAACGAACAATCTCAGAGGCCATAAGTTCAAATTGCAGAAGGAAACTTTTAGAACCTCTACTCGTCAGCGCTTTATCTCAAACCGTGTCTTCGATGCATGGAACAGTCTCCCATCTTATGTAGTGAACTGGGCATCCGTCAAGAGTTTCAAAAAAAATTATGATGGACATCGCAGTGCTTAACATATTGTTCCCATTCTGTATATGACTACTTCAGAGGTGCTAAGATTGTCAAATTGTTATATTTCTTTTGTCTGTACACTATTAACTATTTTGTGTTTGAGTTTATAGTACTTGTACTCAACTCAAATTTGTTGTTTAATAATAATAATGAACTGCTGTGAAGTGCAGAGCCAACGTAATTGACGCCACTTTTCCTTTTCTTGCAGAGAAAACATCCGTCAGGACTTCTTGACAACGGCTTTCAACTTGCACAGCGAAATCAAGACGAGTCCTGTACTGAATGGAGACTACGTTTCAGAACAGAAAGTAAAGGAAGGAATTCTCGAACATGCTGAAGTTACGGAAAATTATATGTACGTACCTCTGTCTGTTGGAAAGAACGGAGCTAAAGCACAAGTGGTCAGCAAGTTGAAACTTACTGGTAAGTTAAAGAATAGAGAAACAATATATGGTTTGTTCGTATAGTGATCGGTGACTTGTCCGTGACTGTGTCTGGGATCCAGCCATGTGAATTCCCTCTATATAGCGTAGAGAATAGATTGCTCTGGCCATCCATCGAGCTTGGCGGTCGAATCTTAATTTTTTTCTCTGTATCTCCGCCAAGGAATACTATTGAAAGTTCTATTAATTCTCGATCTTTCTTTCTGTCTCTAGCAGCTTCTTTGGTCAATTCACGATAAATTTCTAGTCTCTGAAATAGTCAGGCATGATAGCTTTTCAGTATGAATCTGTATTTTCTCGTGCCTCAACGGTTGCTTCAATTATAAAATAGGCAGCAGCGGTGGCCGCAGTAGTAGACTCTTCGGTCTCTTGATCAGTCGCCGTGCGCTGTGCGGGTTCGAATCCCGTCCCAGGAGAAATTTTTTTCTTGGCTATCGATGTTGTGATTGTCCATAGGTGGTAGACGGTCTCTGACTGTCAAACGCGGTGGTACCACCCGGCGGATCTCGTAGGCGGAGCGAGAGTCCGTGTGGCGTTCCCCCTTTACCCTGTATCCCCCTATAGCCCTACGGTACCCAATGGGTATTTAGGCCTTAGGCCTTCGTGGTAGTTGGAGTATAAAAAAAGCATTTCCCGTACTTAACTGACAACTATTTAATGCTGCCACTAATGTTGGAGTTACGAAACTTTTCCCCATTTGAGTTTGATTAGTATCAGTCTGTGTGTTCAGAGTTGGAATGGGCAAAGTTTCTTGTAAATCTATCTCGGAATCTGAAGATGAATTCTCTTGCATCGGTTCTTAAGATGATGTCTTTTCTTGCCGCTTTTGTTCTTCGGTATGCCATTTCTTCTTTTATGGTTAATTTCTTGTCCACCTTAGCTAAAAGATAAGTTAGACCTGGCTCTCTCTGCCGCTGCAAGAAGATCTTCAATTATTTATACACTGGGTTTCACTTATCCGACAAGTTTTAACCATATATGCACTGTTACGGAAGAAGTTGATCCCCCCAAAAAACTGTAATAAAAGTCCTACAGAAGTCGAGATAATAGAATAATGCAGTTTAACAGTTCAAAATTGTTTCAATTGACTGCAATGCAAGCTTGGGCATTCGGTGTGCATACAAACGAGAAGCCGCTCGCGAATTTTGCCCTGCTTCTGCGTAAGCTAAAACAGTGTCCACTAACTCCTCATTAGGGTACACATGTGCCATTTTTATTAATAAATAACTAAGAACATAAGCTTGCAAAGTACTTTCTTATCTAACTTAACAAAAATCGACCGTTCTTCATTCAGATCACCCACGATACAGACTAAACCTTATTTACACGTTCTCATCAGTATGAAAAAACAAAAAATTCCTGGTATTTTGTATTCGTCAGTTATTGGTACAACATTTGCTACAAATTATTAATGCGTGTTCCAATATCACGACGATGAACGCAAAATGCAGATATACTAAGTGACATATAAATCCGAACACCCAGTTTAAATGGTTTTATTTTAATAGAATTTTGTATAAGTACTTAATGAAGCATAATAAGTAAATGATAAAAATTTCAAAATTATTGCACTGCTTTAAAGCCCTCTGACCTTTAATAATGTGTGGATGCACCCTGATGTGCTACGCATTCTCCAACGCGCCTAGGCATGCTTCTGATCAGGTGGTCAATGTCCTCCTGTGGTATCTCATTCCAGGCAACCACCAACTCCTCTCGAAGTGCTTCCAGAGTCTGAGGAGGACGTTGCAAATTGAGCAATCGCCTACCCATCATATCCCACACGTGCTCAATTGGGGATAAGTCGGGAGATCTTGGTGGCCATGGTAACAATGTGACATCATTATGCTGAAAGAAGTCTATTGTGACTCTTGCAGCATGTGGTCGGCCATTATCTTGTTGGAAAGTTGGATCTGCCAGGGTGTCAAGATAGGGTAAAAGATGGGGTTCTAGAACTTCGTGGATATAACGCTGTGCGTTCATGTTACCTCTGATGAAGATTAAAGGTGACCTGGAACCATAAGCTATAGCACCCCAAACCATAACTCCAACAGTGTGATGAACATGTCTTTCAACAAAAAACTGTGGATTCCTCCTTTCACCACGTCGCCTTCTAACCCTGGCACGACCATCGTGCATGCCTAAACAAAATCGAGACTCGTCACTAAAGACAATACTGTTCCATTCCTGATCCCAGAGTGACCGTGGTCTGCACCACTCAAGGCGATTACGTCGGTGTTCTCGAGTTAAAGGGAGGACCCAGTGTGGCCGGTATGAAAACAAGCCAAAACTTCTCATTCGTCGGTAAACACTTCGCATGCCAATAGGTCTTCCGTGCTCTGCAAACCATTCATTTGCAATGGACCTGGTAGTGGAGAAACGGTCCCTTAAGACCAACAATCTTAGGCGGCGATCTTCACGGTCTGTTGTTCTACGGCGGCGTCCAGTGTCCCTTGATCTTTGCGTACGGCCTTCTCGAAGCCATGCCTGACAACACCTAACCACAGTGTCTACACTTCTCTGCACTCTAACTTCAATTGCCCGAAAAGAAAGTCCAGCTTCCCGAAGTCCCACTATACGGCCCCTATCAAACTCACTAAGTTGACGAAATCGTACAGGTCTCCGTACTCTAGGCATCGTAACCGATCGTAAAGGATGTCAAGAACCAAAATCCGCCAACGTTGATTCTTTACTGCGGCTGAAATATTCATTTTTAGAGCGTTATTGAATTAAAAAAATGCAGTATAAAAACCGGAATGTCCAACTGATAAGGCTGAAAATTTTTTCACTTGTTATTTACAGTAAGATAAATATATTCACCAACTTTTATTAAAATAAAACCATTTAAACTGGGTGTTCGGATTTATATGTCACTTAGTATATTTATTTTTCAATTTATTATTGAAATTCAGCTTTATAACTCAATTTCTGTAGGATTTTTATTACACGTTTTTTAATAACAATTGCTTTCACATTGGCACAATTAGGGGATATGCGTTTGAAAAAGTAATTTATGTAATGTTTGATTCCAGGAACATCAAAGGACAATCCGCAAATAGCAGTCAGCAAACCTCGTTCAATCATCTTCGAGAACCCTCATCCAACCGTAGCACCAACCAATAACGTGAACACCATCATGACCCACATCAAAGACGTGGTCAAGACCATCGACGTGGTTGTTGGAGAGCACACGGCCAGGCAGTTCGTCACCTTGGTCAAAACGTTGAGAGGAAGTACCACCAAGGACATGTTGGCAGCTTACAACCAAGTGAAATCTGGAGCTGGTTTGAGTGATAAGGACGCTGCAAAGAAAGCATTTTTGGATGCGGTGCTGCAAGCGGGTACTGGAGAGGCTATTGAGGTTGCTATGACTCTGTTGAAGAACAATGAGCTGAACGATTGCGAGAAGAAATTGGTGTACTACGGAATGGCGATGGCTAGACATGCTACTGAATCATCGTTGATCACTGCTGCCGTAAGTATTGAATTCTTAAGAGTTGTGCTTTCGGTGCTTTATTGTGTCTCTACACATGACGACTCTTGTACCCCAGTCAAGCTCAGACATTTTGGTTCCTGGCAGGCTGCAAGGGCCCTAGTCTGATGCCCAATAATGCCCAGGAGCCACGTAAAATACAACGTTGCAATTCAACCCCACTTGACATTTTTTGTATAAATTCTTCAGGGATAATATTTATTTTTAAGCAAAACATTTCTCAAACTGTGCCATAAGTTTACTGAAAATCTAAGTTTGCTGTGCTACCCCAGACCAGACCCAGACTGCTGATAAGTGATCAAAAAGTACGAAGCAGCAATCCAGGCTTGTCCATCTGTGGACGGACAGACGAAACATCATTGCGCTTACTTGTTTTTACACCATGCCCCCACTTCCACTGACCTTTATCTATTTACATTTTTTCTTCTCCACAGGGTCTTCTGGGTCACAAGAACCTGCCCCAAGAAGCCTACCTAGGCATCGGTAGCCTAGCAGGAAAATTCTGTCGTGACCATCCTTGCGACAAGGTCGAAGCTGTCAACAAACTATCGCAAAAGCTGGTTGCTAAATTGACAGGAAAGGTGAACAACAAGAAAGACGAGACCGAACAAATTTACGTACTGAAAGCTTTGGCCAATTTTGGCTACATCAGCGATAACGTGCTGCAAAAGGTCATGGCTGTCGCTCAGGATAAGCAAGCTCCTAACAGGTTTGTGGAAAATCTACAGCTTTTCTGATCCCTCTGCAAATGATTTACTTCTATTGTTATACACAGGGTGTTCCTTAATGATATGCGAATATTTGAGGGTGTGAATGAATCTACATGAACAATTAATGTGAGTTTGCTATGGCCCAAAAATGTTTCCTTACAAAAACTCGGGGTGTTGAAGTTTTAGGAAAAAAATGGAAATTAATTAATATTTTCAGAACCGCTTCAGATATTCCACTGATATTTAACACATAGTGAAAGTTATTAAAGTTGCATATTTTTCAATGCAAAAATAATCTTTATCTTTAACAGTGGCGTGCGTACGGGTGTTGACTTCAATAGTTTTTAAGAAAAAAATGGTACTCCAATGGTTTTTTGCAAAATAAAAATTATTTTTGAATTTCCCGTTCAATTTAAAACATATGATCTTGGTTGAATTGTTTTCCTTCGATGCGCCATTTTTGAGTAAAACAATAAGAACCGTTTTATTGTCTAACTTGCAAAATTATTATTAATTTAGTTGGAAAAATCAAACACATTAGAGGTAATGAACAACAACTGACAACATAAACATAACATTAAAACCAACAAAATGATTACAAAAATTGTTGAAAATGGCCCTCTTCACTTAGTATGCATGATTCCGCCCCCCGGAGTGTTTTTTCACAAGCTGCAACTATTCTGTCTCTTACTTCCTCTACAGTGTTAATGGGACTTGTGTACACTAGTGTCTTAAGATAGCCCCACAAAAAGAAATCTAAACGGTTGAGGTCTACCTTCAGATGTTCCTTTTAGGACAGAACCAGTTTCAATGAGTCGACGATGAATATTAGAGAAGGTTCGACTATCTGGCAAAGCACGATCGGGATATCTCTAGTGATAAATCCGACTGGCTTGCTCACCATTACCGTCGGAAAGGCCATATACGTAATGCATTTCCGCCATTTCTACATTTGAATAGTTCACCATTATTAACAAGATTGTAAAAACTAAATAATGAAAAACATGTCACTGCGAACAGATTTGAATAACAGACATTTGTCAGATGTCAAAAGCCAGTGACATATTCCAGAGCAACTAGATATTTATCGCCAAATTGCAATCTTCAATTATTACATCAATTTTCTCGGACAATAGAACAGTTTTTATTTTTTTACTCAAAAATGGCGCCTCGAAGGAAAACATTTCTAGAGAGATCATTTGTTTTAAATTGAACGAGAAATTCAAAATTAATTTTTATTTGAATAAAAACCATTGGCGTAGCATTTTTTTAAATATTGAAGTAATACCCGTACGCAGGCCACTGTTATAGCTAAAATTATTTTTGCATTGAAAAATATGCAAGCTTTATTAACTTCCACTACGTCCTAAGTATCAGTGAAATATCTGAAGCGGTTCTGAAAATATTAATTAATTTCCATCTGTTTCCTAAAACTTCAACACCCCGAGTTTTTGTAAGGAAACATTTTTGGACCATAGTTTATAAAGCAAACTAACATTAATTTTTCAGGTAGATTCACACCCTTAAATATTCGCATATCATTAAGGAACACCCTGTATTTGCAAAGATCTTTGAGATAATCTTGCACAAATGCATTTATTTGGAAATTGAAAACCAGCTCTCGCTTTATCAGCATGGATTCACTGCCAAAAGATCTGTTATCACTAATCTACTAATACTAACTCAATACATATCAGAAGCTCTTGATGATAGTAGCCAGATAGATGTAATAGGTATACATGCATCGACGCAGAAGGAGCCTATTTTGAAAGTTTTTAAAGAATTGTAACGATTGGCTCAATAAATTTGTTTGAATTGACTCAGTTCTATTACTTTCCGGACAAACCCTGTATACGGTTTTCGCAGAAGCTTTTGATAAAATTCATCATAATGTTTTGGTTGACAAACTAGTAGATTTTGTATTTTCTGATGAGGCTGTGAAGCTTATGTTATCATTCTTATCAGATGGGCAAACATTTGTCTTGTATAATGGGTTTAAGTCGGAAACCTATGGAGCTATATCTGGAGTTCCACAGGGATCAAACCTAGGACCGTTACTTTTTCTAATTTTTATAAATGATTTATTGGATGCTTTATGCAGCTTGACCTGATTTAGGACTGGTGAAACAATGATAAATTAAAACTAAATGTAGATAAGTGTAAGGTGATCAGTTTCACAATGAAGAAATAATTTATAGATCTTACCTATAATATTGGTGGAAAGAACGTGATTAGATGTACAGAGGTTGGGGATTTAGGTGTTATTTTCTATTGCAAGTTCTCTTTTTCTAAACATATTGAGAAAACTGTATCTGAAGCATTCAGATCATAAGGGTTTTTGATGAGGAATTGTATGAGTTTTGACAATATCAGCACTATTAGAATACTTTACTTACATTGGGTCGACCATAACTGGGATGACCTACTCGAATACCTCGCCGTCCAGATCGACTTCCTGAACATCAATCACCCCGCTACAGAGGTAGTTCTTCTCGGTGATTTCAATGCCCATAATGAGCTTTGGTTGGGCTCAAATAAGACCGATGCAGCAGGTCGTGAAGTCGAAGCGTTCGCTCTTACTCAAGGGCTGACCCAGCTGGTGACGAGCCCTACTTTTTTCCCCCGCGTCTCGTCACACGCCAGTAGCCTGCTGGATCTCTTTCTGACCACGCATCCTGCCCCTTACAGCACTGCCATCCTGTCCCCCCTGGGTAACTCAGATCACGGTGTTGTGGAGGTTAGGTTTCGGTCAGAAGCCGCTGTGGCCGCAGAAACTCGCACAGGCCGCAAAACTTGGCATTACGGACATGCCGACTGGGAGGGGCTCAGAGACTTCTTCTCTAGCTTTCCTTGGAGAGATGTCTGTTTCACTGACGCGGATGCGTCGACTGTCTGTTCTTCAATAACCGAAATTGTCCACGTCGGAATGGAGGAATACGTCCCTCACACAGTGAAAGTTCCTAAACCAGGGTCCAACGGCTGGTTCAACAAATCGTGTGACACTGCTCGCCAGCAGAAGATCAAGGCCCACAGAACCTACTTACAAAACCCCACTGTAGAGAACAGACAAGCCGACGTCGAGTCCAGAAACAAATATAACGAAGCGGTTCGCAATGCCAAAACCCAGCATGATATAAAAGTTAAGCACAGGGTAATGTCGCAGCGCAATGGCAGTCGGTCTTTCTGGACGCTGGCCAAGCAGATTGAAAAGAACTTCTCACACAGTAGCCTTCCACCACTTACGTGTCAGGATGGAACTATTGTATTCGACTCAAAGGCCAAGGCGGAAATGCTAGCCAAGATCTTTGCTGCCAACTCCACCATGGACGTCCCCACCAACGCCCAAGTGCCGTCAATTCAAAGGGTTCCCCACACTATGCGGGAGGTAACATTCAGGCATAAGACCGTAAGACGAGTGCTCTTGTCGCTCGACATCAACAAAGCTTCTGGTCCGGACTTGATTCCTGCCATTGTACTGAAGAGATGTGCAGCTTAGCTTGCTCCAGTTCTTTCGCGTCTCTTCCAGATATCTTATGAATCCGGCACCTTCCCAGAAAACTGGAAATTTGCTCATGTACAGCCCATCCCAAAAAAAGGATCTAAAACCGACCCTTACAACTACAGGCTTTTAGCTCTGCTTTCTATTATAAGTAAAGTGATGGAGAGGTGCATAAATCGCGAGCTTCTGGACTACCTCGAACGTCACAGCTTGATTAGCGACAGGCAGTACGGTTTCCGGCACCAACGATCCACAGAGGACCTCCTAGCTTACGTCACGCAACTGTGGAGTAAACTCATCCAGTCTCATGGTGAGGCTCATGTCGTTGCTCTTGACATCACGAAAGCGTTCGATCAGCTGTGGCACGCTCCCCTATTGAGCAAACCTCTATCCTACGGCCTCCCAGAAAAGCTTTGCAGATGGGTGGCTGACTTTATATCTGGCCGCAAGATATCCGTCGTAATTGACGGATTCTCCTCTTCATCCCACAACGTCAACGCGGGTGTTCCCCAGGGATCGGTCTTGGCTCCAACACTGTTTCTCTTACATATCAACGACCTCCTTTCCTGCACGATCAACCCAATCCACAGCTTCGCTGATGACAGCACTCTACATGCAGGAATTCAGAGTGACAAGCCGATCTCTGCCGCTGAGCTGGAAAAAAGAAGACTAGCGACGACTTCTTCTCTGACAAGAGACCTGGAGGCTATCACTGCTTGGGGACGCAACAATCTTGTACAGTTCAATGCTTCCAAAACACAGTACTGTACTTTGACGAACAAAAAGCGTCCTAGCGCTCATACAGTTTCGATGGACGGTCGAGTTCTACCAAAGAGCCATTCATTTCGGCTGGTCGGAGTCCAGATCAACGAGGACCTGGTCTGGCACGAACACATCTCTTCAATAGCTGCAGCTGCTGGAAAAAAGCTAGGCTATTTGTTTAGGGCTAAGAAGTACTTTTCTCCGCATGACCTTCTCACTCTATACAAGGCCCAGATAAGGCCTAGCCTCGAGTATTGCTCACACATTTGGGGTGCTGCCGCCCCGACTACATTGTCCATGCTCGATGCTGTCCAGAGGAGGGCGGTCCGACTGATTGATGACTCTTCTCTAACAGACAGTCTCGGGACTCTTTCGCACCGGCGGGCCATCGGCGATCTAGCTCTTTTCTATCGCTACACCAACGGGCTTTGCTCCTCAGAGCTCTCTTCCATGATGCCGCCGCGCGATGTGCCTGCCAGACAGACCCGCCTGACTTCGGCGTCCCATCCTAACCGTGTCAAACTTCGTACATCCAGAACTGGCCGATACGACCGCTCCTGTGTCCCGAGGGTGTCTAGATTGTGGAACAAACTACGGGAGGAAGTTTTTCCCAGTTCTACTAACCTTAGGCAGTTCAAAAATCGTATTAACAAAATTTCTTTGGGATCATCATAGCAGCCGCGGTGTTCCGGCATTTAGGCTTCTGCCTGCGCGGCTGTTTCGATATAAAAAAAAAAAACTTGATTATGCCAGCATTATACGGAATCCATGTTATCCTTCGAACATTTCTTGAATTTCTTTCCATTAAATTTGACGACATTGATCCCGGAAGGGGAATTATGTGAATTTGAAATAGAGCAGAGAAGAGACTTCACGGCGGCGTCGTTTTTATTTAATTCGAAGTAGCTTCTCGTTCATAGTGTGAGCACGGAGAATATAATTTTGGAAGCAAAATGTTGATATTCCGCCAAAAAGAAAATTTTGGAAAACACGCAGCCGAACAATTGACTTGAGTAAAATACGTAACATTTTTCAGATTGAGAGCTGTTGCTTTGGAAACTTACATCGCCGATGCATGCAAGGACAAGCTGAGGAACAGTGCACTTAACATACTCCAGGACATCCAACAGGACTCTGAAGTGAGGATCAAGGCTTACTTGGTCTTAGCACAGTGCCCTACGGCGAAAATTGGAAATGCCATCAAAACAATGCTGGAAAAAGAACCCAGTTACCAAGGTAAGAGGAAAATAAGGGAAAGAAAATGTAATCATTCATTTTGCAAAGCCTGGTTGATGATCAGCATAGAAACGGGCAAGGCGTAAGCTCAGACCTAGCTTTAAGGAAGCTAATACTTATTTCAATTGAAATTCTTAATTCAGAGTGTAAAATTAATTTCGAGATTTTTAACCTTTCATAGTCAGTTCAGTTACATCTAAATAAAGTATGGAATTTAAGGAAGCATATATTATGAATAATAAATGGGCTTTATTTCGTACACAAGTAGAAAAAGGCTAAGAATAGCGCTTTGCAACTTAACCTTTTAAATAAAAACAAATTGTAATACAATACTGATCTAATAGAATTGTAATCTTTTTTTACTATTTTGATCACTTACCAGTAATTTGGAACTCTCTATATTAACGATAGAGTACCGATTCCTAGGCCAAATACTTTTCAATGATTGAAACTATACAGGGTGTCCGCAAAGTTGGGGTTTTCCTTTACACGACGTGTAGATCTTGAAAACATAAGCAATTTTTCTTAATACCATATACACCAATGTCTTAAGGGAACCGAGATAAAGGGCTCTGCAACATCAAAAATATCTGAATACCGCCCTGTAGCCGCGACATCCCCGAGTGGTACTAGGACACTAGCTCAACCCGACGACAGAACTGGGTCGGGGTCAGTGTGTCAGGTCAGTATGCAACCTTCAACCGACGGTTACGGTCACGCGTGTAGGGGTAATCGCGTAGACGAGAATCCCTCAACAAGCACTAGAGACGTGGCTAGAGAAGTGCAAGTATCAAAAACTAAAGTGTGGCAAACGCTGCGTGAAGAGGGGCTGTATCCGTTTCACGTCCAACGTGTAGAAGCCCTTCAACCTGACGATTTTCCAGCAAGAGTGCGGTTTTGTGAGTGGTTGTTGCATCAACATGACAATAATCTGGACTTTTTGAAGTGCATCTTGGTGACAGACGAATCTACGTTCACGCGTAATGGGGTGAATAACTTTCGCAACACTCATGTTTGGTCAGTAGAAAATCCGCACGCTGTCCGTCGGGCACATTTTCAACAAACATTTTCGGTGAATGTTTGGGCTGGCATGGTGAACGGTATGCTCATTGGACCATTTATTCTCCCAAATCGATTGGACGGGATGCAATACCTAGACTTTTCACGCAACATTTTGCCTTCCTTGTTAGAAGGTATGCCATTAAGTGTAAGACAATCAATGTGGTTTCTGCGTCTGCTCGGTAGCGCTTCAGCTGATTTCATTTTCTGTTGGAGCGGTATGATTTCGGGCAGAGACGTACTTAGCCCTTCTCGTCAACTGGAGAGTGAGTACTTTTTCCTTTATTTTTTTTTACTTGGTCGCCCTCGTTTCACTACACATTACCTTTGTTATTTCAAGGGTAGTTGTTTCTGAAAAGGAAAACCCCAACTTTGCGGACACCCTGTATAATCCTGAAAGTTTGTTTTCACACATATTATATCTTTCTTTCTTAGCGACTCAGTATTGTGTTGAAGTCTTTTGGATACTACTGCTATAATATTTTATTAATGACTATCTCAGAAATGTCCTCGTAAAACATCATTGGTCTCCCGTAGACTCCTTTACCCGCAATATTATTTTGGGAAATAATACGGTCCTGAGGTATCCCCATAGACAACCAGTGATGTTCTTTGTACAGGTTCGGCTGCGGAACTTTTCTTGATCATTTCCGGTCGAAGCGTTGGTTAGGAACGTGTGGTAGTAGTAGTAGAAATATTTATTTAGCACATTTGGCTACATAAACAGAATAATTGTAACAAGTTAGAATTAGTAAATTCAAGCCGTATGATGTATGATGTAAATGCTGGACAACCTAACAAGTGATTCCTCAATTTTACTTTAAATTTTGTCAAAGTTTTCTGGTCTTTTACCTCTGTGTATAATTATTTATGATATTCAATCAAGCCTTGATTTGTAGCATATCTGTATGTTATACTTTTTGGTCATTAAATGGAAGTCATCTTTATTTCTGGTATTATGCAAATGATGGTCGACATTTGATGATGTTAAATTAGTTAGACTTGATGGAAATATATTATTTTTTACTTTATAAATGAATATCATTACAAGATATTTGATATTTTTTTTACATTGAGCCGTTTTCATTTGCTAAGCATTTGTCTAATTGGAGTATATTTATCTTTATTCAGTATTATTATCATGCACTTATTTTGTAAAATTGGCACTCTTTCAGAAATGGAATTATTTGCTAAATATAGAATAGTCGAACAGTACAAGAAATTTGGAAGAATGATGGTATTATAGATAATTTTCTGCTATATGAAATCAGACATCCAGAAACTCTCGATAAATATCCCACTTTACTACTAATCTTATTTATAACTTTTCCATAATGAATATCAAAAATTAATCGAGAGTCAACAAAAACCCCCAGGTATTTAAAATTTTCTACGAACTCAATATCTTCACCATCAATATTCAGTTGAGAGAGTATAGGATTTGATTTTCAAAAAAACACAAAAAAATTGAAAAAACGATTAAATCTTTATTTGAGTCGATAGAACGATCGATATAATTTAATGTTTAAAGATTATTTCATGTAACTGTTGGTCGCGGCTCCGCTTTAGATGGCCCATGCGCAAGGTGCAATTTTGGCACACTCTCTCCAACATATCGGCCGGTATCTCACGAATAAATGCTTCAATATTGGCTTCCAGTGCGTCAATCGTTGCTGGTTTATCCCTGTAGATATTAACCTTAACATGGCGACATGGCCCCACAAGAAATAGTCCAACGGCGTTAAATCACCCGATCTAGGCGGCCAATTGACGGGCCCCAAACGTGAGATAAACTGTTCACCGAACTCGCCTCTCAATAGGGCCATTGTTTCGTGTGCGGTGTGGCATGTGGCACCGTCTTGTTGAAACCACATGTCAGCCAAGTCCAGCTCTTCCATTTTGGGCAAAAAAAAGATTGTTATCATCGCACGGTAGCGCTCGCCATTCACAGTTACGTTCCGGCCATTGTCGTCTTTGAAGAAGTACGGCTCGATGATGCCACCGGCCCATAATCCACACCAAACAGTGATTTTTTCGGGATGCATTGGTAGCTCTTGCAATGCTTCTGGCTGGTCTTCACTCCAGATGCGGCAATTTTGCTTGTTAACGTACCCATTCAACCAGAAATGAGATTCGTCGCTGAACACAATTTTTCGATAAAAATGTGAATCTTCCTCCAACTTTGCCAGCGCCCATACACCAAATTGGAAACGTTGTGGTAGGTCGTGTGGCTTCAATTCTTGCACCAGCTGTATCTTATAAGGTTTTACACCCAAACCCTGTCGCAAAATTTTCCACGTAGTGGAGTAACAGAGGCCCAATTGCTGCGAACGGCGGCGAATCGACATTTCACGGTCATCACTAACACTGGCGGATACAGCCGCAATATTTTCTTCAGTCCTCACTCTATGTATGCGTGTAGGTGGTTTAATGTCCAATAATGTAAGCTGGGTTCGAAATTTAGTCACAAGCTTCCGAATAGCTCCCTCAGTAGGCCGACCAAATTGCCCATAAATTGGAAGCACTGCTCGATGCACTCTCTTAACCGAGCATGAATTTTGATAGTAAAATTCAATAATTTGCAAGCGTTGTTCGTTCGTAAGTCGATTCATGGTTAAATTATAGACCAAACTGAAGAAGTTTGACAATGACACAAGACACGATTCACGCGTCATCTGTCAAAAACACTGTTGCCAAAAAGATACTAGCAAAAAAATCACCCATTATAAAATAAAAAGTAGTGGTCCCAGGATACTGCCCTGTGGAACACCCAACGTATTGTGTTGAAGTGTACTGTCGGCCATTCAATTGATTTCCAGATTTTGGGTATATTTGGCCCCAATCACCAGTTTATGGAGTAGCACTCTTTCTTGTAACTACCTTACGTTTATTTATTTGGTTTGGGTGCTACCGCTCTATTTTTTATGGGATTTTAACCTCTGCAGCCTGGGGAAGCATTGAATCAATATATAAATATCTATAAAATAGTTAATTAAAACGATATTTTACCTGTCAGAGTTTTTTTTTCTCAAGAGAAAGCTTATTGAGAAGATATCATTACGTCTACAAAGCTCTCATCCAACTCATATAACTGACAACTTTTTGGTTGTACTCTAGCTTTCTGAGGAAATGAACATTCATCGAACTATTTATTGCTTGCAGTTGGTGGATTCATCGTATCCCACATCCGTAACATCAAGGCATCCGCAAACCCGGACAAAGATCTAGCCAAGCAGCACCTCGGCTTCAGCCTGCCCAGGAAATTCCCCATCGATCCCAGGAAATGGTCCTACAGCGGAGAATTCTCCTACGCCATTGACACTTTGGGACTGGGTGCCAGCACCGAAGCTAACGTCATCTACTCCCAGGACAGCTGGCTGCCAAGGAGCAGCAGCTTGAACCTGACCGCTGAGATCTTCGGACACAACTTCAACTTCCTGGAGATTCAAACCAGGCAGGAGAATTTAGATAGATTGGTCGAACACTACTTTGGACCTAAAGGTATCTTGAGGACATCGTCTTTGGGAGACCTGTACAAAAACAACGAACAGCTGGCGAAGAAATTATACAAGCACCTGCAAGAAAAATTGACTTCTACCTTGAGGGCGAGACGTGATGTATCTAAAGCTGAAATCGATAAAATTGGACAGCATGTGCAGATCAAGGAGCACCAATTGAACAAAGATCTTGATTTGGATATTAGCTTGAAGGCATTTGGGTCAGAAGTTGCTTTTGCTAACTTGAACGTATACCAACATGGATTGACACCTGAGGCTGTTATCGACAAGATTATTGGACAATTTGCTCAGGGATTGGACAAACTTAAACAATTCCAGGTATGATGCAATCGATCGCGGGAACAAACTTTATATTAGGTTATTCAAAATTCATTTTATAGGAAGCAATAATTTGGAAATAGGTTTTTTTTAGTCATGATGAAATTAAGTTTATTTGCAACAGGCAGATTCACCGAATTGCAAGAAAATATCAATCAGTATTAATAAAGCAGAGGAAACAAATTCATAGATAAGAACAACATATTTAAATTTAGTGTCGTTGAATGTGAAAGCCTCGATACTATAATAAATTTTCGATAAATAAGTGATGATGACATTTAATATCAAGCGACAAATCATTAATACATATTAAAAATAATAATGGTCCCAAGTTGGACCCTTGAGGAACTCCGAAAGTAGCTATGTAGTTATTAGACTTGAAACCGTCATATTCCATAAGCAGTGTTCTGTCATAAGAATTTGTGGAGTTGACGAGGCGTCAAATATGAGAAAAATAACTCAGGTTATCAATCGCAAGTTAACTGCAACGTGGCCACTAGCCAGAAAGCGTTTCTCAAGGTCAAGTTCTTACTCTGACGAATCCTATACATAAAGTGTAAAGTATCTCAAGCGAATAAAGAATTTTTGGATTTGACTAGATGGTCAGACTGCTTACAAAGCTCAAGTATTGACATGTATTCTTTTGCAGGACACTCTTCGTGCCAACATGATCTTCATGGACCTGGAACTCGACTACCCAACAAGCACTGGTTTCCCGCTACGCCTGGGTATCGAAGGTACCGCCAATGTTCAAATGAAGACCGAAGGCTCAGTCGATGTGCGCGCCATCTTGAACGGCAAGCCCAACAAGATCCACGTCAAATTGATTCCCAGCGCAAGCGTGGAACTGTCGGCTAGATTCACATTTGATGCCCATACTGTTGAGAGTGGTATGAAGGTCATCACCAACCTTTACACCGCTACCGGAGGAGATATTACTGTAGATATGCAAGGTGGAGCCAATGTTGATGTTAAGGTGAGCTATATTGTGACAGTAGAAGGTTCTTGACGTTTCGTACCCAGTTTACGATGTTTGCAATCCACATTAGCAGCCAAACTGTTTTCTCTTACATGGTTAGCTTTGACGAAGTCAAGCAAAATGCATTTATTCCAGAAATATCACCGTTGATAATTGTGTGAAAAATTGGAGTTCTTCCTTGATGATCTAAATGAGTAATTTTTGTTTCCCATGGTCACCATCATATGAGGTCTTGAATGGCTACTACGTTGTCAAAAAAACGACGAATCCTAAAGAGTGTTTGGACAGATCAAAATCAATAATGTCTTGCCGATAAATCGGGATCAGTATGCCTCAGGGTTCGTTTATTGGACCATTGCTCTTTTCACTATTTACTCATGACGTATGTTGTCCCAGTGACTGTGAAGTGACTATGTTGATGACGCTGGTGGCCAGTCGATTCGGGGAGTCTGGTTGATAAATTAATTAGTAAAATACGTTAATATACTAAGTGACATATAAATCGGAACACCCAGTTTAAATGATTTATTTTAATAAAATTTTTGTATAAGTACTTAGTGAAGCATAATAAGTAAATGATAAAAATTTCAAAATGATTGCACTGCTTTAAAGCCCTTTGACCTTTAATAATGTCCGGATGCACCCTGATGTGCTACGCATTCTCCAACGCGCCTAGGCATGCTTCTGATGAGGTGGTCAATGTCCTCCTGTGGTATCTCATTCCAGGCAACCACCAACTCCTCTCGAAGTGCTTCTAGAGTCTGAGGAGGACGTTGGAAATTGAGCAATCTCCTACCCATCATATCCCACACGTGCTCAATTGGGGATAAGTCGGGAGATCTTGGTGGCCATGGTAACAATGTGACATCATTATGTTGAAAGAAGTCTATTGTGACACTTGCAACATGTGGTCGGGCATTATCTTGTTGTAAAGTAGGATCTGCCAGGGTGTCAAGATAGGGTAAAAGATGGGGTTCTAGAACTTCGTGGATATAACGCTGCGCGTTCATGTCACCTCTGATGAAGATTGAAGGTGACCTGGAACCATAAGCTATAGCACCCCAAACCATAACTCCAACAGTGTGATGAACATGTCTTTCAACAAAAAACTGTGGATTCCTCCTTTCACCACGTCGCCTTCTAACCCTGGCACGACCATCGTGCATGCCTAAACAAAATCGAGACTCGTCACTAAAGACAATACAGTTCCATTCCTGATCCCAGAGTGACCGTTGTCTGCACCACTCAAGGCGATTACGTCGGTGTTCTCGAGTTAAAGGGAGGCCCAGTGTGGCCGGTATGAAAACAAGCCAAAACTTCTCATTCGTCGGTAAACACTTCGCATGCCAATAGGTCTTCCGTGTTCTGCAAACCATTCATTTGCAATGGACCTGGTAGTGCAGAAACGGTCCCTTAAGGCCAATAATCTTAGGCGGCGATCTTCACGGCCTGTTGTTCTACGGCGGCGTCCAGTGCCCCTTGCTCTTTGCGTACGGCCTTCTCGAAGCCATGCCTGACAACACTTAACCACAGTGTCTACACTTCTTTGCACTCTAACTGCAATTGCCCGAAAAGAAAGTCCAGTTTCCCGAAGTCCCACTATACGGCCCCTAAGTTGACGAAATCGTACAGGTCTCCGTACTCTAGGCATCGTAACCGATCGTAAAGGATGTCAAGAACCAAAATCCGCCAACGTTGATTCTTTACTGCGGCTGAAATATTCATTTTTAGAGCGTTAGTGAATTAAAAAAAAGCAGTATAAAAACCGGAATGCCCAACTGATAAGGCTGAAAATTTTTTCACTTGTTATTTACAGTAAGATAAATACATTCACCAACTTTTATTAAAATAAAACCATTTAAACTGGGTGTTCGGATTTATATGTCACTTAGTATATTTGTAACGATAAATACTTATTCACAAATAATAGAATTATTACATAAAAACAATAAATAACTAAACATCATAAAGTGTTATAAATTGATAAAAAGGCAGTACTTGTATCATACAAATAATAAAAACAGCATAGTTTGAATACTACTGCTTTTTTGCATTGATAAATTGATTTACTGTTTTTATGAATAGGAAATGTAGTTAATATGTGACAAAACAGTGAAAAACTCACTAAATAACTAAATAACGTGATCAATAATATATTTTATAATTGTAATTGGTGTCGAAATTTAAAAAAGACAGCAAATGAACTTAAATACAGCAATAGTACTTCAACCCGCGGACCGCTCTGACACAAGCCTCAAGGAGTAATTCCTTTATATTTAAAGACTACTTCTTCTTTTTTGATTCTCGAAAAATCGCTGCCTTTCAAAAATACAGGGCGAACAATACATCTTTAAAGTGAGAATTTATGCTGACGGAACTCACATATTAAGCCTTTTAATCTTTAAACTGTTTAAATGAGTCCTTCAGATAGAATACAAGTCCCCAATTTCCCCTCAAGCGCCGTTTTACACACAAGAGAATTACTCCGAAAATTATTAATTATTAACCTGTATGACACAAGCAAACAAAATTTCCCAGTAATTCATATGACACGCCTGCGCATTAGAGTAATATTTTCGAATGGACATAACCTTAACGGGTATGACGTCCAATATAATCGGAAAGACAACAGACGTCGTTGATTTAAATTTATTTTTGAAATCGAGATCTTGGTTAATATTATAAAACTTCTCAATGTTTGGAGTATCGCATCCAGCGCCTGACGGCGCAAATTTCTGTTTTTGTAATTGGATGACTTCACCTTGTACAGGTTTGGCCATTTTTGGTACTCCTCCAACAACAGTGTAACTTCTTCCCGATTCCACGACATTATGAATAAACAACAATAAACGCTTCTTCGTACGACTCGAACAGGACCACACCCGCAAATGTTAAGTGAGGTTATGTTGTTGACGTTGACATTTGATAATGACATGCACGGAAATTACCCTCTGCGTCGATTCTCGCGCATATTCTATAGAACGGGTTTTATATTTTTACCATGAAAATTTTCACAAGAATTCTTTTACGTGTAATACGACAGCAAAAATTTTCGGCATAATTATAACCATAATTTTTGGATTAATTCTCTTGTGTGTAAAATCAGCGATCGACACAAAAAACGTAATTTTTGTCAATGGATGTGGGCTGAGGAAATTTCATGTTCCGACTTCTTAATTTAAAACAATACAAATTCGATAAAAAAACAGGATGCTTCACAAATGACAAGTTGTTAATATCTGGATATTTCATGCTGTTTCAGGTTGGTCTGCCCGTGAAAGAAATGAAACTGATCAGTGCTAACCACGAGATTGTCTCCCACGTGAGAGAGCAATCCGGCCAAGAGACCAACAGTCCTCTGAAGTTCGCACAGGCAAAAGACTTCTCCATCTGTCTGGATCAACTTAGTCCCTTCATTGGACTCACGTTCTGCGGTGAAATCAACGGACCAAATCTAGCTGGAAAGGACGTCCCTGTTTTGCCGTTCCCGTTGGCTGGAGACTCAAAGGTATGTACGCCGTTGATATTCATTGTAATTACGTTTCATCCAAGTTTGATTTTGTGATTGTTCTAACATCAGTGCTTGATATACGTGGGTAGTCTTAAAGGTAAGATTTCTCAATGCTGGATATTTGCCGCGCGTGATGCTAGGCGAAATCTGGCAACAACGTCGTGTTTATCGGCTCCCCCACCACCGATCCCAATAAGAAACGCCTAAATAGTTTTTTTTAAAATATTTCGAACAATATTTGATGTATAACAGTGAACATTGGTATACAAGGGTTTTTTGGTACGTCAAAACGAACCATGGGCATAGTTTTACTGTAGCCGCTAGAGGGCGCTCTCTACTGTACCTGTAGTGTATTAAAATGACCGAAAATTTTTTCTTAGTGCAATTTTGTGCTTTTTGAATAAAAAAAACTGATTTTTCGCACTTTTCAACATAAAAAAGCTCTCCTGTAAGTTTTCGTTATAGTTAGCCGTTTTTGAGATATTTCGATTTTTAAGGTTCGATGCATTTTTAATTATTTAAGGGAAAATAATATTTTTTTTACATTTTCGATTTGGGCATTACAAGTAATTAAGAAGATCGTTTAGATTGTGTTTTTAAACACAGCGATAATTCCTAACTCCAAATAAACACAAAAAAACAGAATATTAATTTGTTTAATTTACCAATATTATTTTTAACAAATTAAATTAATTATTTACAACTAAAATGCTATTGGATAGTTAGGACAAACATACAAAATCTAAAGTAGTTGCTCGAAATGTAAACCCAATTGTTCAATACACAATTCACATCTACGAATGATCGAACGTGGTATAGCATAATTCAAATAAGGCCTTATTTCATCACATGCATTCCTGATTTTGTCTATTAGCATATCTCTTGTGGTTACGGAAGTCTGGTACACTTTTTCTTTTAGAAATCCCCACACAAAGAAATCTAATGGATTTAGGTCAGGGGATTGCGGAGGCCAGGCGAGTGGTCCTCCACGGCCGATCCATCTTTCTGGATAATTTTCGTCCAGCCAGTTTCTAACTATTCTCGAATAATGAGCTGGACAACCATCAAGCTGGAACCAGGACAATCTTCTTAAATCTAACATAACATCATCCCACATATTTGCATGTTCAGCCTTTAAAAATTCCAAGAAGGTCGCAGCATTTAACCTTGAAGGCAGACGGTAGGGTCCAAATAGCCGATTACGGTAGATACCAATCCACACGTTCACACTAAATTCATGCTGAAAATTTCTTTCCCGAACTGCATGCGGATTTTCATGCGACCAAATATGTTGATTATGAAAATTTACTACTCCACGTCTAGAGAAGCATGACTCATCGGTCCATAAAGCGTTACTTAAAAACTCCCTATTATTATCAGTTCTATCAAGAATCCACTGACAAAATGTGATTCCTCGTTCTCCGTCCCCTGGCTGTAGTCCTTGCACAGGTTGCAAATGGTAAGGACGTCTATGGTCATTTCTAAGAACACGGTGAACATGGCTTGCTGAAATTCCCAAGGCACTAGAAACTGTCCTGACACTTGTGGTCGGATCTCTATCAAACTCACGCAGAATCATACGGGTAAATCTGCGCTGACGAACATTTATGTTTTGATACCTTTGGAGATTTCCAAAACCATTTTCAATAATTTGGCGATGCACTCTTACAAATACTGAGCGAGTTGGATGTCGTCTGTTTGGAAATCTTCGTGCGTATTCTCTGGCTGCTTCTGCTGCATTTATATTTACAAAGCCATACACAAAATGAATATCCGGTAACTCTTGATTGGAGAATAAAAATGGCATTTTTATAAAACGTACAAAAAAAAGCAGGTAAAAGAAACTAAATTTCGTGCATTCACAATTGCAAAAAAACGTTTCAGGTTTCAACACAAAACAAAACTAACTGTCAACTAATTGACGCTTAACCTTATTCTGCTTTCAATTTCAAAAATATTTGCAGGTACCGCCTACTTCTAAAAATTATCGAGATACTGACTTTTTAACGTTATTTTATGATAAATACGAGTAATTAAAAATGCATCGAACCGTAAATATCGAAATATCTCAAAAACGGCTAACTATAACGAAAATTCACAAGAGAGCTTTTTTATGTTGAAAAGTGCGAAGAATAATTTTTTTTATTCAAAAAGCAAAAAATTGCACTAAGAAAAATTTTTCGGTCATTTTAATACACTACAGGTACAGTAGAGAGCGCCCTCTAGCGGCTACAGTAAAACTATGCCCATGGTTCGTTTAGTCGCACCAAAAAACCCTTGTATACCAATTTTCACTATTATGCATCAAATATTGTTCGAAATATTTAAAAAAAACTGTTTTAGAAAGTAAATTTAAACAGCCTGTATTTCGGAAGCCACGCATTTTTCGACCCATGTTTATATAGACTTTATGCATTAATTTTAAAAGTTCTATCGAATCTTAAAGTTATGCAACAATAAACTGAAACACCCTGTATATTGGGAAACATGTATAAACATTGAACATGTTCTCAAATCGTGAAGAGAGTTCTCTGACGAACGCACGGACATCCACGATGAACAAAGAAGCCGTAAGTCGTCGATCTCTGAGGAGGTTGTGTCAAACATTAAAAAAATTTTGCTCGAAGATCGGCGAATCACGATTCTGGAATAGGTGGTAGAAATTCTTGAGGCTTCTGAAAAAGCTGAGACGGGCGATCCAAAATCGTCGTAGAGGAAAACTTACCAAAGCCTAAGACTGCAACAAAACGATGCGCATCCTCATGTCTCACAACAAACGAAGGACTATGGAGAAAAAAAGCTTTAGGATCATCGTTTCCAATAATAAATTAGTTTTTCCAAATGAAAAATTCCTTGTGCCTAAGAAAATGTGAGAATCTTATTTTTTAAGCAACCCTCGTAGATGACGTTTGGGCTTACAATATCCGTTTTTAAACTAAAAACCATTTCGATCAGAAGACAATAAAGTCATTTAAAACTACCTACAGTGTTGTTTTATTTCCATATGCAAAACTTAAAAGACATCCCTCGTAATAATGAGCTATGTATTGTTCATATGAAATTGCTTCACACAAAGGCACTGCTGTCTATAAAGTGATCCATTGCACTTTCCAAAAAACCAACTAACAGGATCAGGTTTTGTAATGACGTCATGTTTTGGCACGATATATTTTAACGTTTTCAAAGAAAATAGCTCGATTATTTGCTTTGGTGGTATTGCGTGGCCACCGCGATGACCAGATTTGACACCCATTGACTATTTCTTTTGGATATCCCAGGAGTATAATATACGTTAACACTGCGAGGTGTAACGTTAACTTCAAAGAAAATATCTATCGCGGAACAATTTAGCACTATCATGACGTGAGCCTTGAAAAATAAAATTCGCACATCTCAAGCGACAATTTTAATTCGTATGCCGCTGGGCGAGGAAGTATTGTAATCGCAAAAAATTTAGAAAATGGAAAAACATGTCACTGATTTCCTGTCTATCTGTCCGCTAGTCATTAGGCCGACTATAATTCGAGAAGTATCGCTGGGATTTGGATAAAATTTTCACGCAAGGTCACTACTATGCCAAGGATGAAAAAGTCTTGTGGTTTTTGGAAATCGGTCCCCTGGCGGCGAAGCTAGGGGCAAAAACATGAAAACTCGCTCAAATTTCGTTTTTCGGCATTTCAGAGGTCCCTGATCATTTTCAGAAAAAGGTTTGTGGTGTTTGAAGCTTGGGGGTTAAGGAGGTGAGAGACAGTTTGATGTAATTATACTAAGTGACATATAAATCCGAACACCCAGTTTAAATGGTTTTATTTTAATAAAATTTTGTATAAGTACTTAATGAAGCATAATAAGTAAATGATAAAATGATTGCACTGCTTTAAAGCCCTTTGACCTTTAATAATGTATGCACCCTGATGTGCTACGCATTCTCCAACGCGCCTAGGCATGCTTCTGATCAGGTGGTCAATGTCCTCCTGTGGTATCTCATTCCAGGCAACCACCAACTCCTCTCAAAGTGCTTCTAGAGTCTGACGAGGACGTTGCAAATTGAGCAATCTTCTACCCATCATATCCCACACGTGCTCAATTGGGGATAAGTCGGGAGATCTTGGTGGCCATGGTAACAATGTGACATCATTATGTTGAAAGAAGTCTGTTGTGACTCTTGCAACATGTGGTCGGGCATTATCTTGTTGGAAAGTTAGATCTGCCAGGGTGTCAAGATAGGGTAAAAGATGGGGTTCTAGAACTTCGTGGATATAACGCTGCGCGTTCATGTTACCTCTGATGAAGATTAAAGGTGACCTGGAACCATAAGCTATAGCACCCCAAACCATAACTCCAACAGTGTGATGAACATGTCTTTCAACAAAAAACTGTGGATTCCTCCTTTCACCACGTCGCCTTCTAACCCTGGCACGACTATCGTGCATGCCTAAACAAAATCGAGACTCGTCACTAAAGACAATACTGTTCCATTCCTGATCCCAGAGTGACCGTTGTCTGCACCACTCAAGGCGATTACGTCGGTGTTCTCGAGTTAAAGGGAGGACCCAGTGTGGCCGGTATGAAAACAAGCCAAAACTTCTCATTCGTATGCCAATAGGTCTTCCGTGTTCTGCAAACCATTCATTTGCAATGGACCTGGTAGTGGAGAAACGGTCCCTTAAGGCCAATAATCTTATGCGGCGATCTTCACGGTCTGTTGTTCTACGGCGGCGTCCAGTGCCCCTTGCTCTTTGCGTACGGCCTTCTCGAAGCCATGCCTGACAACACCTAACCACACTGTCTACACTTCTTTGCACTCTAACTGCAATTGCCCGAAAAGAAAGTCCAGCTTCCCGAAGTCCCACTATACGGCCCCTATCAAACTCACTAAGTTGACGAAATCGTACAGGTCTCCGTACTCTAGGCATCGTAACCGATCGTAAAGGATGTTAAGAACCAAAATCCGCCAACGTTCTTTACTGCGGCTGAAATATTCATTTTTAGAGCGTTAGTGAATTAAAAAAAAGCAGTATAAAAACCGGAATGTCCAACTGATAAGGCTGAAAATTTTTTCACTTGTTATTTACAGTAAGATAAATACATTCACCAACTTTTATTAAAATAAAACCATTTAAACTGGGTGTTCGGATTTATATGTCACTTAGTATATATTTATACGCTCCGAACCCTGATAACTCGATTTTCCATACATTTGCCATTAAAACAGATCGATGTCTAAGCTCACCTCCCGACATACCGGCAAGTCTAACTAATCTATCCTTACTGCAGCGCAAAAAACGTGTATACGGAATAAACAATAACTCACTGCAGCGGTGCCGCGATGAGCGCTGCCACGCAGATGTGGAAAGGGACAGCGTTGCCAGATGGACATTAACTACCGGCAGGCTAGGGAAAAAATGTCCATGGACTTGTTTGACTAATTTGATCTGTTTAATTTCTCTTTTTTACATTTCCGTAAGTGATTTAAATGGCGTGAACGTATTTCCTTATCAAACCCTGAGATACCAACTAAAACAATTTGAGAAGAACAAAACATTAACCTTTAATTTTTTTAGGTGTCAGTGACAATCGAAAACGACGACGTCCTGGAATACCACTTCAAACACCAGACGAACAACGAGCACACCTCCGGAGCTTTGACCATCGAGGCAATCGGCAAGAACAACCAGAAGAAGGTCAGCCTCCAAGTCAACGCTGAAATCCACCCTGAGAAATACATCAAGGCTGAGTTCACTTCACCATTAAAGAACGCCAACGCCGAGGGTAGAATCACCTTCAACGATCAAGAAAAGTCGATCCTGCTGAAGGCTGGATACGACCAGAACGAGTTCTACGGCAAGTTCGGGGTTGGTATCTCTGGAAATGGAGGCAAAACGGCGTACAAACCCATCCTGGAGTGGAAATCTCCAGGAGGTACCCAACAGCTACCGATCAATGTTGAAGGACAGCTCTTAGTTGACAAACAGGGATCTAACGAGAAGTACACCTTCGATAATATCAAACTGACACTTCCTAACGGCAAGGCTGTCACACTTAATGGAAACCTTGGAAACGATGGACCAGCGCTGTATACCGATCTGACCGTGTCTGACGGACAGCATTCTGGAAATGTTAAAGGTACGATCGTGTTTTATTTTTTATGCTATTGGCGAGGAACTATTAAATCGCCTGTCTATCGGTCTGTAAAAAATTTGTCCCTTCTATAACTCGGAAACTACCTCACGAAGTTTGATGACAGGTTATTACTACAATCTTGATAAGATAAAGAATCTTTATAATTTTTGAAAATTGAATTAGAGGGCACCTCTACAAGCAAAAAAAACAGTAATTGCTAAAACTTCGTTATTTGACGTCTAAGAAGCTCCTGTTTACTTTTTAAAAAGATTTGAGGTAAATTGTGGACTAAAGAATTGGGGGGTGAGGGGTTCGGAGAGGGTGTATCTTAATTTTCTAACTGTACTGTATTTATACAAAGCATTTTTAACAACAGACAAAATTGCGCCTTAACCGAGTCATGTACCTACATTACATGGAGTAATTTTTCACTATACTATAACTATCTAAAACTGTAATGACTCATCGATGTTCACGTGAACATCACTTAACTACCAGTAGTCGGCTGTTCATATGCGGGGTATGAATGTTTAACATGGGTGAACTAGATTTGTCACATGCTTAATAAAGAGTGGTTTGAAACATATTGTAGGTAAAAAATTTGGGAATTACCTTTATTCATCGTCGCTTCCACTTACATCTGACAGTAATAAACTGTCGCTATCGCTTTCCTCGTTGAAATTGACTATAACTGGCCCTATGATGGTGTCGATGTGGTGGTCAAGCTGCCACATTTTTGTTTCTTCCTACACAACATGACGGATAGCATTCTGCCAAGCTTCGGGCGTTACTAGCTGTATGGAAGTCTCAAGTAAAACCTTAACGTCTGGTAATTTGAAGGTTGTGTTATGGTGCGCAATATAACCCTTCACTTGAGCCCAGATGAGCTCTATTGGGTTCAGTTCACAGTGGTAGGGCGGTAACCGCAGTACAGTAACGGGCCATCTCATCAGTCACGTAACTAATGTTCGCAGGTTTGTGCTGTTTAATTTTTTCATACAATTCCGCTTTCACACATGAATCGCCAAACGGGATTCCTTTTTCGCGCAACCATTGCTGCATGTCACTTTCTCGAGATCCCATAGTCGGTACACGTTCGGCTCGACGACTATGGTAGGAAGCATTATCCAGGACGATCACAGAGTTCTGCTCAACTCGCTGAAGCACCCCTTGAAACCAGCTCTCGAAGCAGCTGGCATTTATTTCGTCATGGTAATCACCTCCTTTCTTAGAGACGAAAATCAAGTCACACTCTTCTAAAAAGCCACTATCGCTACCAATATGAGTTACGATCAATCTTTGACCTTTCCCTGACGGTCCACGAAGACCTGTTGACAAACCTTTAATGCTTGCTTGTCGGTTACTCACTACGTTTTTGTCTATCCAGGTTTTTTTAACTCTCTGACCTGCATTTACCCATGTCTCGTCCAAATAACAGATTTTTCTGCTTTGTCGCCTATATTCAATCATTTCGCGCAGGTATTTTCGACGCCAGGCGACTATTTCAGGTCTCTCTATCAATACTGACTTCCGATTACGCGTTTCGTAACGAAAATTAATTTCGTGCAGGGATTTCCTCATTACCTCGACGCTCATTTGGGGTATAATTTCATTTTCCTTGATCGCTGCATGTACAGCCTTGAGGGTTGGTATCTCATTCCTAAAGAAGAATGAATGGACGGTTCGCCTTAACGCCATTTTGCTATCGTCATCCAATTTAACGGCCTTTCATCCCTTCAAATTAAACTTTGGATCAGTAGTAGCTCCAGTTTTCTTCTTTTCATGCACCACCCTGCGAATAGTCCACTCTGGAACGCCTGTCATACTTTCACAACGCGCGAGTGCATCTCCCTACGACATAGTTCTGTTCAGATAATTGAACACGTTGAACACGATTTCTTTCGCGTCCCTCTTCAGTGCTTTACGAAGCCGTCTACTTGTTCCCTGGCTTTCAGTACTTCCACTCATGCCATTTGTACTCTCCATGGTTAAGTATAACCAAAACAGTAACCACAGAAACCACAACAATAACAATCACACAATAATTCTTATAAAAACCCACAATATGCGATCGCTCAACGAAACACGTTCCAATGCATTGCCGACGCCTATGAGTCTGCCGGTCGAGGCGCGTCTTTGATTTCATTGGTTCTACCGGCGGAAAACAATCAGCCATTATTTCCATCTCTGTCTGTGCTGTTGACCACCGCAAAGCCACAGAAACGACATATGTCGTACGCTATACGGCTGTACTGGAAGGAAGCAGGGATCGAGCTCTGATCACGTGTTGATCACGCGTATGAGTCATTACAGTTTTAAATAGTTGTAGTATAATAGCATTTGTTCAACGACATATCATTTGAGAATATATCCTGTGAAGCTGATTGAGAAATAGCAAAATGCACCTTCAGGAAACAATGTATAGTCTCAAAAGTAGCTATTTTTGAAAAACTCTTAAAAAATGGCAATAACTCACGAAGCGTGCATACTCGGATAAGGATATACCGGGTGTTTCAAATTGGACTCTCACTATTGGTATCTCGAAAGGTGTGAGAGATACAAAGTTGATTAATGGGGGCAAAATTGCGTATTTAGGTAATTAAAAAAAATCCTCTTAGAAAGTTTCCGGACAGAGATGGAAAAAACAGATTTTATTTTTTTCCTGACTATTTGTAGTGGGATTGTAAAATAATTGCACTTTAATATTGCCAATTTTTCTCTTCTATAAAATAGTATAATTAAAATTTCAGTATGATGTTTCATCTCTTGTTCCTCCAGCATCAACTATATTTTTTATTATGGACGCCAATTGGATTTTTCTACAGATGAATAGAGTTTTTGATTCTGATTACACAAATGTGTGATACTTCATACATTGATATTGCCAACCATTATTTATTTCAAAAAAGCAGAATTTCCTAGGTAGGCTTTGCGATTATCATTTGTTTTGCATATCAGATCCATCCCAAAATCATTTTTATTTGGGATGTGATTTCGAAATAAATTGCATGTTGTCATTATTATTTATTCTCCTCTACAAGATGGCGTAGTCGAAAGTTCAATTCGAGATTTCATCTTTCGGCTTCCATCGTCAACTTTGTTTTTTCATATGGACGTTATATTAGAATTCTGTACATTTAAATGGAATTTTCAGCCCTGAACTAGTAACAATAATGATGATAATCATGTTTATTTGTCTAACTACAAAATTTTCGAATAAATAATAAACATAAGATAAGTACCGCTTTTCCTTGGGTTTTAACCGAACTTATATGAATACAACAAATTTCCTATAAGTATACTAGCCAAATGTATACATTTGTATCAGTCGATAACATATTGATTTTTAATGTCTACAAACTTATGGACTTGTAGCCTTGCTTGATTTAGCATCCATAACTTTTGTTCAATTTCAAACGGTTTCTACATTTTATATGTTTAAAGTTAGCTGGAATAACATAATAAAATTGACAGTTTTACTTACTCTGAGGATAAGTGCAGAAGTTTTCAATCGCGTTTGATGGTTGTGGTTGATAGAATGTAACAATTTGAATATATTATTGTGTGATAAAAGTATATTTGCCAGCAGTGAAAAGCTGAGATTCACTGTAAAGATTTTCTGTGATATAACATTCCGTTTTGTTCACTTCCGCGTAATTTCAATTTTTTATAATAAAATCATTCACGACTCACCCCCATGCTAAGAGTCTATAAGATAGTAACGATTGAACGAGGGCATGATGCATCATGTGTAGATATTTTTCTGTAAAAAAACTGGTGAAAGTGACATATAAATCCGAACACCCAGTTTAAATGGTTTTATTTTAATAAAATTTTGTATAAGTACTTAATGAAGCATAATAAGTAAATGATAAAAATTTCAAAATGATTGCACTGCTTTAAAGCCCTTTGACCTTTAATAATGTGCGCATTCTCCAACGCGCCTAGGCATGCTTCTGAACAGGTGGTCAATGTCCTCCTGTGGTATCTCATTCCAGGCAACCACCAACTCTTCTCGAAGTGCTTCTAGAGTCTGAGGAGGACGTTGCAAATTAAGCAATCTCCTACCCATCATATCCCACACGTGCTCAATTGGGGATAAGTCGGGAGATCTTGGTGGCCATGGTAACAATGTGACATCATTATGTTGACAGAAGTCTATTGTGACTCTTGCAACATGTGGTCGGGCATTATCTTGTTGGAAAGTTGGATCTGCCAGGGTCTCAATATAGGGTAAAAGATGGGGTTCTAGAACTTCGTGGATATAACGCTGCGCGTTCATGTTACCTGTGATGAAGATTAAAGGTGAACTGGAACCATAAGCTATAGCACCCCAAACCATAACTCCAACAGTGTGATGAACATGTCTTTCAACAAAAAACTGTGGATTCCTCCTTTCACCACGTGGCCTTCTAACCCTAGCACGACCATCGTGCATGCCTAAACAAAATCGAGACTCGTCACTAAAGACAATACTGTTCCATTCCTTATCCCAGAGTGACCGTTGTCTGCACCAGTCAAGGCGATTACGTCGGTGATCTCGAGTTAAAGGGAGGACCCAGTGTGGCCGGTATGAAAACAAGCCAAAACTTCTCATTCGTCGGTAAACACTTCGCATGCCAATAGGTCTTCCGTGTTCTGCAAACCATTTATTTGCAATGGACCTGGTAGTGGAGAAACGGTCCCTTAAGGCCAATAATCTTAGGCGGCGATCTTCACGGTCTGTTGTTCTACGGCGGCGTCCAGTGCCCCTTGCTCTTTGCGTACGGCCTTCTCGAAGCCATGCCTGACAACACCTAACCACAGTGTCTACACTTCTTTGCACTCTAACTGCAATTGCCCGAAAAGAAAGTCCAGCTTTCCGAAGTCCCACTATACGGCCCCTATCAAACTCACTAAGTTGACGAAATCGTACAGGTCTCCGTACTCTAGGCATCGTAACCGATCGTAAAGGATGTCAAGAACCAAAATCCGCCAACGTTAATTCTTTACTGCGGCTGAAATATTCATTTTTAGAGCGTTAGTGAATTAAAAAAAAGCAGTATAAAAACCGGAATGTCCCACTGATAAGGCTGAAAATTTTTTCACTTGTTATTTACAGTAAGATAAATACATTCACCAACTTTTATTAATATAAAACCATTTAAACTGGGTGTTCGGATTTATATGTCACTTAGTATATTTGTTTTTTGAAATAAGGTATCTTCATTTCTTCATCTTATCTGTGAATACCCTTAGACATTTGAAATGATCAACTGATTGTACGTTTTTGCAGCTATTCAGCTTTTTAATTTGGAGTTGATTAAAATTTGGGGAACATCCGTTGTCACAAGAAAATGTAATAAAATATATTTTGTTGAAATTGACAATTACAGTCGTTTCCGTGAAAAAAGTTTTTAATATTTGAAAATCTAATACAATTTTGTTTTTTATAGAATCCCAACCTTTGTTAATTTCTGATTTTCAGTGATGTATTTCGTTAGTCATGAAATTGTTGTTGGATGAAAATGTATGGTGAAATCTGAGCACAAAATGAAAACCTTATTAATGGTAATAACAATAATATAATCATAAATAAACAGAATCAAATCATAGTACATGCTAAAGACGTTGTTTTGTAGGCATTCTTCTAAACTCTGCTACTACTATGTTCAATTTGAGGTCTGGTCTGACATACGAAACAAACGATTATCTGATAATTTTAAGGCCTACCTAGAACCTCCTATTATACATGATTGAAACCACAATTAAAAGCTGTACCTGCGCATGAATTCAATATAACGTCCAGAAGAAAAAATAATGTTAAACGTCATATTGAAATTCCAATTATGCCATCTTGTAGAGGAGAAAAAGTGGCAATGTTAAGTGCAATTTATATTAAAATCCCACTAAAAATAAACTCATGAAAAAAACAAAGCCTCCCATTACCCCCTTTTGTTTGATTCAGGACTTGAGACACCTTGTGTGAATTGTTACCCACACGAGTTTACTTAGTCATGAAAATGGCCCTTATTCATAAACATTCATGCCATGGTGGCGATATTTATAAAAGTTGTAAAAAAGATACTTTCAGTAGATGAATACTTCAATTACTATACTAAGTGACATATAAATCCGAACACCCAGTTTAAATAATTTTATTCTAATAAAATTTGGTATAAGTACTTAATGAAGCATAATAAGTAAATGATAAAAATTTCACAATGATTGCACTGCTTTAAAGCCCTTTGACCTTTAATAATGTGTGGATGCACCCTGATGTGCTACGCATTCTCCAACGCGCCTAGGCATGCTTCTGATCAGGTGGTCAATGTCCTCCTGTGGTATCTCATTCCAGGCAACCACCAACTCCTCTCGAAGTGCTTCTAGAGTCTGAGGAGGACGTTGCAAATTGAGCAATCTCCTACCCATCATATCCCACACGTGCTCAATTGGGGATAAGTCAGGAGATCTTGGTGGCCATGGTAACAATGTGACATCATTATGTTGAAAGAAGTCTATTGTGACTCTTGCAACATGTGGTCGGACATTATCTTGTTGGAAAGTTGGATCTGCCAGGGTGTCAAGATAGGGTAAAAGATGGGGTTCTAGAACTTCGTGGATATAACGCTGCGCGTTCATGTTACCTCTGATGAAGATTAAAGGTGACCTGGAACCATAAGCTATAGCACCCCAAACCATAACTCCAACAGTGTGATGAACATGTCTTTCAACAAAAAAGTGTGGATTCCTCCTTTCACCACGTCGCCTTCTAACCCTGGCACGACCATCGTGCATGCCTAAACAAAATCGAGACTTGTCACTAAAGACAATACTGTTCCATTCCTGATCCCAGAATGACCGTTGTCTGCACAACTCAAGGCGATTACGTCGGTGTTCTCGAGTTAAAGGGAGGACCCAGTGTGGCCGGTATGAAAACAAGCCAAAACTTCTCATTCGTCGGTAAACACTTCGCATGCCAATAGGTCTTCAGTGTTCTGCAAACCATTCATTTGCAATGGACCTGGTAGTGGAGAAACGGTCCCTTAAGGCCAATAATCTTAGGCGGCGATCTTCACGGTCTGTTGTTCTACGGCGGCGTCCAGTGCCCCTTGCTCTTTGCGTACGGCCTTCTCGAAGCCATGCCTGACAACACCTAACCACAGTGTCTACACTTCTTTGCACTCTAACTGCAATTGCCCGAAAAGAAAGTCCAGCTTCCCGAAGTCCCACTATACGGCCCTTATCAAACTCACTAAGTTGACGAAGTCGTACAGGTCTCCGTACTCTAGGCATCGTAACCGATCGTAAAGGATGTCAAGAACCAAAATCCGCCAACGTTGATTCTTTACTGCGGCTGAAATATTCATTTTTAGAGCGTTAGTGAATTAAAAAAAACGCAGTATAAAAACCGGAATGTCCAACTGATAAGGCTGAACATTTTTTCACTTGTTATTTACAGTAAGATAAATACATTCACCAACTTTTATTAAAATAAAACCATTTAAACTGGGTGTTCGGATTTATATGTCACTTAGTATATTTTTAAAGGTTTTTTGACTATTATAGTTTGTACATAGAATATTACAATACAATTTCTGAATCCCCAAGAGAGTGAGAAAATGGCTCCGACATTAAAATTTGCTAGTAGAGGCCGATTTCTGTCAAAATCTCCACAACCCGATAAAACGCAGCACTGGGTATGAAATTAGGTCACTACTGCGGGCTGTGGGCCGCTGAACACCTACACGAGAGCACCGGAAATAGCACCAAGTCACATTCAGCTCTCGTATTTACCCTAGACAGAAATTACATAAAATGACCTTTAACGAGTGGAGTACGATTTTATACCATAAAATTATTAGACCAAGAAAAGTGTTTTGTCATAAAAATAACATCGATATTTATTAAAATTGCTATAAAATTATTATTCTAAATAAGAAGAACGTTGTAATAATTTACTTTGTCAAGATACAGTTAATTTTTAGGCGACCATAAAAAGAAACTGTAACATGTTTCATATACAGTATGTCTATTTTTGACTATATTCCTATACTACCTTGTAGTCCAATGGAAATAAATTTTATTTATTTATTTATTTCAAACGTATTTTACCGATAGGTCGTCTCCACAACCCGATAAATCCTCAGCACTGGGTGTGAAATTATATCACTACCACGGGCTGTGAGCCGCTGAACTCCTACACGAGAGCACCGGAAATAGCATCAAGTCACATTTAGCTCTCGTATTTACGGTCGCCACAAATTACATAAAATGACCTTTAACGAGTGGAGTACGATTTTATACCATAAAATTATTAGACCAAGAAAAGTGTTTTGTCAAAAAAATAAAACCGATATTTATTAAAATTGCTATAAAATTATTATTCTAAATAAGAAGAACGTTGTAATAACTTACTTTATCAAGATATAGTTAATTTTTAGGCGACCATAAAAAGAAACTGTAACATGTTTCATATACAGTATGTCTATTTTTGACTATATTCCTATACTACCTTGTAGTCCAATGGAAATAAATTTTATTTATTTATTTACTTCAAACGTATTTTACCGATAGGTCGTCTCCACAACCCGATAAATCCTCAGCACTGGGTGTGAAATTATTTCACTACCACGGGCTGTGGGCCGCTGAACTCCTACACGAGAGCACCGGAAATAGCATCATGTCACATTTAGCTCTCGTATTTACGGTCGCCAGAAATTACATAAAATGACCTTTAACGAGTGGAGTACGATTTTATACCATAAAATTATTAGACCAAGAAAAGTGTTTTGTCAAAAAAATAACATCGATATTTATTAAAATTGCTATAAAATTATTATTCTAAATAAGAAGAACGTTGTAATAACTTACTTTATCAAGATATAGTTAATTTTTAGGCGACCATAAAAAGAAACTGTAACATGTTTCATATACAGTATGTCTATTTTTGACTATATTCCTATACTACGTTGTCGTCCAATGGAAATAAATCTTATTTATTTATTTCAAACGTATTTCACCGATAGGTCGTCTGCACATCGACATGAACCTGCTCAAAGTGAACGCTGAAGTCCAAAACTCGATCAACCCAGGAGCCAATTTCAACGTGAAAGGCGAAGTCAAGAGGCAACCCGACGAATACGACGCGAACCTCCAAGTTATCCACGGAGCTGATCTGTCTTCCAAAACTAACAGGTTGAACCTGGCCGGCAAGCTGGTTAGGAAATACAAGAGCCCACAAGACTTCCTGTTCAAGTTGGAAGGCAAAGCTTCCTACCCTCTGATAGGAGTCAATGGAGAATTGGAGGTAAGATAAAAGTTGTACCTGATGAATCTCATATGTTCAATACGCTCTATGCTCTATTTTTCTCTATTTGACTTTAACAACTCAAAAAATAAATATTATTGCTAACGGGGATCGATAACCCGTGCCGACTCTCGGTCAAACAAAACCTAAATCTTATTCGACACATATACTAAGTGACATATAAATCCGAACACCCAGTTTAAATAGTTTTATTTTAATAAAATTTTGTATAAGTACTTAATGAAGCATAATAAGTAAATGATAAAAATTTCAAAATGATTGCCCTTTGACCTTTAATAATGTGTGGATGCACCCTGATGTACTACGCATTCTCCAACGCGCCTATGCATGCTTCTGATCAGGTGGTCAATGTCCTCCTGTGGTATCTCATTCCAGGCAACCACCAACTCCTCTCGAAGTGCTTCTAGAGTCTGAGGAGGACGTTGCAAATTGAGCAATCTCCTATCCATCATATCCCACACGTGCTCAATTGGGGATAAGTCGGGAGATCTTGGTGGCCATGGTAACAATGTGACATCATTATGTTGAAAGAAGTCTATTGTGACTCTTGCAACATGTGGTCGGGCATTATCTTGTTGGAAAGTTGGATCTGCCAGGGTGACAAGATAGGGTAAAAGATGGGGTTCTAGAACTTCGTGGATATAACGCTGCGCGTTCATGTTACCTCTGATGAAGACTAAAGGTGACCTGGAACCATAAGCTATAGCACCCCAAACCATAACTCCAACAGTGTGATGAACATGTCTTTCAACAAAAAACTGTGGATTCCTCCTTTCACCACGTCGCCTTCTAACCCTGGCCCGACCATCGTGCATGCCTAAACAAAATCGAGACTCGTCACTAAAGACAACACTGTTCCAGTCCTGATCCCAGAGTGACCGTTGTCTGCACCACTCAAGACGATTACGTCGGTGTTCTCGAGTTAAAGGGAGGACCCAGTATGGCCTGTATGAGAACAAGCCAAAACTTCTCATTCGTCGGTAAACACTTCGTATGCCAATAGGTCTTCCGTGTTCTGCAAACCATTCATTTGCAATGGACCTGGTAGTGGAGAAACGGTCCCTTAAGGCCAATAATCTTAGGCGGCGATCTTCACGGTCTGTTGTTCTACGGCGGCGTCCAGTGCCCCTTGCTCTTTGCGTACGGCCTTCTCGAAGCCATGCCTGACAACACCTAACCACAGTGTCTACACTTCTTTGCACTCTAACTGCAATTGCCCGAAAAGAAAGTCCAGCTTCCCGAAGTCCCACTATACGGCCCCTATCAAACTCACTAAGTTGACGAAATCGTACAGGTCTCCGTACTCTAGGCATCGTAACCGATCGTAAAGGATGTGAAGAACCAAAATCCGCCAAAGTTGATTCTTTACTGCGGCTAAAATATTCATTTTTAGAGCGTTAGTGAATTAAAAAAAGCAGTATAAAAACCGGAATATTCAACTGATAAGGCTAAAAATTTGTTCACTTGTTATTTGCAGTAAGATAAATACATTCACCAACTTTTATTAAAATAAAACCATTTAAACTGGGTGTTCGGATTTATATGTCACTTAGTATAAAACACTGCTTTATTTGTAGAGGAAGTACAGCATATTTGGAATACTGCTTTATTTTTTGGAAATAAATCGTGGATAGCAAAATAAAAGATGAATTAAATTATTGGGAAATCATTAAATTTTAATGTTATAAACAATCAAACAAAACAAAAAACACATTAAAATATTTATCAAATTAAAAAACTTCACAGGCGGAAATTTACTTAGGGTGCAGGTAATTTGGAATACAGTATTCCAAACTATAATCACCTTTTTTTGACAATTGTTTCCACTTTTTCTATAAATTATATATTAATATAAATTATATATAAATATAAATTTCTCAACTTTGTAACCATTTTACAGTTTTTGGTAATTAATCTGTTATATATATAGCTTATAATTATTAATTATTAAGTAATCAATCGCAATAATCACAAATCATTTAGCCTGAACTTACAGTTTAGTGTTCAAATGTCAAGATGGAGTCCTGTTTTTAGTGTGATTTACGACAGTTTATTCATGGCAAAAAATACAGTACTCCAAATATGCTGCACTTCCTCTATCTTATATTTCTTCGATGTTTATGATTAAAAGGACATAATTTACTAAATCTTCTTCAAAACCTTTTATTTTTAGCAACAATTTGTACCTCAATTCTAGCTACATAAAACTTTATTTACAATTAAACTGCTGTCTTGATTCGAGTCTCAAGGCCGCCGTCGGTTGGAATTTCTCCCTAACGTTTCGCTAGCACGAGTGGCAAGCTTCTTCAGAGGTCCTTCCATTTCCGATGCTGGAGGTAGACTGACGATTTCTCTTGCGCAAGTTGTATTTATACCGGAAGGTAGGGGACGTGGCTTGTTCCACTTCGGTTGACTTCGGGATGTCGATCGGCACTGCTCGGGTGCCAGATCGGGTTGAGTTTGAGGATCTCTTCCTTCCTGTTGAAGTTATCTGGATGTTTGTGAATCTCGACAACTTCCCTGAAGAGTCTATTGTGATAGCCGTTGACTGATGACAGCAACCTGCAGCTCCCAAAGTGTATCCTGTGGTCCCCATTGCTTAGTGCATGTTCAGCTACCGCAGACTTCTCTGTTTGTCCTAGGCGGCAATTTGCTTTGTGCTTCTTGAGTCTCGTTCCCATTGATCTTTTCGTGGTTCCAATGTATACTTTGCCACATGAACACGTATGCGGTAGACTCCCGCAGCTGAGAGTGGGACCTTCTTGTCCTTTGCCGATCTGATGGTTTGTTGGATCTTCTTCGTATTCTTGAAGATTGTTTTAATGGCATGTCTCTTCAGGACTCTGCCAATCCTGTCCGTGACTCTTGGCACAAATGGAAGATACGCTTGAGAGGTGTTGGGACGCTGTTCGGTTTCACGTGGCCTGGTTGATCTTTCGATGTCCCTCTTGCATTTGGTTCGAACGCAGTTTTCGGGTGTTCAAGTTCTGTCTGGAGGTTCTCCGGTTCGCAAATCCTTCGAGCGTGCAGGTATCTGTCTGTGTGCGTTGGTTTCCTGTACACTGTGTGACCCAGCTTGTTACTTCGCTTCTTGACTAGTACGTCCAAGAAGGCCAGTTTTTGGTCACTCTCTATCTCCATGGCAAATTGTTTGCTTGGATGCCGATCGTTGAGGTGCTGCAGAAACTCGTTTAGCCTGTCCGTGCCATGTTTCCAAATCACGAAGGTGTCGTCCACGTACCGGAACCAAATTGCTGGTTCGTTCTCCGATGTCTCAACCGCCTTCTTCTCAAAGTGTCCCATAAAAAGGTTGGCTATAACTGGGCTAAGTGGACTTCCCATTGCCACTCCGTCTGTCTGCTCATAAAAGCCCCCGTCCCATACGAAGTAGCTTCCAGTGAGACAGATTTCAAAGAGCTAGCAGATGTCAGAAGGGAAGATCCTGCTCACCAGATCCAGGCATCGAAGCTCACAAGGATGTCGTCGGGTCCAGCTACGATGTCCTGAATCTTGCGACGTATGGTTGCAGCAGGGATGCCAAGTGTTTCGCTAAGTATTACGTCGGCGATCCAGGAGCACTGACTATTGGTCTGACTATTGGTCTCAACGAAACATCTGCCTTGTGGACCTTGGGCAGGCCGTAGAGCCGTGGTGGAACCGCTTCCGTCTTCGTAACGCTCTTCTTGGTGTCTTCTGGCAGTGATGATATCTTGATGAGCCGGTTGGTAAGGCGTAGTCGGGCTTGCGTTGGATCCTTCTTCAGCGGTTTGTAACCTTCTGGGTTCAATAATCTTCCTTTTGTAGACCTCGGTCTTCAGAAGAACGGTTGCAATGCCTTTGTCGGTTGGGAGTATGATGATATCCTCGTCGTTATTCAAGTTCCGTTCTCGTCAGGTTGCTTTTTGGTAGTTACGCCCTTCTAAGAATGTTGGCTGTCTCCATTATTTACAATTGTTTTGACATTGTTCCAGCAAAAAGAGAGGGAATGCGTTTGAAAAAAGAACTTTCAATTTTCTTTTTACACTTTATTGTCTACACAAGCCAGCTCAAGTTCTTTCTTAATATTACCTCCATATCTTCGTCTCCAGGTTGAACAGACCCCCAAGAGCGTCAAGTACGACGCAGACCTGCAATATAACGATCTCAAGTTTGGCTCAGAACTGGACGTGAACATCAACAAGAAAGAACACGGAGACTTCGATGTCGATTTCGAAGTATACGGCATGGACAAAAAGGTGGAATTCAAAGCCAGCAGACAAATACAAGGTGAAGAGAGCAAAATCAGCAACGAGCTTGTGGTCAACGATGCCAAGATTGAAGTCAAAGGAAAAATCAAGCACCATTTGCAGCCAAACAATGTGGATGTAGGAGCTGACCTCGTGGTCATTCTGCCACACCACAATGCTCCATTCAAGGTAGGCAAAGTCAATATTTCTCTTGCTTTTACCAGTCAAAATGGATATGGAGCAATTTCGTTTAGAGGCACGCATGTATTTGCTCTTGATGTTATAGAGGTTTTCAGTCAGCTGAGGCTTGCTACAATTTCTTCTCTGACAAAATACCTAAAGATAATCACGTTTGGAGACGTAGACGTTTGGTGTAGTTCGATAATTCTAGACCACAGTACACCTTAACAAATTGAGGCGCTCATTTGGTTTTGGTGGATCACCGAGCTCTATAAGGAATCTATTGATTTCGACTTGTCGGCGATCATATTATTGAGGTTTGACGAGGACACGTCATATCAACCGTAGCAGCTGCTGGGAAGAATCTGAGCACTAGTTTTCACCTACTTAACCTCTTGACTCTGTGCAAGACCTTCATCAAACCCGGACTAGTGTACTGAACCGTATCTAAGATACTACTGCTCCATACTTAAGGTTCTCCAGCAACTGATTGAAGGCACTGTAGCAGACCTTAACAGGTCTGAGGCCTCTCGCACATCGATCACTGATTCAGCTCTGTTCTGCCGATATGCCAACGGAATTTGCTCCTCTGCGTCGTCAGTAAACATGTATTTGGCACCGGGCGAAGCAATGACTGCAACTATGATTGTTGTATTACAATAAGAATGTTCCATTCCAGGTGAACAGCGGCTTGAAATATAACGCCCAAGAAGTCGACGCACACCACAAGGTGGTCAGCGGCAGCACCGTCATCATCGACGCTTTCATCAAGGCCAACCGCCAAGGCACAGCCAACGCCAGCATCAAGGTCAACGTCAAGGACATGCTCGTCGTCAACGGTCAACTCAAGGCCAACAAGGGAACCGGCAACGGTGACATCCTCATCGACGCCCAGAATATCAAGAAGCAGGTCAAGATGGAGACGACCTTTACCATCCAACCTCCAACCACCGTTAACGTTGATTTTACGATCTATCCCCAGTTCGCCACCGATAAGAACAGCAAGGTACACTTCTCCACCACCAACAAGTTGAACCCGAACAGCGTCAACTCAAAGAACGTTGTGGACATTTTGGGCAAGCAATTGGCTGTGAATGTTAACGGCCAAAGAACTGGAGATCCGATGAATGGCAAGTTGAATGCTGAGGCTGAGGTTATTTTGCCTGACAACCAGTACTTGCTGGGTAAGATCAATGGCGATAGGAAGGAGCAGAACGGTGTTATCAATGGACAGGGTATCTTCAGCTTGGAATACAGGTAAGAAAGATTTAACCCAGAAACGATAGGCACGTGGAAATGACCTTACAAACTGGCCATGAAATGACTGAAAATCACTAGTCGAATGTCGTAAAAGTAACGTGAAAATGACCTCCGATTGGTCACTGACAAACGTCAATAATACTTCATTGGTAGACGTGAAGATGACGTCTATTATTTATAATGAAGTTGTTACCAGTAGTGTTACAGAGACGAATCTCAATCTTAAAGGATTTCAAGATTTTGAAAATTTAGAAAATAATGAAAATTTTAAAAATCATGGAAATTCTGAAAATTTTTAAAATTTCGAAAATATCAGAAAGCATGGAAGTTTTAAAAATACTGCAAATCTCGAAAATTTTGATTTGGAAACTGCAAATTTTGAGAAATTTGAAAATTTTGAAATCCTTGAAACTACTCGAAAACTTCTAAAGTTTAGGAAATCTAGAAAATGTAGAAAATTATGAAAATTTTGGGAATTTTGCAAATTTTCTAACTGAAAAAATCTGGGAAATTTTGAATATTTTGAAAGTTTTGAAGATTTTGAGGATTTTCAAAATTCGTGTAAGTCTAGAAATTTTAAATTTTTAATAGGTACTCCACAAATTTTGAGAAACATGAGAATTTTGAAAATGTTGTAAATTTTGAAAATATTGGAAATATTGAAAATTCTGAATATTTTGAAAAATTTCTGAATTTTTGGTAAGTGAAAATCTCGAAAATCTTGGAAAATATCGAACTTTTGAAAACCTAGCAAATCGTGAGCAGCATGAGAAAATTGAAGATATTGATAAATTTGAAAATTTTGCTAAATTTTGAATATTTGGAGAAGTTTGAAAATTTTGAAAATATCAGATTCTGAAAATTTCGAATATTTTGAAAATTTTGGAAATCTCAAAAATTCAGAGTTTTGAAAATTTGAAAATTTTAAATATTCGGAGAAGTTTTGAAATTTTGAAATTTTTAAGATTTTGAAAATTTTGAAAAATTCTAATATTTTGAAAATTTTGGAAATCTCAAAAATTTTGAGTTTGGGAAATTTTGAAAATTTAAAAATTTTGAAGATTTTCAAAATTTTGAAAATTTCGATTTTGAAAATTTTGGAAATCTCAAAAATTTTGAAAGTTTTGGAAATTTTGAAAATTTTTAATATTTGGAGAAGTTTGAAAATTTTGAAGATTTTGAAAATTTTTTAAATTTTGAAAATTTCGAATATTTTGAAAATTTTGGGAATATCTAAAATTTTGAAAGTTTTGGAAATTTTGAGAATTTTAAAATTTTGAAAATCTTGAAAACCGAAAATTTCAAAAATTTGAAAATTCTGAAAATTTTGAAAATTCATCATTACTCAAGGAAGCGTTATTGTTTGTTTAAAATCCAAAGAAAGAACAGACCTCAACTGGACTCAATCCACAAGGAACGTCCATACGTGACCCTAAATCTCAATGTTTAATTTATATATTAACATATACGTAACACAATTTGGAGTCAGGTTCACCCACTCAACTGAAGAGATTGAAGGCAGTTGCTCTTCATTTTACAATGTTCCTTTCGCTCAAAGTTTCGTCCCCAGAGAAACCTTGCCCATGAGGAACAAACATCGCCACTACAAATTTTTTGATATACCAAGTCAAACTTACGTTATGCACATTTTCAGAGTGAACAAGAACACCCCCGGACGCAAACTGAGTCTGAAGGCTGTCTCAAAGGACACCAACCCTAAAGAAGGTATCTATGACCTGAACTATAACCTGGCTGCTGACATCAGTGATGGAAAGAACATCAATGCAGACATCTCCATCCAGGCGTCCAAACAAGGAGACGAAAGAACTGTCAACCTACAGGTACCTATTATATTATTCTATATGCCTTCACGTGTTTACCTCTCGCAAAAGCTAAAGAGCTGTCATCCATCCTTACACTGTACAAAGCTCAAAACCATGCCTGGAACCGACTTAGTGGAACTTGTTAGCAACTTCACATCAAGTTACATCCTGGTCTAGAATAGCTCATGTTTCTGGTGAGGATTCTTTGATGGATCACTATTCAGTTCTATCCAATAAGCTTACGTACTTTTTGAAGAGGGCTACCCGACTGATGGATGACTTCTCCAACGGACAAATTATATTACTCAAAACTGTGACTCTTGTTACCGACAAATCCCGAAGTATTGGAGAAACAAGCTCGCCCAGTGTGCGTGCTCAAGAGTCTGCGTCACTCCACAAACACTATATTCACATTGAACTGTTGTTTCAGAACAAAGTATACGGAACCCTTCTGGAGAATCCATTGACTGCCAACTTCCAAGGAAAATACAAACGAGGTGTATCTGGAACCTACGATGCTTCTGCCTCATATGGAGCCAACGCTGTACTCAGACTGAAAGGTAGGAAATAAAAAATTTCAGTTACAATCAATCTAACGAATAAGCGTCCATAAAATTCAATATGATCTAGTGTGATTAATAAACAATTGTTTTTTCAAATAAAGGCAAACATGACATTCCTGGAGAAGGAAAACCACTTACCGTTGACATGGAAATGGATTTGACCACACCTAGCAAAGCTTTAAAAACCGTCAAAGCTGGAACGTCGCTCTCTCTACTTCATGAACGATCTGCAGGACTTCAATTGGCTGGAAGTGCTCATCTATTTGTTGATGACGATGGAGTAAGTATTAATCACACAAATACTGCGTTTGTTTGCATAAAAAAAATCTTACTGTTCATATTGAGAAAAAGTGAAAAAATGGGATTTGCAGATGTATCACCATCCTCCATAAAGTCAGAACTTGGACAACATTCAAAGAAGAAAGATCTAGTACAGACAACAAACTGGTTTCATAATCAATTATTAACTATTAACACAGCCAACGTCAACTACGAGCCGTGATGAAAGAAAGGCAACACCGCGCTCGGATTGCGTGGTAGTGCTACCTGTGAACGTCGGCCGCCAGCGGCTGTGTGCTCCGTCTCCATGTAACGTTCAAGAACTAAATTTAATTTTGGAAAAGAGGACAGTTCGATTCGATACAAATCGTCTGAATATGAAATAGCTCTAAAAAATTTAAAAATACGAAATAATCGTGATATATATGAGTCGCTAATGCAGTTAACACGTTCACTGCGAACGACGCTGATCCGCGTCCGACCGATGTTTAACGAAAGGCGGCGGGCGCGGATCCGCGCTTCTGGCTGATATAAAACTCACAAGACTGTGGTGTTGTCAGTTTGTACCGCACTCGCTTTCTGTTTGGTCACCTACATATTGAACATCTTTTTGGACTATTTTACGTGTAGGATCAAGTTTCGTTTATTTTTACATTGCGCAATGGCGGATGATGTGGAAGCAGGTTGTTCACGTCCAAAACGAGTGAAAACGTATTGTAACCTTAATAAAGGGCTTACAGAAAAAGAACTGTATGATATTCTTGCCAATTCGGGGAGTGAAATCGAGAATCTAAGTGACTCAGACAATTATGTTCCCAGTTCAGATGGAAGTGAGCAGTCTGATGGAAATATATCTGAAACGAGTGATGATTTTTCCAGCCCACAGAAAAATCTTTAATAGGGTTTCAAGACATGTTTCGTGTTACTGCACGAAAAAAAACGAGATAGAAGAAGAAAATGTATATATGAAATAGTTTTCAATTACACAACGCACATCCAATAGGCTTACGACGCGAATCCGCGCTTCGCTTGTGCAGCGCCTAAAATCGTTTAGCCGCTACCGCGCGCGCGGCGCGAGGCAGGTCGCAGCGAACGTGTTAACCTAATTAAAAGTATTTAGTTTACGTTTTTTGGTGTCAGCACACTGTGTTCCAACAGGCCCAGCTTGGAAATGTGGAGTTACCTGATTGTTTTTAATACATTTACTTTCAGTTTTACTGTTATTTTTCAATTTTACATAATCATTCAAAATTATGTTTGAAAAAATAGACAAAAGCTTAGATAAAATATCTGCATAATTGCGGCCACAGATGCAATTCACTGTATATAAAGTCAGACTGAATGCTGAGCAAGGTTAACTGACACAAAATAAATTTTTGATTATTGCTTTTCAAGAAGAAAATTTCCAATCTATCTACATCAATAATAGATTCAAAAATGGCATACATATGGTAGAATATGATTGGTACATAACTGGTTGGAATTGACAGTCCTCCTCTTTGCAAATGATCAAAATAAACATTTGTTGTTAATGAACCTTTTTCTTTAACTATTAGCGATTTGCATATCTCGCAGTTTAGGTTTTTAGAGATAGCGTGTGAAGCATATCCAGATATATAAGTCTTAGTACTATCCTCTATGTCACAATTGGCTAAGTAATTTGTCTCAAATACTTCATTGAATATATCCAAAACTTCAGGATTTTGTTTGGTATCCAAGAAATCAAAATTTTCTTGAGTTTCTAAGCAGTTTTGGAACCTTGTTTTAATTTCTGCTAAAGAAAATGACGATTTCTTTTCATTGAAAATATGCTTCAGCCGTATTTTCTTTTCAGCATTTAAAATTTCATCATATGACACATTGTAATTGCAGCCACATAAAAGTCTATAATTGCCAAATCGTTTTTCTAAATTGTCAGTGATGAATTTTCCAGGCAATACATACTCAATGTCAAATTGATTAAATGAATATTCAATTATATTAAGTAGAGTCAGCGTGCTTTGATATATACGTTTCTGGTGTCAGGTGTCCATTATTATTCTCTAGATTATGCCATTTTTCTAACCATATCAGGAATTTTTTTAAAAATTGTACTCTATAATCATATTTATTGGTAATAGGCTTACGAAATTCGTTTCGCTTCAATTCTCCTTTTATTACACTTGTATTACTGACAATATTCCACCAATTCCTGATTATTTCCAAAAAGTGTGCAGCATCATTAAACTTTAATTCTTTCATAGCAGCTATTGTTGAGTGATGGAATAAATTATCTACAAAATTTACATTTTGCCTTTCAAATGAATTTGGATGCAATGTTTTATAATTTAATTTATATGCTTTCTTAACTACAGCTTCTTTTTCCAATTGATATACAGCACGAATGTTTTCAAATTTAGCATACTGAATAATATCATTATTGTCAAAATTAGGATATACAAAAGCTTTGTCTAGCTTTTTTAAATTAATCCAATTATTTCTGATACTCTTGAAAATATGCACAACATCATAAGTTAAATACATGTTCTTATCAGGATTATGTGGATTTGGAATAGAATAATTTTCTGATGAATCCTTTGCTAATTTCCTGAACATTGCTCTATTAATTCGGTGATTATCAGTAACAACACAAATAACTTCAAACCCACATTTTTGAACTAAATTTATCTTTGATCTTATCCATATCATCGAAATTCTGGATAGCTTTTTCATGTTTCTCAATTAATTTTTGTTTTCTTTGCATTGGGTCAGTTCTTTTGGGTGCTTCAGTTTTTGAAAGATATGATGGCAAGTTTGGGAAAATGGAGGGAACAGCATTTTCTTTCAATTTTGGATATTTCAAAGGTATATTATTTTGGACTGTTCCATCCGCCAAAACTATATTTTCTGTCCTGATGATATCCGATTCTCTAAAATGACGACTGCACACAGCTGAATATTTTGAAGGTGTCCAATTTTTTTGGGAATTGCCATAAGCCATTTGTTTTTCAGACTTTCGGTACTTGGGAAGCGAAAAGTTGAAACATAGCTTTCTATTTTCAAAGCAGAATTATAGTTTGCATTGCATAAAGGAACACAGCAACAACGAGGCATATTGTCTGCGTCAAATACTTGATAAATGAAAAAAGAAAAATACAACCTGAATTTGCAGGTTTTCAATAGTTGAAATCCTTAGCGTCCTGAGGCGCGAACAGCCACAGTCACACTTCTTAGTTTATTTTTAAAGCACAGAAGCACTACAACTGGAGTCTATTTCTCATATATTATAGTTACCGATCACTTTGAACACATACACACACTTTGAAGCTTAGAAAACAAGCTTATCTCTTAATTACAGCCTCTGGGATTCCAAAATCACAAATTGAAAAGGTTATGTTTTCTCAGCGTTTTGAGCACGAGTTGCGTCGATGCAGCAAGCAGCGGCGGGAGTAACACTACCACCTACGTTGCCAGATTTCTTTGTTCACGGCTCGTAGTTGACGTCGGCTGTGCTATTAAATATAAAAAACATATTTTGTTCCCTTCACTAGATTTATCGGTCAAGTTCAGAAATGTCTTGGAAGGAATTTGAATCCATTGGATTGGGGATGGACTAAGACCGAAGAATATATACAGCCAAAACAAACTCTATTGCCACCTGCTCCAGCTGTCTTATTAAACACAATCTTTTGTAATTGTACGAAAGGTTGTGGAGCTAATTGCGGATGAAGGAAATTTGGCCTGCAGTGTTCCCCCATTTGCGGCTACTGTTATGGACAGTCATGTCTGAATATGATCTCGAATAATGTGAAATTCGTTGAGAATATAGATCCCATGAATTTCCTATGCTCAACACTTGAGGTTGGCGAAGACTTAGATAATGCCGCATCATGTCACATTGATGACTAAGGAAAAAAGTAACAATAACATCATTTTTCCATTATATCTTCGCAGATTAGGCCTATTGGGGAATCCACATGAAAAAAAAACGCGTCTGGTACTCTACCTCTATGGTGACGTGGAAAAAAGTACGTTATTTTACAATTTTCTCGATGTTCAACATTGAAAGTAAAATTTCCTTGGAAAAACGATCTCCACAAAAAAATGCGTTGACCCTTTTTGTGGAGAATTTCATACTGAACAAAAAGGTAATTACTCATTTTATCGTAGAATTGATATTTTCTAAGATATATGGAAAACAGTGACTTTGACCCACCCCATAAAAAAAGCTCCACTTGGATTCATGGGGACTTTTGAGGGATGATACTGAAAAGAAGCTCTGGTAAAAAATTCAGCCAGGTGGGAATTTTTACAGCAGAGAAAGTGTAATAGTCTTGGACCAGTAGCTGTTCATTTGACACTACCAAATCTTCACATAGAATACTCATTCTCATCCCATGAGCCTTATTATTACGAAGACGTTTATAGAGACTTTACTTATATACAGGCAATGATTCCTCTTTATCCGCTCCAAGTTTAGCTTCAAATTTCTTGAATGGACTACCCAGTCTCGGTATATGCTCCTTCCTCTCTCCTTCTATTCTATGCTGTTCCAAAGAAACTTTGAAGATGCCCAGCTGACATTTTTCCTGGGCATAAGATACCAATTATTGTAATTGACACTTTGTTGATTCCTAATACAGGGTGGCACATCGAAAACGAAAAAGACGCATTTACTGGCAGCTCAGTTTTTTTTTGAAAAACGCTCAGACGCGTCGATTTTGTTGTCGAGGGGGGGCACAAGTTTGGCAAAAAATCACGTTAACACGTGCACCCCCCTGGGCGGGGGTGCCACCAACCCTAAAATCTTAAATGGAAAGGGGGGTCGAGTGATACCTTATTTTAAAGGTCTTTCAATTTCCTTTATAATCATGTAAAATACATGAGCTTCAGTTCAGTAGTTTTGAAGATTTATTGATTTAAAGCTTAAAGTAGACTTTAATAGGTACATCAGATTAGTTTGTACTACTTTCAGAAGAAATTTGACTAAAAGAATTTACTTAATAAGTAAATGCTTTTCTTCACTACGCCCATGGTTTGTTTATCATTTTGTTGTTGAAAATAGGTATTGGAGCGTTTTTTTTTTTTTTGGCAAAAAAGTTATTTCTTGAAGAAACTTTTAAGGAAATATCTCGCACTTATTTTAAATAGGAATTTAGTACATAGTTTGCGATTGATTTGACCAAACTTTGTTGCTAAAATAACTTGTAACTCTTTATTACATAAATTAACCATGGTGTATTCCACAGCAGAAATAGCTGAAATTATTGAAATATTTAATGAGCGACATGATCGCCAGATTTATCACCTTTGGATTTCTTTATGTGGAGTCATTTAAAAAGCAAAATCTATGCTACTCAGCCAACATCATTAGATGACCTGCGACAAAGAATTGTGAATGAGTGCCTTCAAATTACTCCTCAAATATTGCAAAATGTACGGCAACGTTTTGAGCAAAATCTTTATTATTGCATGGAGAGTCATGGTGGCCATTTTCAACATTTACTTACCTAACGGGGATCTTTAAACCAATGAATCTTCAACACTACTGAACTGAAGTACATTAATTTTATATCATTATAAAGGCAATTGAAAGACCTTTAAAATAAGATATCACTCGACCCCCCTTTCCATTTAACATTTTGGGGGTGGTGTCACCCCCGCTTAGGGCGGCACATGCTAACGTGATTTTTTGCCAAACTTGTGTCCCCCTCGAAAACAAAATCGACGGGTCTGAGCGTTTTTTAAAAAAAAAGCTGCCAGTAAATGCGTCTGTTTCGTTTTCGATGCGTCACCCTGTTTATCGAAAATAAGGCACAATCTCCTAGAAGGCTTTTTCCAGTTCTACTGGCGTTCAAAACTCAAGCTTATTAACCTCTTGTTTCAGTCTGTCCCCGAACCAATCATCGACTTCAAAGGTGACGGTTACATCAAGGCTACCGAACACAATGGCGAGATGAAAGCTAATTTGCAATACGGCAAACATGGACCGATCTCTGGCCTTGCTGGATACAGCCTGACCACAGATGGAAAGAAGAAGCAGATCAACGGCAACCTGGCTCTGCAGTACGACCAAGGCAAAAACGTGAAAGTTGAAGCCGCTCTCACCAAGAAGGAAGATCACGAATACAAGCTGGACGTCAACATGGAAACACCGGTTGAGAATCTGAAAAAGGTCAACTTGATGGTGCACACCAAGAGGTGAGTTATTTCTGGAATTTCAAAAATTGGAAATCGTCTCAGATTATACTGGATGGTTCGTAATAAAAGCGCCATGCTATGGATTAAACTCGTGGAAATAATTATATTGTTGCAAATACTAGCGTTGATTAAAAAAAATATACTAAGTGACATATAAATCCGAACACCCAGTTTAAATGGTTTTATTTTAATAAAATTTTGTATAAGTACTTAATGAAGCATAATAAGTAAATGATAAAAATTTCAAAATGATTGCACTGCTTTAAAGCCCTTTGACCTTTAATAATGTGTGCACCCTGATGTGCTACCAGGCAACCACCAACTCCTCTCGAAGTGCTTTTAGAGTCTGAGGAGGACGTTGCAAATTGAGCAATCTCCTACGCATCATATCCCACACGTGCTCAATTGGGGATAAGTCGGGAGATCTTGGTGGCCATGGTAACAATGTGACATCATTATGTTGAAAGAAGTCTATTGTGACTCTTGTAACATGTGGTCGGGCATTATCTTGTTGGAAAGTTGGATCTGCCAGGGTGTCAAGATAGGGTTCTAGAACTTCGTGGATATAACGCTGCGCGTTCATGACACTTCTGATGAAGATTAAAGGTGACCTAGAACCATAAGCTATAGCACCCCAAACCATAACTCCAACAGTGTGATGAACATGTCTTTCAACAAAAAACCGTGGGTTCCTCCTTTCACCATGTTGCCTTCTAACCCTGGCACGACCATCGTGCATGCCTAAACAAAATCGAGACTTGTCACTAAAGACAATACTGTTCCATTCCTGATCCCAGAGTGACCGTTGTCTGCACCACTCAAGGCGATTACGTCGGTGTTCTCGAGTTAAAGGGAAATTTACGTACTTACTGACTACAAATTTTGGCTTAACTTAGAAAAACTTAATGCCATTTATTTGTTAATTACCCAATTTAAAAACGTTTTAGATTAGATTATAAAAATTAGTAAGATTGTGGTCAATATGAAGCACTTAAAGTTGTAAACTATTACGTCTACACCCTGTATAAGGAGTTTAGGTATACAGGATGTCCGAAAGCCCACAATCATTTGTGAACTGGAATCATGCTAGGAAAAAATAAGCTCCGCCATTGACAGGAGTTTTTTCCAGCTATCAAATGGAAAGATTGGATTTGACATTGGCAGTGACCTTTAGGGTCATTTGAAAGTCGAGTAGATTTTTTAAATATAACCACTCATTTTTGACCCAGGAAATGAAAAACAATTACGTTCAAATATAGCTTGACCATTCATAAATTTTGACCGTAAAAGATCATGCCAAGATCAAACCCAGGTACGGTGATGTGAATTGAAAGCCAGTATAGGGGAAACTGCCGAGACAGTTTACATGATTTTGCCCGGATATCAAATGGTGACCTTGTATCACCTTCAAGGTCATTTGGAGGTCAAGTTCATTTTTGTAGCCGATACTTTACGAAAACGTTGAAAATCCCGAAAAATAATCTAAATCAAACATCATTTTTAGGTCTCCAGATCAGAAACACGTCGAAAGCAAAGTAGAGCTGAATGCTGATGGAAAGGTTTGGCATGTAGACACTGAGGTCAAGGTATCAGAAATCGCCCCGTTGCTCAACATCAAGGTTAAGTGTCCTGAAGGAAAAGTATCGCAGATCTTCTTCAAAGGAAACAAGGTAACCCCTAAAACATTTGGATTTAAAAAATTGGTTTCGCTTCCATTCGCATCGATTTTCAGTAAATCTCAACAGAATTACTAGAGTTTCTTATTATGAAACTCTTCTACATCAGATCAGGGAGCTCATATTTGAGTATATGTACAGATATTCAGAAAGTTCCGATGCGGAAAAATTGTTACATACAATGATATGTTTAAATTTCTTCTTTATTCTATGTCGTTAGGTCCGAAACGTTTTAAACATTCGATTCGACCAGAGACAAACATGGGTCATTATATAAAGGTTTGAGTCAAAGCGCTTTGCTTTAACTGAAATACAAGCCCTGATTGAGATCTTGATCCTACAGCGTATCTAAATCGGTCCATATTTTATTATTAAATAGGATAGTACTTAGATACTCGAATCTGGCACTTCCAATCATTATGTCAACTCAACGAATCCAAAAGTATGATTTTTCAAAATGCTTTTTTTCACTTATTGCAGTTGTTGCTTGAAATATCTTACTACCCAGCAATTCTGTTTCTGCAATTCTTCCAAAACGTAATTTCACGGAATGCATTATTTTGAATTTTTATTTTCAGATCAGCGACAAGGAATTCAGCGGTGAACTGAAATTGGCCTGCCAAGCAAAGGATTTCCTTTTAGAAGGAAACTTGGACGCAAACATCGATAACATCGACCAGTTCGTTATCAAAGGAAACGTCAACTCGCCGAACTTGAAACTGGACAAGGTGCACTTCGAGGCCCAGAACGAAGCTGCGAAGACCGGCAGGAAGATTCAAATCACAGTCAAATCTAACGGACAAAACCTGTTGAGTGGCAGCACCACCTACAATGCTCACGATGAACACGGAAAATACGTTGTTGATGGTTCTGGATCATTTAAGGTTAGTCACATCTTCTACGTTACTTCGATTTTTATTCCCACACACTATTAGCCTGAAACTCATGTGTCTCGAAATGACCACCATATGTTAACTATAGGTCTCAAGAAATTTCTTCTACATTTCTTACAGTTATCTGATTCATATTGTTATCTTGATATTTTGTGCATGTCCGGTTGTAGTATGGTTAAGTGTTAGAGTGGCCTTAGCTAAACTTCGGCATACTAAGATCAGTTTCTAAATAAAGACATGATTACAACCTGGGCTCCGACGCACTATCATCCATGCCATCGAAAGGTTTCGCTTGGGTAGAAAGCAAAGTATTGCAAGAGTACACTCTTATAACTTAAACTCAAGCTTTCGAAGATCTATGTCTTCATCATCTGGAGCTGGAAAGGATTATTGACAATAGCAACAATAAACAATTAGGAGGAAAAATAGTTAGTTACTAATTCGGCGAGATTGTTACTGAAATTGGTTTTAAACAACCGTGAAGGGAACATAATGATCATATGATTTGCCATTTAATGATAAAATAATTCCGTCCTAATCGAAGCTCATCAGTCCAGTTTTTTATTCGTCGACTATGTGTACCCTTCACTGTTGTTTAAAAACAACTTCAGAAACAATCTCGCCGACTTAGTAAGTAACTATTTTTTCTCCTAATTGTTAATTGTTGCTATTGTCAATAATTGATTCCAGTTCCAGACGATGAAGACAGATCTTCGAAAGCTTGAGTTTAAGTTATAAGAGTGTACTTTTGCAATACTTTGTCTTCTACCCGAAGAAATTGAAGGATATTTTCTCCTAACAGTTAAGGCAATTAACTATGAATATTATATACATATATATATACTCATATATATACAGGGTGACTTTGAAGTTGAGTCATTAATTTTCAGATAATGATTGTAGAAGGAAGATAAATCAAAATATCTGTGTAAAAATAAAAAAAAATTAAAAAAATGTTACCTTGTTTTATAAAGTATCCTCCCGGCAAGTATTTCAGTGCGGACCTGTATTTGATCGTGCGGTCTTGGAGCACCGGCATGTCCTCCCCTGTGAGGTCTTAAGTCACCTGATTCACGAGCCCTTTGTACTACATTAACGAAGCCACGAGGGGTTGGTTGCACCCGATTGGGAAACCGATCCGCATAAATCCGTGATGCCGCGGCAGCATTTTGTAAAGACTCCCCCCCGTAAATAAGAATCATGTCCACAAGTTCAGCATTTTCGTAAACATGTGCCATTTTTTATTTCGTTTGAGCCACGCAACAAACACCACTATTCACTCACGCGTTACCGACTGACACATTGACTGAATACAACTGAATAAAATTGTAGTAAAAGCATCGTGATAAGCGTTTCAAATTGTTTCGCTTTTTTGTTTCCGATGCGATGAACCGATAAGGCGGATTATATGCGTTGTTGCCAAACACGAGCACATAATATTATTATTGAGACAGGGCGGTACTCAAACTTCTAAAGGGCTATAACTTTGTTACTTTAATTTTACCAGAAAAATGTTGAAGGAAAAAACATTTCTTTTGATCAGATCTACTCACTGTTAAAATAAATGACTCAACTTCGAAGTCACCCTGTATATATACAGGGTGTCCGCAAAGTTGGGGTTTTCCTTTACACGACGTGTAGATCTTGAAAACATAAGCAATTTTCCTTAGTACCATATACACCAATGTCTTAAGGGAACCCAGATAAAGGGCTCTGCAACATCAAAAATATCTGAATACCGTCCTGTAGCCGCGACATCACAGAGTGGTACAATGTCACTGGCTCAACCCGACGACAGGGTCAGTGTGTCAGGTCAGTATGCAACCTTCAACCGACGGTTACGGTCACGCGTGTAGAGGTAATAGCGTAGACGAGAATCCCTCAACAAGCACTAGAGACGTGGCTAGAGAAGTGCAAGTATCAAAAACTAAAGTGTGGCAAACGATGCGTGAAGAGGGGCTGTATCCGTTTCACGTCCAACGTGTACAAGCCCCTCAACCTGACGATTTTCCAGCAAGAGTGCGGTTTTGTGAGTGGTTGTTGCATCAACATGACAATAATCCGGACTTTTTGAAGTGCATATTGGTGACAGACGAATCTACATTCACGCGTAATGGGGTGAATACCTTTCGAAACACTCATGTTTGGTCAGTAGAAAATCCGCACGCTGTCCGTCAGGCACATTTTCAACAAACATTTTCGGTGAATGTTTGGGCTGGCATGGTGCGTCTGCTCGGTAGCGCATTAGCTGATTTCATTTTCTGTTGGAGCGGTATGGTTTCGGGCAGAGACGTACTTAGCCCTTCTCGTCAACTGGAGAGTGAGTACTTTTTCCTTTATTTTTTTTACTTGGTCTCCCTCGTTTCACTACACATTACCTTTGTTATTTCAAGGGTAGTTGTTTCTGAAAAGGAAAACCCCAACTTTGCGGACACCCTGTATATATATATATATTAATGTATCATCAGCAAATAGTTGAATTTTGCAGTGTTGTAAAGTATCAGGAATATTGTTGATGTATAAAATAAATAGTAATGGACCTAATTTGCTACCCTGTGGCACACCTACCGAAATGTTTTTAATGTTTGATAATGTATTGCCAATTTTAGTTCACTGACTTCTATTCATTAAATAATTTTGTAATAAGTTGAGTACTAAACCTTGAAATCCAAAGCAATGCAATTTTGTTAACAATTTCTCCCTGTCGATAGTCTCAAATGCTCTCTTGAAATCTAAGAACAATGTTACTGTAAACTTTTTTTCATCCATATTTCGCCTCCATTCTTCTTCTACCATTTGAATTGCTGTTTCAGTAGAATGCTTTTTTCTGAATCCTGCTTGAAATTTTGTCAATTTCTTATTTTCTTCAATATACTCAATGACTTGTTCATATATGATTCCTTCTAAGAGCTTCTCGAGCTCTGGCGGTACATTAATTGGCCGCATGTTTGTATATAACTCAGAATTTTGCAGTTTTGGAACAGGAGTAATTGTAGAACGTTTTAATTTTGAAGGAAATTCGCCATACACTTAACAGTGATTCACTAACAATAATAACTTCTCTCCACGAGTTGAAAATTCTAGCCAAATGCCGGTGGCAACTGGGAAATTTCTTTCTCCAGTAGGCGTTTATGCCATCCGGGCCAAGGAATTCTTAACACCTATCAAGGCACTACGAATATCTTCCGTGGTTATCGATGGACGTAGTATATCTGCACGGAGTCCTTTGACATAAGGACTCAAACTGCGTCAACGCCGGAGTTCAGCCTGAAAAAGCTTCAATCATTCCCAAGCGCGATCAGCAGCTGGCAGAGGCCGCGCGGCGTACACGCGACGTGAAAAGCCTTCCTTAATATTATCATTATTAAAAGACATAAGCAACAACCTATTGGACTGGGTACCAGAATGCCCTTTGATGAAAGTGTTCAGAAAAACGCCCAGAGTTGTATACAAAATAACGTCCACAAGACAGTTAGTTGTAGATGAGGTTTGTCCTAAACCAGTTCTTATTTTCCCTTTAAGGTCAAGGAAGAAACAAAATCAGCGAACTTCAAATACATCCGTCGTCAATTGTCTCTAGATAAAGACGGCGAACAAGGTATTGACGTCTCTTTCGATGCTACCATCGGCAGCAGAGCTATTGACGCTGAAATGAGACTGACGAACAAGAACCTGAGACAATCCATTTCTTACTGTGAGAAATCCAAGGACTGCGCTCATGTTGAGATTGACTCAAAGATCAGCAGCAACGGTAAGCTATATAGAAGTTTATTAATTTAAGACTGCAGAAACTTTGATATTTGACATTGTCTCTTCAGCTAATACACTTGCCCCTCTTTGGTATCATTCACACGCAATTTGAATATAAACTTGAGAACTAGATAGCATTTAAAGGACTCTCATAGATTTATTTTGTAGAATTTGTAATTTTGAAAATACGTTTTCATTTGCTGTGAACAAGATGGTTGAACCATATAAATGGTGAGGAAGAATTATAGTATATTCTATAGGAGCTTTTGATATTTTTGAAATAATGAATTCATAATGCTCGTGAAACAGTAGTTTACTATCTACATATACAAGGTGTTTCAGTTTATTGTTGCATAACTTTAAGATTCGATAGAACTTTTAAAATTAATGCATAAAGTCTATATAAACATGGGTCGAAAAATGCGTGCCTTCCGAAATACAGGGTGTTTAAATTTACTTTTTAAAATAGTTTTTTTTAAACATTTCGAACAATATTTGATGTATAACAGTGAAAATTGGTATAAAAGGGTTTTTTGGTACGACAAAACGAACCATGGGCATATTGTTTCTTTTACAATTGTGAATGCACGAAATTTAGTTTCTTTTACCTGTTTTTTTTTTGTAAGTTTTATAAAAAATGCCATTTTTATTCTCCAATCAAGAGTTAGCGGATATTCATTTTGAGTATGGCTTTGTAAATGGAAACAGAAGCAGCCAGAGAATACGTACGAAGATTTCCAAACAGACGACATCCAACTCGCTCAGTATTTGCAAGAGTGCATCGCCAAATAATTGAAAATGGTTTTGGAAATCTCCAACGGGATCATAACATAAATGTTCGTCAGCGCAGATTTACCCGTATGATTCTGCGTGAGTTTGATAGAGATCCGACCACAAGTGTTAGGAGAGTTTCTGGTGCCTTGGGAATTTCAGCAAGCCATGTTCACCGTGTTTTTAGAAATGACCATAGACGTCCTTACCATTTGCAACCTGTGCAAGGACTACAGCCAGGGGACGGAGAACGAAGAATCACATTTTGTCAGTGGATTCTTGATAGAACTGATAATAATAGGGAGTTTTTAAGTAACGTTTTATGGACCGATGAGTCATGCTTCACTAGACGTGGAGTGGTAAATTTTCATAATCAACATATTTGGTCGCATGAAAATCCGCATGCAGTTCGGGAAAGAAATTTTCAGCATGAATTTAGTGTGAACGTGTGGATTGGTATCTACCGTAATCGACTATTTGGACCCTACCTTTTGCCTGCAAGGTTAAATGCTGCGACCTTCTTGGAATTTTTAAAGGCTGAACATGCAAATATGTGGGATGATGTTATGTTAGATTTAAGAAGATTGGCCTGGTTCCAGCTTGATGGTTGTCCAGCTCATTATTCGAGAATAGTTAGAAACTGGCTGGACAAAAATTATCCAGAAAGATGGATCGGCCGTGGAGGACCAGTCGCCTGGCCTCCACGATCCCCTGACCTAAATCCATTAGATTTTTTTGTGTGGGGATTTCTAAAAGAAAAAGTGTACCAGACTCCCGTAACCACAAGAGATATGCTAATAGACAGAATCAGAAATGCATGTGATGAAATAAGGCCTTATTTGAATAATGCTATATCACGTTCGATCATTCGTAGATGTGAATTGTGTATTGAACAATTGGGTTTACATTTCGAGCAACTACTTTAGATTTTGTATGTTTATCCTAGCGATCCAATAGCATTTTAGTTGTAAATAATTAATTTAATTTGTTAAAAATAATATTGGAAAATTAAACAAATTAATATTCTGTTTTTTTGTGTTTATTTGGAGTTAGGAATTATTGCTGTGTTTAAAAACACAATCTAAATGATCATCTTAATTACTTGTAATGCCCAAATCGAAAATGTAAAAAAAAAATATTATTTTCCCATAAATAATTAAAAATGCATCGAACCTTAAAAATCGAAATATCTCAAAAACGGCTAACTATAACGAAAACTCACAGGAGAGCTTTTTTATGCAGAAAAGTGCGAAGAATCAGTTATTTTATTCGAAAAGCAAAAAATTGCACTAAGAAAAAATTTTCTGTCATTTTAATACTCTAGAGGCACAGTAGAGAGCGCCCTCTAGCGGCTACAGTAAAACTATGCCCATGGTTCCTTTTGTCGTACCAAAAACCCTTGTATATCAATTTTCACTGTTATACATCAAATATAGTTCGAAATATTTAAAAAAAAAACTATTTTAAAAAGTAAATTTAAACACGCTGTATTTCGGAAGCCACGCATTTTTCGACCCATGTTTATATAGACTTTATGCATTGATTTTAAAAATTCTATCGAATCATAAAGTTATGCAACTATAAACTGAAACACCCTGTATACCCAGATATTTAAATGATTCGACAGCTTCAATTTTTAATGAGTTAGTTTGTTTAACACGATTTTATGGTACTTTTACCTAGATGTCGAAAACTACAACCACGTGCTGGAGATCAACCTAGATCTTCGCAAACTAGGCATGAGCCACCAGTTCGGCTTAAAATCCGTAACAAACAGGAAGAAGTACGTTCTGGATCACACTGTGGATGCCCACTTCCAAGGACCCGAGAAGAGCAACTACCAATACAGCCTGTACATCCACCCTGGAGAAGCTGGTGCTTCTCTAACTACGCCGAAGAGGATCATCGCTCTGGAAACCAAGGCTAACGTAGCCAAGAACTACAAGGAAGGTGGAAAGATGCACGGAGAGATTACATTCTACTTGGACAAGAAGAACCATCCTCAAAAGAAGACCTCATGGAACGGTTGGTTGTCTGTTGACATTGCCAAGCAGACCATTAATGGAGAGACCAAGATGGAACATCCTGGATTACAAAGAGTGAGTGTGGATTCTTTATTTTTACTTCCTATGCAATATTATAATCGCGAAACATTTCAAAATGTTTTTTGGATGTTATACAGTGTGGCGCATCGAAAACGAAACATACGCATTTACTGGCAGGTCAGTTTTTTTTTTGGAAAAACGCTCAGACCCGTCGATTTTGTTTTCGAGGGGGACACAAGTTTGGCAAAAAATCACGTTAACATGTGCAGCCCCCTGGGCGGGGGTGCCACCAAAACCCTAAAATCTTAAATGGAAGTGATACCTTATTTTAAAGGTCTTTCGATTCCCTTTATAATGATGTAAAATAATGAGCTTCAGTTCAGTAGTTTTGAAGATTTATTGATTTAAAGCTTAAAGTAGACTTTAATAGGTACATCAGATTAGTTTCTACTACTTTCAGAAGAAATTTGACTAAAAGAATTTACTTAATCAGTAAATGCTTTTCTTCACTACGCCTTGGTTTGTTTATCATTTTGTTGTTGAAAATAGCAATTGGAGCGTTTTTTTTTGTGGCAAAAAAGTTATTTCTTGAAGAAAGATAAGGAAATGTCTCGTACTTATTTTAAATAGGAATTTAGTACATAGTTTGCGATTGATTTGACCAAACTGTTGCTAAAATAACTTGTAACGCTTTATCACATAAATTAATCATGGTATATTCCACAGCAGAAAGAGTTGAATTTATCGAAATATTTTTTGGAAATAACCAGTGCGCTAATAGAACAGCAGAAATATTTAATGCGCGGCATGTAACGTGCATCGAAAATATGTTCTAGAACTTGTAGCTAAATTTCGGGAAACTTAGTCAGTCGCCAATAAAAAACGCAACATAGAAAATCCCATAAGGAACGAACCAATAGAAGTGGGGATTTTAGGGCAAGTTTATGTAGATCCTACGTTAAGTACCCGCAAATTGGAGACTGTGTGTGGTGTTAGTCGACGTACTGTCCAACGGATTCTAAAGGCCCATAGTTTTCATCCGTATAAAATTCACCTGGTACAAGAACTTAATGAAGGCGATTTTGATCAGCGATTACAATTTTGTGAAGATATGAGTGAACGAATTATAAACGATGAACATTTTCTATTCAACACTTGCTTTTCCGACGAGTGTTCCTTTTTCTTAAATGGCGTAGTAAATCGTCATAAATGCCGATATTGGTCCGATTCTAATCCCAGAATTTATCATGAGGTTCATACACAGCAGCCACAAAAATTAAATGTTTGGGCTGGTATTTTTGGCGATCATTTAGTTGGCCCTTTTTTCTTACCTGGAAATTTGACCGGTGAAATGTATTTGGAATTACTGGAAGACGCCATAGATCCTGCATTAACAGCCATAATTGAACATCAGAATGGTCGGCGGTACATTGCGAATTGGTTGATGTTCCAACAGGATGGTGCCCCACCACGTTACGCATTACGTGTTCGACAATATTTAGATCAGACGTTTCCAGATCGATGGATTGGTAGAAGAGGTGCCATTGAATGGCCACCAAGATCGCCAGATTTATCACCTTTGGATTTCTTTATGCGGGGACATTTAAAAAGCAAAATCTATGCTACTCAGCCAACATCATTAGAAGACGAAGAATTGTGAATGAGTGCCTTCAAATTACTCCTCAAATATTGCAAAATATGCGGCAAAGTTTTGAGCAAAATCTTTATTACTGGATGGAGAGTCATGGTGGCCATTTACTTGCCTAACGGGTCAGTTCATTCTTCATTTTTAAATTACTTTGCTGCCAAATGCATTGATCTCCACTAATGATGATGTATTTAGTTTTATTTAAGCTTTAAATCAATAAATCTTCAAAACTACTGAACGGAAGTACATTAATTTTATATCATTATAAAGAGAACTGAAAGACCTTTCGTTTTCGTTGCGCCACCCTGTATATGACATATAACCGCCAGAGCTTGAGAAGCACCGCTCGGATTTTGATAGAATTTTCACACAAGGTGACTTCTACGCCCAGGATGAAAAAGCTGGAAGTAAAAACACAAAAAATAAAAATCGCTTAAACTTCGTTTCTTGACGTCTCCGAGGCTCCTGATGATTTTCGGAAAAACATTATAGGGTTTGAAACTTAAGGGTTTGTGATTGTAAAATGTAGGAGGGCTTTTAAATGTAAAGCCGTTAGTATTAGTCAATGACGTTCTATCATTAAGAAGCTTCTGATCCCGGTAACAACGGAAAATGATAACAGTCCAATGTTCAATGTGGTAATCGGTGTTGAGTGCATATAGTGATAAACATCGTCGTGGTAACCATTGCCAACTGTGCAATGGGTAACAAACTCCAACCGGTCTGCGGTGATGTCGTCACTAACACACCGCTACAGGAGAAATAATAATAATAATAATAATAATAATATTTATTTACTCTAAAATACAGGAAACATGAAACGAGTAAATAAATATAATATATCCATAGGAGGACAACGCCTGTGCATGGATCATATGTATGTTGAATTGCAAAACATAATAAAATAGAGAGAAAAAAGAAATTATTGGTAAGAATGGTAGAGCATTTATTGTGTAATATTTGAGATTATTTTATTAATTTGATTTCTCCCAATCGTGTTAATAAATTTATTTCATTTTTTTTGAAGCCTAATGTATTGCGTAATTGTTTTAAATTATTTGGTAAATGTTCGTACAATTTTGGAGCTATATACAGGTGACATCGTTTCATTAGGGATTTGTTTGGTTTAGGAACATTTTTTGCGCGTAATTTATATCTAGTTTTATGATTATGTTTAATTATGTCGTGTTCACTAATAGTTTTGTGATAATGAGTGATGGTATGTAAGAAGTAAAGTTGTTTAGTATCATATACTTGTGCATCATTATATAAGTCATTAGTTGGGTATAATTTTGATTTGCCTAACATTGATTTTAAAATTCTTCTTTGAAGTATATCTAAATCGTTAAAGTATGTCGTGCATGCAGCACCCCACACTACTATACCATATGTTATGTGTGGCTCGACTAAAGCTTGATATATTATTCCTAGATAATATTCAGTTAATATACCGGTTAGAAATTTTATTTTATATGCTATGAATCTAATTTTCTTTAGTATGTGAGAAATATGTACATCCCATCTCAAGTGGGGATCTAGATAAATTCCTAAATATTTTGTATCATTAACTCTATTGATTTTTATATTTTTATCATTTACCTTAAACCGAAGGTGGTTATATTTTGGTAGATGATTAGATAGTGATGAAAATGGTAAAAAATGAGTTTTAGTAAAGTTAATTGTTAATTTTCGGTTATTAAACCACTGAATAATTTTGCAAAAGTCATTTTGGATAATATCTTTTAAGTCGTTCCAATCCTTACCTTTATAGAGTATAGCAGTATCACCTGCAAAACTGACTATTTTACCAGTACTGTTAATTTTGAATATATCGTTTAAATAAATATTGAATAACACAGGACCCAAAATTGTACCTTGTGGAACACCACATTTAACAAACATTTCTTTACTATACGAGCTTAATAATTTTACTGATTGCGGTCTATTTGATAAATAATTTTCCATTAAAGTATACATCTTTCCACGAAAACCTATTCTTTCTAAGATTTCCAAAAGTATATTGTGGTTAACTGTGTCAAACGCTTTTTGTAAGTCCACAAATACGCATATCGATGGTACTTTTCCATCTATATTTTGGGTTATTTCATCTACTATATTTAATACCCCATCTGTTGTAGATTTGCCCGCTATAAAACCATATTGATTTGAATTTAGAATTTTGAATTTATTAAGAAAATTAATCATTTTATTAAGGAGTAATTTCTCAAAAACTTTAGCTAAACTTGATATAAGTGAAATAGGTCGATCGATAGTTAGTGACGTCCGTATTATCATTAGATTTATAGATAGGTATGATGATTGCTGTCTTGAAAGCTGATGGAAATACTCCAGATTGGAAGGATTTGTTAATGATATAAGCAAGTGGTTCTGTTATTTGTTTGGCCAGTATCTTTATATGTTCAGCTCTAATTTCGTCAATTCCAGGGCTTTTTTTATTTTTTAGAGTCATAATGGCATTGAAAACATTCTGATAGTCTACTTCAGTTAATACAAATGAATTATTCAGTCTTGTTTCATGCAGATGAATATCAGCATTTTGTTTGATATTATTTGCTAAGTTTCCTCCTATATTCGTGAAAAATTCTATGAACTCATCACATATTTGCTGAATATTGTCTGTTTTCTGTTCTGTTTTTGTTTTTATTTCATTAATACTGTTTTTTGAATAGGATGACTTATTGAATATATCATTGACAGTGGACCATAGGTGTCTAGAGTCATGTGAATTATCATTCAATTGTTTTATATAGTAATTTTTTTTTGCTTTTCTCAAAAGTTCTATAAATTTGTTTTTATACTGATTATAATGATCTATATTTTCTTTCGTGGGTAAATATTTCATGATTTTATACAGTCTTTCTTTTTCGTTTGCAGATTTTATTAGTCCTTTGGTCATCCAATCATTTCTGCTTTTTTCCTTGTGACTTATTTCAACCTTATTAGTACTAACTTCAATTACTTTTTGAATTTATATATTTTAGCAATATTTGGATATTCCACTTTAGCGTTCTGCGAGGCTGTTGTAAATGATGACTCAACTGTTTTTACTTAACAGGGTCTTGCTATTGATCGAAACAAAGTCATCCATATTTTTCTCTGTAATGAAAAAACGAAGAATCTAAACATAATAGTTTCGTCTCTCTGACCAGAGACAGTCAACCATGGAAAGATGTTTTGTGCTTTTTGGTAACTCATCAGCATCTCCTAGGCTTTGCCTTAGGTCAGGTTCGTGAGATGACATCGAAGCAGTTAATGAAGCAACACATTTAGCTCGCCGCTTTTTTCTTCGGTGTTCCTAAGACACGCATTTTCTTCTTTTATCGCTAGTTTTTTGTAAACCCCTGCTAAATGACCTGGTCGACCTGGCTCTCTCTGCCGCTGCAAGAAGATCCTATCTTTATTTATTTTTATCACTTGAAGGGCATAGGCATGCGCAAAATCAAACAGATCGTCCAAATTCGTCGACTTTAAGGAGTAAACTTTGAAAAAGAAATTTGGGAAATAATGGTCTTTTGATGATAAATATCTGTTTTCATATTTTCTTAAGCCAAGGGTCAATCTACAACATGCATTTTGAAGTTTTGTAGACGCTTAGCTGAAACTGAATCTAGAAATGATATTAAAGATTAACATAAAATTATTTTGGATCTAAAATCAAATATTTCTTTTTTCAAGTACGACTTTTGATTACATTATTTACATGAGAAATAAATTTGACCTTTTCATCTATAAACAAAGCTAAGTTTTTATTTGATTCCTCTATCTGAATAGCATACGAGTAGTTGTTTAAAGCAATGCTCAAATTATTTTTAAGTATATACTAAGTGACATATAAATCCGAACACCCAGTTTAAATGGTTTTATTTTAATAAAAGTTGGTGAATGTATTTATCTTACTGTATATAACAAGTGAAAACATTTTCAGCCTTATCAGTTGGACATTCCGGTTTTTATACTGCTTTTTTTTAATTCACTAACGCTCTAAAAATGAATATTTCAGCCGCAGTAAAGAATCAACGTTGGCGGATTTTGGTTCTTGACATCCTTTACGATCGGTTACGATGCCTAGAGTACGAAGACCTGTACGATTTCGTCAACTTAGTGAGTTTGATAGGGGCCGTATAGTGGGACTTCGGGAAGCTGGACTTTATTTTCGGGCAATTGCAGTTAGAGTGCAAAGAAGTGTAGACACTGTGATTAGGTGTTATCAGGCATGGCTTCAAAAAGGCCGTACGCAAAGAGCAAGGGGCACTGGACGCCGCCGTAGAACAACAGACCGTGAAGATCGCCGCCTAAGATTATTGGCCTTAAGGGACCGTTTCTCCACTACCAGGTCCATTGCAAATGAATGGTTTGCAGAACACGGAAGACCTATTGGCATGCGAAGTGTTTACCGACGAATGAGAAGTTTTGGCTTGTTTTCATACCGGCCACACTGGGTCCTCCTTTTAACTCGAGAACACCGACATAATCGCCTTGATTGGTGCAGACAACGGTCACTCTGGGATTAGGAATGGAACAGTATTGTCTTTAGTGACGAGTCTCGATTTTGTTTAGGCATGCACGATGGTCGTGCCAGGGTGAGAAGGCGACGTGGTGAAAGGAGGAATCCACAGTTTTTTGTTGAAAGACATGTTCATCACACTGTTGGAGTTATGGTTTGAGGTGCTATAGGTTATGGTTCCAGGTCACCTTTAATCTTTATCAGAGGTAACATGAACGCGCAGCGTTATATCCACGAAGTTCTAGAACCCCATCTTTCACCCTATCTTGACACCCTGGCAGATCCAACTTTCCAACAAGATAATGCCCGACCACATGTTGCAAGAGTCACAATAGACTTCTTTCAACATAATGATGTCACATTGTTACCATGGCTACCAAGATCTCCCGACTTATCTCCAATTGAGCACGTGTGGGATATGATGGGTAGGAGATTGCTCAATTTGCAACGTCCTCCTCAGACTCTAGAAGCACTTCGAGAGGAGTTGGTGGTTGCCTGGAATGAGATACCACAGGAGGACATTGACCACCTGATCAGAAGCATGCCTAGGCGCGTTGGAGAATGCGTAGTACATCAGGGTGCATCCACACATTATTAAAGGTCAAAGGGCTTTAAAGCAGTGCAATCATTTTGAAATTCTTGTCATTTACTTATTATGCTTGATTAAGTACTTATACAAAATTTTATTAAAATAAAACCATTTAAACTTGGTGTTCGGATTTATATGTCACTTAGTATATTAATTTGTGTTAGCAGCTCATTTGCAACGAAGCAATGATTATACCCCCTTGTTTCTTTGCAGCCACTTTCTTCATCGATCAAGACAACCCGCACCGGAACAGCGACCAAAGGAGAGGTAGTGATCGTAGCTGAATTCGACATTTTCGCTCAACCGGCCCAGAAACTTGTTACCACTTACAAACATTCCATCGACACCGGAGCGGAAGTTAAGAGCGCAACTTTCAAACGTTCATTGGACGTAAAGAGCAGCGGACTTGGAGTCGACATTCATTCCAGTGAAATGTCGCACTTTGACAGGCAGCATTATGCTGGTGAATATATTGCTAAGGTAAGTTGAAACTGGCTCATTTTGAATGTTTGCTTATCTGGGTCGCCACAGAGCAAATGAGATAACAAAGTCAAACCTCAATAACCTTTTCGAAATTTCTAAAGTCCTCATTTTTACCGTAACTGACTGGCTATAAAAGTCCAAATTATTTGGAGAATGCAAAGTGTTAAGAAGCCATGAAATTCACCAATCAGCATCAATGAGGCTCTTACTGTTTATTACATGTACCATGGCATCAAAAAGAATCAAAATTTTCCATAATTTTTTTCTGTATGGAACTAAATCAATTATATCGATATTAAAGCAACATTTTAACGGAATTTGAATGTACGTCTCGAATATGTAGACATACTATGGATGATTTTTGGACTATGAGAGAGCGTAAGAGTTTTTGGGTACGGCAACCCCTATCTATCACAGCCATCCCAGTTGTTCGATGTCAGTGATATCTTCTGTGATATCAATACTGACATGAGAAATTAATGTTAGTTTGCTTTATAAACTATGGTCCAAAAATGTTTTCTTACAAAAACTCGGGGTGTTGAAGTTTTAGGAGAAAAATGGAAATTAATATTTTCAGATATTTCACTGATATTTAGTACGTGCTGAAAGTTAATCAATTTGCATATTTTTCGATGCAAAAATAATTTTTAGCTTTAACAGTGCCGTGTATTGACTTCGATATTTTTTAAGTAAAAAAATGGTACGCCAATGATTTTCTGCCAAATAAAAATTATTTTTGAATGTCCCGTTCAATTTAAAACAAATGATCTATCTTCAGTTGCTTCCTTTCGATGCGCCGTTTTTGAGTAAAAAAATAAAAACCGTTCTATTGTCTAACTTGCAAAATTATTATTAATTTAATTGGAAAAACTAAACACATTAGGGGTAATGAACAACAACAACTGATGACATAAACATAACATTAAAACCAACGAAGTGATTACAGAAATTGTTGAAAATGGCCCCCTTCACTTATAATAATAATAATAATAATAATAATAATAATAATAATAATAATAATAAAATGTCTTTATTAGGCACATTATATAAACTACAACATAATGTGACCTCTACGTAGGCGAAGTCTAGCTCTTGGCTACTCTACTTAACCTACCCAAATAATAAATTGAAACACTTAATCAAAGGAAACTTTGACAAGCAGCAAAAGATGCTTCAAAACAACGAGCTTGATAGCTTCCTGACATACATATATACACACATATATTACGTAAAAGCAAAATAAAATGTAAGAATTAAAAACTAACTTTTCCACAATTACTACAATGACAAATAAATGTTTCACATGCTTATGAAATCTGTTTACTGGCCAATCCCTTATATTGTCATCTAATTCGTTATAAATCAGGATAGCATTGTAAGTGTATGAACTACGAAATAAAGTTGTTTTATACATAGGGATCTCTAGTCTTTTTTTGTGTCTGAAATCAATGTCTGAATTATTTCGTCTGAAAACAAATTTCTCATAAAGATACAAGGGGGATCGAGAAGATATGATCTTATGTGTAAACACTGCTATATGGTACTTGCAAGCATTTTCTATACACATCCAACCAAGCTGAAATCTCTTTAAGGAAACATGATCATACTTCTTGAGATTAAATACAAATCGACAACAAGTATTTTAGAGTTTTTGGAGTCTTGCTTTTGTGATAGAATCAAGACAATAATAGAACACAGTAAAATAAGCTTGGAAATATAATATCCTCACATAACTTTTTTCTAACTTTAAAATTCAAAATAGAGCGATTGACATAAAAACACTTCAAAGTTGCATAACATTTTTTTAAGATAGACGAAACATTCTCCTTAAACCGTAAAGTATAATCAATAATCAACCCTAAATTTTTTGTAGTATTTACGACAGCTAGACGCTCCTTGTCGATTTTTACATCAAGAGAATACAATATAGTGTTACGTTTGACAGCAGGACAAAAAAGCATCACTGAGCACTTATCTTTAATGAGCTTCAGATTGTTACCATTTGAGTATCCAACTATTGCCTCCAAAACTCATTGATTGAAGTATGTAAAGTGTTACTATTAAAGCTCTTATATATCTGTGTATCATCGGCATAGCACATCACAGAAGAGTTTTTCACAGAGCTACCCAAGTCTATAGTATAAATTAAGTACAACAAGGGCCCTAAAACTGAACCCTGAGGGACACCTGATGTTATATCAATCGGACTAGATATAGTGTTGTCTATCTCTACTACTTGTTTACGATTTGAAAGATATGTTATAAAAAACATTAGAGGTATGTCTGAAAAACCAAAAAACTTCAATTTAGCACATAAAAGCTCATGATCTATTTTCTCGAACGCCTTAGAATAATCTAATGATACAAGTGCTGAAGCATCTCCCTTATCAAGCGAAGCAATGATGTCATCTAAAACCCTTGCTAAAGCTGTAGTTGTACTAAAACCACTGCGGAAACCAGATTGACACTTGGGAAAGAAATCATTATTAGAGAAATAATGATAAACCTGATGTTTAATCAATTTCTCCAATATCTTCGATATAACAGGAATCAAAGTTATAGGTCTTAAGTCTGAGAGACATTTTTACTTAGTATGCATGCTTCCGCCCTCCTTCTCATGGAATTGCGCACTCGTTGAAATATCCCTGGAGTGTTTTTTATTCTATCACAAGCTGCAACTATTCTTTCTCTTAATTCCTCTATAGTGTTAATTGGACTTGTGTACACTAGTGTCTTAAGATAGCCCCACAAAAAGAAATCTAAATTGTTGAGGTCTGGGGACCTTGGTGGCCATTCTTGGGGCCCACCGCGGCCAATCCAACGATTTGGATAAACAGTTTGTGAATAATTACGAACCGCTACACTGAAATGCGCTGGTGCATCATCATGCATGTACCACACATTGTTTCTTATTACTAACGGAACATCATCAAACAGCAAAGGCAACTGTTGTTGAAGAAAATTGAGGCAAGTCTGTCCGTCAAGTCGTCCCGGCAAGAAGAATGGGCCAATAAAGTGGTCGCCAATAATTCCTGCCAATGCGTTAACCGAAAATTGGTGTTGGAACTAGGTTTCGGTTACGGCATAAGGATTTTCTTCTGCCTACAAATTATTATTGCGGAAATTCTGAATGGCATTTCGAGAAAAATTAGCTTCGTCAGTGAACAGAATCATTGATTCAAATTGCGCATCTTGTGTAAGTTTTTAAAGATACCACTGACAAAAGGTCACACGCTTTGGAAGATCAATGTGAAGTAATGCCTGTACTCTTAAAATATGGTGAGGATATAACAAAAAATCCACTAAAATTCTCCAAACAATTTGATGGCAAATATTTAAGTTTCTAGCGATCTCGTACTCGTTTCAAGATGTTCTTCGACTTCGTGCAGCATTGCTTCCTCAATTTCAGGTGTTCTCACACTTAGATGTCTACGTTCAGATGTTCATTTTCGGACAGAACCAGTTTCAACAAAACGACGATGAATATTAGAAAATGTTCGACTATCTGGCAAAGCACGATCGGGATATCTCTGGTGATAAATCCGTCTGGCTTGCTCACCATTACCGTCGGCAAGGCCATATACGTAATGCATTTCCACCATTTCTGCATTTGAATAATTCAACATTATTAACAAGATTGTAAAAACTAAATAGTGTCACAGCGGACAGATTTGAATAACAGAGACTTGTCAGATGTCAAAAGCCAGTGACATATTCCAAAGTAACTAGATATTTATTGCTGAATTTACTCAAAAATGGGGCATCGAAAGAAAACAATTCAAGAGATATCATTTGTTTTAAATGAACGGGGAATTAAAAAATTATTTTTATTTGGCAAAAAATTATTGGCGTACCACGCCACTGTGAAAGCAAAAATTTATTTTTGCATTGCAAAATATGCGACTTTATCAACTTTCACTACGTACTGAATATCAGTGAAATATCTGAAGCGGTTCTGAAAATATTAATTAATTTCCATTTTTTTCCCTAAATCTTCTTGCAAGGAAACATTTTTGGATCATAGTTTATAAAGCAAACTAACATTAATTTTTCATGTAGATGAAGTATTCGCATATCATTAAGGAACACCCTGTATACTTTCTTAAAATAAAGTCAGAAAAAATAAAAACGATTTGGCCAAATTTCAGTTTTACCCGAATTCCTCAGTAAGCCATCAAATTTTTACGCCGCTTTTCCTGATTTAACTTAAGCTGTATTCCCCACATGTATTGAGATACCCATGCACAGGATCCTTACCTTTTACACCCTGTATAAATAAATGTTATCATATATAATATGGAGTTGTCCAAAACGGACGCAGGAAAGTAAACGCATATTAAAACAAGAAAGATTGATATTCAAATCAAGTTGGGTACTTTATTTTGAAGGTTCATTTATACCTTTTATGTATGAAAAATAATATCGCTCAAATGTTCACCACGACTGGATTTACAGACGTCCACGCGATGGTCGAAATTTTCAATGACATTTTGCAACATGGTCGGTTCTATGGCATTTATCTCGGCAATGATGTTGTTTTTGAGTTCTTGGAGGGTGGCTGGTTTGTTGACGTAGACTTTGCTTTTCAAATATCCCCATAAAAACAAGTCCAAGGGAGTCAAATCGCACGATCTTGGTGGCCATGGAACATTTCCTCTGCGCGAAATCACGCGATCACCGAAGAAGGACTGCAATCGATGGATATTGACGTTGGTTGTGTGGCATGTTGCACCGTCTTGTTGGAAATAAACATCGTCCATATCCATTCCTTCAAGTTGCGGCAAAAAATAGTCCTCTATCATCACGTGATATCGCTCAGAATTGACGGTAACGGCGTCCCCGGCCGCATTTTCGAAAAAGTAAGGTCCGATGATGCCTTTTGACCACAATGCACACCACACAGTCACTTTTTGAGGATGCATCGGCTGCTCTTGATACTCACGGGGATTTTCGTTCGCCCAGATGCGGCAGTTTTGCTTGTTTACCGTCCCATTCAAAGTGAAATGCGCTTCGTCGCTGAACATGATTTTTGATGAAAAATTGGCATCAATTTGGCGGTGTTCAAGGAGCCAATCTGAGAACGTTCGGCGCAAAAAATGGTCGGCCCGACGCAGCTCTTGCGTCAATTGGATCTTGTAGGCGTGTACATTCAAATCCTTGTGGAGAATGCGGAGCAAACTGGTTCTCGAAATGCCCAATTCTTGGAATCGACACGTTGTTGATTGTTTCGGATCGTCTCTCACACTCTCCTTCACAACAGCAATATTTTCCGGTGTGTTTATTTTTGCACCATTTTTGTAGTGCTCTTGAATAACTTTAATGCGGTCTTCAATCGAATATGACTCCATAGCAATCAATGGTAAACATTCAACTAACAAAATGACATGTCGGTGACAGAAAACAAAGATGGCGTCTATGTCAAATTGACGTTTACTTTCCTGCGTCTCTATTGGAATTGTGGGCTATTCTACATCAAATCGTATTTATATAATCATTAACCCTTTTACCTTGCGGTGTTGGGTGTACATTCTTGAACTTAACTAGTCTTAATAGTCTTGAACTACACTCGATATACAAACATCCTCCATTGTTTCTTATCCTTAGCTGTCCTTCTAGCTTGCTCCTGCGTGGCTCCTCTTTTTTGCAGGATGTCGTTTAATTCATTGTCCCACGTATTCATTGGTCTCCCCTTTGGTCTTCTGTATCTTCTCCTTGCTTCCCATACTTGCTGCACTGATCGGTCATGGTTCATTCTGAGCATGTGTCCAAACCAACTCGGCTGGGCCTCTTCTATTTTCTTGAGGATTGGCTGTACTTGTAGTCGTTCTCGTACTACTTCATTCCGTATCCTGTTCATCCTAGTTATACCCATTACCCTTCTTAAGTACTTCATCTCCATGCTTTGTAGTTTGCTCTTTAGTCTGGTGGTTAGAGTCCAGCTCACACTTCCGAATGTTTACTGTTTTGTAGATACTTATTTTGGCTTCTTGTGATAATTATCTTTTGGATAGGAACTTGTTCTTAATTGCGTGATGTATTCTGGCGGCATTTGCTATTCGTGCGTTTATTTCTACTTCTTGGGAACCCTTGCTCTATATTTGGACTCCTAGGTCTTTAAATGATTCTACTTGTTCCCATTACCTCATTGTTCACTTTTATGTTTATGCGTTTCTCGGTGTTCCCGCATATCATGACTTTGGATTTGTTTACGTTGTTCTTTAAGTTACGTTGTTGGAGTTTGTCCCTCCATATTTGTATGTTTTTCCTAAATTGCTCTTCGTCTCTCCGGAATACAACTAAGTCATCTGCAAAAGCGCACTCTGCTGTCAGTATTGCCTCCAGGTTTCTATGGCCAACATATATTTTCGAAGCTTCTGTTCTGGTTTCTTTCATTATGTCGTCTAGTACTACCAAACCCCCTTGTCGTAGACCTTCATTGACTTTGAACTCTTCGGATTCCATGTTGTCCGTTCTTACCCTGTTTCTTGTGTTGCAGTGCATGCTCATGATTGCTTTTCTTGGTCTTGTCTCTACACCTCTCATCTTTAAGCTTTTGTTTCTGACCGTGGCGTTCTGTCGAATGTTTTTTCTAGATCTAGGAATGCTTGGTACAGTTCTGTTCTTGTATTTCTTACTTTCTGTATGAGCTGCTTAAGGGTGAAGATCAGGTCATCCACTGCATCAAATCGTTTAAAATGAACACAAAGATATATCCTAGATATGACATTGTCTCTGTTATGTTTTCTTCAGTGCAATCATCTCCAGTATTTATATTTATTTACTCATGTTGTTTATTTTTTTTCCACCTTGAGTGAATAAGTATTATTATTATTAGAAGACACCTTTCAATTTTGAAGAGGGACTGTTTCGCCTCCTCTTCAGATCGCTTCACGTCACTAGCATCGACCATAAAGTTTCTTATTCTTCAGTCTCCACGAATGTAGCTCTTTGCTGTTCGATGAATAATTTTTCCAAAGCCTACAATTGACACCGTTACTGTTCGTACGATTGCCTATTACAAAGCCACGTTTTCTGAAAAATATATTTACTCTACAGGTTAAGTACCATGTGGGTAACTCCAAATACGACAACGTGCTCTCCGTCAACGGTGGAAAGTCGCAGTTGAACGTGCTGGTGAAACTACTCAACATTGAATTGTTGAAGGCCACAAACAAAATGAGTTTGAGCAAAGAGGAACAAACGCTCGACTCCGAAATCTCTTCGTATTCCAATAACCCGCTGATCAGCCATTTGGAGATTAAGAATTTCAACACTCTGTTGTACACTGTTGGATTCAAGGGTGAGTAGTGTGAAATAAGACGTGACAAATGGGGCCAATCAGATTTATTCAGCGCTTCTTTCGGTTATATAAATATATATATATATATATATATATATATAGGTATACTAAGTGACATATAAATCCGAACACCCAGTTTAAATGGTTTTATTTTAATAAAATTTTGTATAAGTACTTAATGAAGCATAATAAGTAAATGATAAAAATTTCAAAATGATTGCACTGCTTTAAAGCCCTTTGACCTTTAATAATGTGTAGATGCACCCTTATGTGCTACGCATTCTCCAACGCGCCTAGGCATGCTTCTGATCAGGTGGTCAATGTCCTCCTGTGGTATCTCATTCCAGGCAACCACCAACTCCTCTCGAAGTGCTTCTAGAGTCTGAGGAGGACGTTGCAAATTGAGCAATCTCCTACCCATCATATTCCACACGTGCTCAATTGGGGATAAGTCGGGAGATCTTGGTGGCCATGGTAACAATGTGACATCATTATGTTGAAAGAAGTCTATTGTGACTCTTGGAACATGTGGTCGGGCATTATCTTGTTGGAAAGTTGGATCTGCCAGGGTGTCAAGATAGGGTAAAAGATGGGGTTCTAGAACTTCGTGGATATAACGCTGCGCGTTCATGTTACCTCTGATGAAGATTAAAGGTGACCTGGAACCATAAGCTATAGCACCCCAAACCATAACTCCAACAGTGTGATGAACATGTCTTTCATCAAAAAACTGCGGATTCCTCCTTTCACCACGTCGCCTTCTAACCCTGGCACGACCATCCTGCATGCCTAAACAAAATCGAGACTCGTCACTAAAGACAATACTGTTCCATTCCTGATCCCAGAATGACCGTAGTCTGCACCACTCAAGGCGATTACGTCGGTGTTCTCGAGTTAAAGGGAGGACCCAGTGTGGCCGGTATGAAAACAAGCCAAAACTTCTCATTCGTCGGTAAACACTTCGCATGCCAATAGGTCTTCCGTGTTCTGCAAACCATTCATTTGCAGTGGACCTGATAGTGGAGAAACGGTCCCTTAAGGCCAATAATCTTAGGCGGCGATCTTCACGGTCTGTTGTTCTACGGCGGCGTCCAGTGCCCCTTGCTCTTTGCGTACGGCCTTCTCGAAGCCATGCCTGACAACACCTAATCACAGTGTCTACATTTCTTTGCACTCTAACTGCAATTGCCCGAAAAGAAAGTCCAGCTTCCCGAAGTCCCACTATACGGCCCCTATCAAACTCACTAAGTTGACGAAATCGTATAGGTCTCCGTACTCTAGGCATCGTAACCGATCGTAAAGGATGTCAAGAACCAAAATCCGCCGACGTTGATTCTTTACTGCGGCTGAAATATTCATTTTTAGAGCGTTAGTGAATTAAAAGAAAGCAATATAAAAACCGGAATGTCCAACTGATAAGGCTGAAAATTTTTTCACTTGTTATTTACAGTAAGATAAATACATTCACCAACTTTTATTAAAATTAAACCATTTAAACTGGGTGTTCGGATTTATATGTCACTCAGTATATATACAGCAGACGTTCGATAAAGTAAACTAATTTAATCCAAGTGTGGTTCACATTATCGAAATGTTTACATTAGCGAACGTGATTTATATAATATTTGATTTATTAAAAGAAACGTTTAATACATACTATTTATAACAAAATAAAAAAATATTCTAACATCGATAAGTATTTATTTAATTATTTTTATTTATTATAATTAACAATTTTTGTCTGGGTAAATTTGCGCTTAGCATTGTCTTCCAATGCCTGCGCCCGTAATTTACGAACTAAAATATCCGTGTATGAAACTTCTTTTCTTTCAGCCCAATCTAAAGCTTGGTTAAAAACTTGTATAGCTTGCGCGTCAGTCACTACACTTCTGACTTCAATGGGATCGTTCTCATCATCCTCACTGTTCATATCCTCCTTCTTATCAGCATCATTCGTCTGCTTATCTTCGTTCCATAAATTAATATCAGCAGGAGTACAAATAATGTTGGGATTCACTGTTTTCAACAACATCCAATGACACACTAATAACATCATCATTATTGGATCGCAAACGTTCTCTAATTACGCTTAAGGGGACATCGTCTTCTTCATCATCTTCATTATTGGTACAAACGAGATTGTTCCAACATTTTTGAATAGTTTGCTGGTTAAGTTCATTCCAGGCCATATGTAAATCTAAAACAGCTTCTCGTAATGTTACTTTTTTTAAAGCCTCAGATAAGTTTTCAGGATTCTTTGATAAGACAGACGAAACTAGAAACTTCCTATAGTTTGGTGAGTCTTATTATATTCTGGTCCATCGGTTGAATTAACGGTGTTAAGTTGGGCGGCATGTACATGACGAAAATTGACCCATCCCTGGTCATCAGTTGTTGCTCGGGAGGATGACTTGGTGCATTATCCAATAGTAACAACGCTTTTATTGGAAGCTTCTGTTGTTTTAGGAAACCTTTTACCTACAAATTGAAAACACATCTTCAAATTATGAATAGAGCATTTGTGATAATTGATTGTCATACGTGAGGGATAAAGCACCTGTGGAACCATTTCAGGAATATACTGCTAGTCATCCAAGCGGTTTTTGAACAGTCATAATCAACAGGGATATTAACATTTTTAAATGAGCGCGGATTTTTTGCTTTCCCAATTACCATTGGCTTTATTTTGTGTGAACCATTAGCATTAGTGCAGGCTAGAAACGTTATTCGTTGTTTCTCCGGCTGTCTTCCCGGGGCAGATTTTTCAAATGATGCAGCATTGGTTTTCTTTGGTAACATTTTTCAATAAAGGCCACTTTCATCTGCGTTGTAAATTTGTTCCATTCTTAAATCTAGCTCGGTAATTGTTTTCATCAATTTTTCTTTGAATGGTTGCACTAATTGTGGATGTGCTGATAATTTTTCACCAGATATAGACAGCAGTCGAATTCCATATCTTGTTTTGAATCGTTGTAGCCAGTCATCACTAGCTACGAAATTTTCAGTTTCTTTCAGTTTTTCATTTAACAGTCTCGCTCTCTGTTTAAGTACTTCGCCACTAACTGGGACATGATTTTCCCGTTGTTTTAAAAACCACTTATACAGGGAACTTTCCATTTTAGGTGCCTTCGCATTTTTTAAAGTTTTTCTTTTTCCCGTACCTCCAAATGTATTGCACGTTCTTTGTAAAATTTGAGTTTTCATACGCTTAATTTTACAGATTGTTGCTTTCGATACTCCATATTTTTTTGCTAACTGTGTCACTCCCGCACCTAGTGCAACTTCGTCTATGATTTTTACTTTCTCACTCAACTTTAAACACTTTCTTTATAGGATGTGGATGCCATAGTCGTAAAATATATTAACGCGTGCAATGTATTCACTTAAGTTCAAAAATTAAATACATACGTACGTATAAACGTATCCTAAACGATCATACGACTGACCGAGTTTGTCGTATTTTATCGCAGAGGTGAATCCCCTATACTCTTCATCATAAATCGGGGACTCCCCGACGCCCGACATAAATCATCGAGGCTTCAGCATTTTACCGTCGCGCTGTTTCCGTGCGCCGAGAGTTGTTTACGTTATCGAGCGTACACATTGTTTACGTTATCGCGAGTTCCGTTTGATCCTATAGAACGAAGTTTGTGTTTACATTAGCGCAAGTTTTCATTATCCCGTGTTTACGTTATCGAGCGTCTGCTGTATATATGAATCTATTTAAGGTACGGCTATAACCATTTTGTATAAGCTTTTAGAAACGAACGATATATAAAAAAGTGGCAGGGTCTGGTATATAATTTTTCAGACAATATCTATTTTATTGTATAAAAGTTCTAACGATATAGTTGTTTCTTTAACGGGACGCTCTGTACATTTTTAGTCAAGATTTTAGTCGCTTTTCTCTAATTCTAAATATACAGAGTGTTTCAAATTCGATCCTTACCATTTCCGGAAAGAGACTGAAAAAACAGAATTTTATCAAAATAGTTTTAATTTTTTCCTCGATTTAATTGTAGTGGGATTTCGAAGTAAATTGCACATCAACATTGCTACTTTTTCTCCTCTATAATATGGCATAATTAGAATTCCAATATAACGTTTCGTAGCTGGTCCTCCAGCATCAACTTTATTTTTCTCTGAACGCCATATTGGATTTTTGCGCAGATAAATAGAGTTTTGAATTTTGATTTCAAAAATGTATAATAATAATAATAATCTTTATTGGAGTATCAATACATAATAGAACCAAAATACGAGCAAATAATATAACACCAAAAAAAAATAGTACTCCAAAGGGCTGGAAATTGGCATTTTTCACCCCCTGAATAGCTAAGGTAAATTAATTAAGTGCATTACTATATCTTACAAGGGCATATTATATACATTACATAAAGGACATGTAGCTGACTATAATAATACAAACAAAAAATATAATGATATTAATAATGAGATTTATTCAATCACCTGTACAGTATATTCAGATAAGAGATAGACCGGACATAAACAAGACCACGTGATCATCGAACGCTGTAACATTCGGCAGGGACGTATTAAGAGTCACACAGTACATATTTTAGATAGTAGATGCTGCTTTGCGTAACTTTGTAGTAAATTAGCACAATTCGATGTGTATATGATTGGTGATGGATATAGGATCATGTGGGGGTGGGGTAAGAAATATATAATGATGTAAATATACATAAGGGTTTCAAAATTTTCGCTTCGATTTCCAGCTTCGGATGCCGTCTGATGTTTGGTGAAATACAGTCGAATATAATCTCAAAATGGCGTTTAAATTAGCCTAAATTAAAAATAATCGTATATCTCTTAAAATTGCTTTTAGAATATTGATTAGTATATTTTTTGATTTCTAGGTAAATATGTAACCAAATTAAAACGTTCAAAACGTAAAAAATGTGCATGGCTGAACATTGTCAGAAAGTAGATTCTTGAATAGGTTTTGCCAAAATGGGTTCAAAAATGTCAATAATTAATTAAAAAATACAGTAGCTTTATAATTACTTATAACTTACCGAATTTGATGAACGACATCTTTTATTGGAAAGATGAGCTTGATGAGCTTTCATCATCGCTACTGCCTGAAGCACCAACGTCAATAATGAATGGCTCGACTTGTTCCTCTAAAATATTGTCCAGTTCCCACATTCTCTTTTCAACTTTGCCTTTCACGTGCTTAATACAGTTTTCCCATTTTTGCGCTGTTATTAATTCTAGTGCTTCTTTGAAAAGTCCTTTGAGGTCACAAAATTTAAAAGTTGTATTGTGTTTAGCTATATAATTTTTAACCTCTGCCCATATGAGCTCAATGGGATTGAGCTCGCAATGGTATGGAGGCAAACGGAGCACAGTTTTATTTTGACTTGCTGCCATTTCGTCAATGGCGTATTTTTGATATTCCGCCTTGTGATCCTTGACAATTCTTAATAATTGTACTTTCAGCATTGCTTCTTCAAAGTTGATATTTTTCGAGCGGAGCCAATTTTGAACATCAACTTTCCTTGAAGCCGTTGTTGGGACCTTCTCCATTCTTCGAGAATGATAAGGCGCATTATCCAACACAATTACTGCGTTTTCCTCTAAGTTCGGTAAAATTTTTGAAAACCACTGTTCAAACGATTCGCCATTCATTTCCTCGTGGTAATCTCCAGTTTTCTTAGACTCAAAGCACCACAGACCGTCAACAACAAATCCATCCTCACTGCCAATATGGCAGATATTGAGCCTTTTCCCTTTACCTGGAAATCGAAGTACTAACTGGTGTAGATTTATTTCAATAAGCGAACCTTTTTCAAATGTTTTCATCACATTCAGCGAAAAAACATTGAGACATGAGTATCAGATTGCTATAATTGGGATTATTTAGTCATATTGAAAGAAAGAATATTGAACGTCATATGATTACTCAGCGCTTCACAATTTAATTTAAAGTTATAAACCTCTAAAAAATGAATGATCAGGAACCTGAAATACGCGCAAATATTAATATTAACAAATTATAACTTTATAAAGCTTAAAGTATGAATTAAAATGATTAGAAATATTAGGAACGGTACACAATATAAAACTTAGTAACTTTTTTTAAGTTTATAATATTCGACATATTTTAAGATTATATTAAAAAATTATTAAAATATCGAAAACACATAAAAACATGGCTTAAAAAAGTTCTAACAAATGAAATGACAATAAAACATCCACGCATTTTATCGAAAGTTATAAAAGTTTTGTTACTTGTAATATCTTTTATCTGCCCCCTGGAATTAATATTTAGAACCTTGTTCCCAAGGTTTGAAAAACATCCGATTGTTGTCTATTACTCGTATTTACCTGCTGGATTTTTTAATCCGGTGGACAGTCCATCTAGAAAGGCCCTCCTGGATGAAGTTACAGAATCATCAACCCATACTTTACTTGTAGTGTGTCCTGCGTTTACCCATGTTTCATCAAGGTAATAAACCTTCCTGTTTTGATTTCTATATTTCCCAATTTTTGTTAAATAATCCCTCCTCCATAGCACAATTTCTTCTCTATCCAGTAGTAAACTATTACGACCCCGTTTTTTCCATTTGAAAATTAAATGCTTCAGTAACGCATGGAAAGTTGATCGTTTGAAATTTGGCGACGTTGTATCTCCATTTACCTCCTGCAGTACTTTATCTATAGTAGGTATTTCATTCCTAAAGAAGAATTCGTGCACTTTCCTCCTAATCGCATGCTTATCAGCTTCATCCAATGATTTAACAATACTTTTGCGATGTTTACTGGTCATTGGCTCAGAAAAGGTGTGATTTTTTTTGTATTGTCTTAACACATTAAACACTGATGCGCGACATACCCCAACTTTGTGAGAAACCTTCACAACAATTTCTTTAATGGTTGATGCCTCGTTCTCCTCGCGCTCGATCTTATATATATTCAAAATGACCTCTTTCATTTCTGCACTCAGGTGTCTTTTTTTAGAGCGTTTCCTAGGTGGACTACAGGAGTTTACAACTTCATCGACAGTATCTGTACTACTGGGCATTTTGCGCAAGCAGTTGATAACTATAACAATCAATAACAAGGTATAACAATAACAACGACAAACTCAACAACTTAATAAGATAACAAACGAAAACGTCCAAAGAAATATCAAATTGCAATGATGCACACGACATACGTAACACGTCTGAACCTGAATGTGACTCTGCCTTGATACGACTGCTCTGCCGCTCGGCATAGGCATTTAATTGCGAATTGACCAATGAGGGCTCCTGTTTTACGTCCAGACGGCGGCGTTAGCGTGAAAATCACCCGAACCTTTTGTTTACATCCCGTCTATCTCTTATCTGAATATACTGTAGATTCATTAAATTGTAACTGTAATAGCATTATTTTGAATTCTCCTTTGAAGCTGTAAATGGACGTTAATTTAAGCTAAGTAATAGAAATTTTGAGGTAGTGTGGCCCGGTATATTATAACAATATTTATTACGGAGGAACAGTTGATGGATATTTCGGAGATTTATATTTTAAAAGCCTAAATAGTAGAACAGCATAGAGAAGTAACGAGCGATATTTGAACTTTAAAAGATTTTTCCTTACATAATGCCCAGTAATGTGTTCGCGTCTGTTCATCTCATTGAAACAAAACCTCATACAATGGTTTTGTAAAACTTGAATTTTCTGTTGCATTTCCTTAGTGATAAAGGGTAATATACAGTACTACGAGCGATGTCTTTCAAGTTTTGCATATTGAAATAAAACAACATGGTAGGTAGTTTTAAATGACTTTATTGCTTTCCTGAATGGTGCACCCACCCTGCGATCTTCGCTAAGACTCACCCGTCCACATTTGCATTCTCCATACCAACGAGAAATTGTCGACTGATGTGGCGCTTCGTTGCCGAAAACAGACAGTAACTCAGCACGCCATTCTTGTTGCGATAATTGTCTATGAAAGTTGTAATAAATTATGGCGCGAAAATGTTCTCGGTTGAGTACCATTTTTCTAATGACTTGGTAACACTTAAAAACTCACTGTAGTGAGAACATTGCACGTATTGTTGTGAAACTTTGAATTTAAGTTTACTAAAGAGTGAGGTTAAGATTCAGTACTGACGTTCGATCCGCGCGGCCTACTATGTTTCTATATGCAAAACTTAACAGACATCCCTCGTAATGACATGACATAGTGTACTTGTTATGTATTTATTTGTCTTACGATTTGAAACAAATACTTTTACCGTCTTTGGTATTTAGCGTAATACGAAAAATATGTTGCTCAAAAAATATTTCAAGGTCCAAGAGTACCTAACAAATCGTTGGGGATTTTTTTGAAAAGTTCTGAATTTATGGGTTTCTACATTTCGACTGTGGAAACCAAACATTAACATACTATTTTAAAATAGTTTAAAACAAAACATTATTGTGATAGTGATGCCTCCTGTAAGAAGTGGTTTGTGGAGTTATTTTGCAAAATCGAGTTTAGGTGGGAGATGTAAGTTGTAAAGCTTTTGACCTATTTTTATTAGCGAACGTATTGCAGTTGAAAAAGTAAACATAATTTTTTGGGTTGTAGAAAAAACAACTTCGATTTTACTTGTGATATCTAAATGTTTATTAGGATACTTCTTAAAACGATCACAGTAGGCACTTTTAGTGGTTAGGAACATCCCTACCAAACTCTCTGATCATGGAGGTGGAAACCTTACCTTGGAATGTACGAGATGCAATGTTGCCAAGCAAAACAATGATGCAATGTTTCAGAGTTTGTGGCGATCCTGACCTTTCATTTCGACCTAAAATGAAGCGTTGTCAGCACCGATCCGGAATCGATCCTAAACAGATTGACACAATTCACAAATCAAGATTGCCGCGTCAGCATTGCTAGGCAACGCGATGATGAGCTTCGCTATCCAGCCGCCTTTTAACTCTTTCTGAAACGTGTGTCTATTCACACTTCTCTCGCGGACACATTGAACTCAAGTTATCAGACAAATTCGGGCAAAAAAAAGTTTGTTATCATCGCACGGTAGCGCTCGCCATTCACAGTTACGTTCCGGCCATTGTCGCCTTTGAAGAAGTACGGCCCGATGATGCCACCGGCCCATAATCCACACCAAACAGTGATTTTTTCGGGATGCATTGGTAGCTCTTGCAATGCTTCTGTCTGGTCTTCACTCCAGATGCGGCAATTTTGCTTACGTACCCATTCAACCAGAAATTAGCTTCGTCGCTGAACACAATTTTTCGATAAAAATGTGGATCTTCCTCCAACTTTGCCACCGTCCATTCACCAAATGGGAGGTCATGTGGCTTCAATTCTTGCACCAGCTGTATCTTATAAGGTTTTACACCCAAATCCTGTCGCAAAATTTTCCACGTAGTGGAGTAACAGAGGCCCAATTGCTGCGAACGGCGGCGAATCGACATTTCACGGTCATCACTAACACTGTCGGATACAGCCGCAATATTTTCTTCAGTCCTCACTCTACGACAGCATATTGGTGGTTTAATGTCCAATAATGTAAACTGGGTTCGAAATTTAGTCACAAGCTTCAGAATAGCTCCTTCAGTAAGCCGACCGAATTGCCCATAAATTGGAAGCAGTGCTCGATGCACTCTCTTAACCGAGCATGAATTTTGATAGTAAAATTCAATAATTTGCAAGCGTTGTTCGTTCGTAAGTCGATTCATGGTTAAATTATAGACCAAACTGAACAAGTTTGACAATGACACAAGACACGATTCACGCGTGTTGCCAAAAAGATACTAGCAAAAAAATCACCCATTATAACTTTCGTTCCGATCACAAACGGCTAACTATCGACAGCTATTTCGTGCTGATTGGCAACTCGTCAGCATGATTTAGGCAAAAGCCGAGCAAGTATCCTCCCACCAGGATAGAAGGTCTATCGAAAGAACCATCTGTTACCAGAATCGACCACTAATATGTTTTTCTTTCTTCAGGAACGCCACGCGACAAGCTCCAGCTGAACGCCGGCTTGATCCCTGGTCAAATCGCTGACGTCAGAGCCGACCATTCCACTGGTAGCGGAAAGACGAACCTCTTCCACGCTACTCTGAAACTGGACGATGCCAACTTCCTCAAACCCGACTACAACCTCAACTCTAAGGAGATCCAGAAGGTGCTCAACATCCTCAAAGAGAAAATCATCGCTTTTGTCAACGGACTTCAAGACATCGGTGAGAAGTCGACGAACGACATTCGTAAGGAGGTTAGCCAGATTGCTGATATCACGAAGAAGGCTGTGCCCAATCTGAAGCCTATCAAGGAGTACTACGCCACTGAGATCAAGGAGATCAAGCAGGAGATTCTGGAAGATCCGTCTGTTAAGGAGCTTGCTGACGCTGTCAGAAAGGTAGGAAAAAGGGAAATGTGAAATCACTTTTCAAGTAACACTGCTTGAACCATACGGAATTTAGTTGTTTTTCTATTTTGATCACTTACCAGTAACTTGAATTTCTCTTTATTAATGATAGAGTGCCGATTCCTAGGCCAAACCCTTTCGATGATTTTCTCTTGCCAAATTCCATAAATGATTGATCCATTAAGGCGGCTCCGACGCAGTGAGTTTCAAGCCATTTACAAGGGTTCAGCTGCTTCAAAACTGACACTCCATTTTTCAATATTTTTGAATGAAATTCATACAGCATGTTGAGAAAATAATTGCCCAGGGTGCTATAGGAGCACTTTTTGAAATTTTGTTTTTGCACACGTTTTATGATGGGTTGAAGTGCGCACTTTTTTTGTTCTACTCCGCGATTTTTTTAAAATGAACCTAATGAAAAAAATGAAAAAAGTGGCTTTATAGCACCCTGTGGGGTTTTGTTTTCAGCACACTGTGAAAGTTTCATCCAAAAATATGAAATAATAAAGCGTCAATGTCGAAGCGCGGAAACCTCTACAAATCGTATTTTGGACGAATTTTGTCTACTGTGTCTACTGCCAACCCAAGCGTTGCGGCGCAATGTACGGACTAAGAAAGGACGTATTCAGATAATTTGGTGGCCCTATTTCATATAATATCGCGTAGATAAGTCGTTTTAGCCGTTTAGCCGTTTTACTTGGCGAGGAAGTATTGTAATCGCGAAAAATTTCTAGAATGAGATGTTATGTTTTTTTTAGTCATATGACATCTACATCACGAAAAACTGAATCACTCATCATCAACTTGGAAATTACCGCTCGGATTTTTATGAAATTTCCACACGGGGTTACTAGTATGCCAAAGCTTTGTAGTTTTAGTCCAGTGGCAACGGTGCTATAGGCAAAAAAGAAAAAGTAACAATTGCTGAAACTCCGTTTTTGACGTTTCAAGGGTTCCTAATCATTGACATAAAAAATGGTACTGCTTAAAAATCAGTGAAACACGTTCTATTATTAAGAAGCTTCTGATCCCAGTAATTACAGGAAATTAAAGTAACGAAAATCCGACGAATAATGTGCTCACGATTTGAAAAAATCGGTACCTGATCTATAGGTTTGACACCAAGAGCCAACAGATCTGCAACTACCGACAGTAGGGAAGAATAAATTCGGATATCACTCCAGTCAAGTATAGAGGAATTTAGCGTGGACCTTTAAAATTATCGATATGTCAAGGAAATATGTTTTTGAGAATGATAATTTGGTAGATTTTATACCTGCATTTTCATTTGAATTTCATGACCCGTGAAATGTACCCATTTCGCCGTTACCTTCAATTTGTGTTCTGCAGTTTGTGATGTTTTTCTGGATATAAGCAGGACATAATTGCCTAGGGTGCTATCAGAGCTTTTTACAAAATTTTGTCTTTGCGCAAAAATTATGGTGGGTTGAAATGCTTACTATTTGTGCTCAACTTCTTGATATTTTAAAAAGTTCCTAGTGGATAAAATCGAAAAAGTGGATCGCTGGCACCCCGTGGACTTTTTTAGCGCGCTGCAAGAGTTCCATTTGGAAATAATAAAAATGAAACGTAGGCTGTGAAGTGCAAATCGGTTTTTGAGCGAAATTCATCTACTGTTTCGTCCTGCCAGTCCAAGCGACGCGACGGTGCGTTCCGACTAAGAAAAAATGTATTCAAATAATTTTATATCTTTCCTAAAATAAATTCAAGAACTCAAATTCAAATTCGTTTATTCATGTCAATAAACACAATTATGTTTAGAAGGGTCATGTGGTAGATGGTAACAATTGAACGAGGATTATAAAAATATCGTATGCGGTCAAAATAAGAGGAAACAGTTAGGTAGTTTTTGCAAAGCAATAAACAGGATATTTTTATTGCCTTACTAGAAAACTCTGTTGGGTATATGATGGTGTTTACTAGAACTAGAACAGCTTGCTGTCCGCCTTCTTCTACAAACTTCACCAAATCGAGACGCTGTTAACCTCATCCTCCGATGAAGACGCCACAAAGTACAGTCCTGTGATTTGGTGACTTGTTCGATCTGCAAAATCTCGTCGTCACTTTTTTAAGTTTCCCTAACAATTCTTGCTTAGCAACCTCCAAATCAATGTCGTTCATGTCAGGTTTTTGACAGAATTCTCCATAAAACTATTCATTTTCTTTGGAATTGCTGTCCGAATTGTTAGTTATTTTTGTATCAGCTTTTTTTGCTCAGAGTTTCTTTTCAAGATTCTTGCGTTTGAGTGTTTGTTCCATCTTAGTGATATGCGAGGTTGGACTAAGCTTAGAACGCAAATTTATTTGGACCACATAGACAGGCCGCTAGATATTGTGGCTCACTACAGCTGCAGCACATCTTTCATGATATGACCTATTCTTGCAATAATTTATTCGCTTACCCCAATGTATTTTGCGGTTATAGAGTTGAACTGCTCCACACTATTGTTGTCCTCATCATGAATTAAACTCACTGCATTCGTAATTAAAATTGTCGCATATGACTTTTTATTGTCCATTATCAACCTTGATAAAAAAGGCACTCAAGAACAATCAGACAAACAAGAGTACAGCACAACAATTCAGCAACACAATATCGACGAACAGTAACAAGGGTAGAACAATACTAAATGATCACTTGCTGAGTACCAAAATAGGAAACGATTTACAGGCTAGATCGCTAATCGAAATCCGGCTCTGTTATTATAAAGCTTTACCTCGGTACGCACCCGCAGTCATCCTTTCCTCTTCTAAAGTAGCGCCGGCGAGCGTCTAAGGCCAGTCTACCCTTGTTTCCTTTTCACCCCCCCCGTTACCTCAGCAGATGGTGTTCGTGATTGTAGGAGCCCCGTTAATCTCAAAACTACCTAATCCGGAAAATTCATTATTTTTTCTCGCAAATTTTGGTTTCGAATCTGTGGAGCGTCAAATTTTGGAGCGACTTCCTACTGTTGACATTGTTTGACAATCCACTGACGGAAGACCGGAAATTTGCTGTCGGTCATTTTTTCCTACCGGATCCTTGGTTGAAAAGGTATATTATCGGCCCTCCATTTGATGTCCAGATTTTGGGACTTTGGGCCCCAATCACCAGTTTATGGAGTAGCATCTTTTTTGTATCTACCTTACGTTTAGTTGTTTGTTTTGGTTTGGGTGAGAAGGATAGTGGAAAATCACCATCCACCAGCTTTGTAGCTGTACGAGTATTGTAGCCGATTTCGATAAGAAACCGCCAATTTCACTTAAGAAAGACCGCCTACAGGATTTTTCATTCAGTACATGGCCCTTTCTTTCATTACTACAGTAAAAAAGAATTCAAAGTATATGTGGTTTCATTGACCATACAAACATGGTGGGTTAAGAGTAACGATTTTTTGATGAGTATTCTTTATAAATGCAATTTTTTGCAGGTATTTGGAGCTATCATCCACTCTCTGGCCGAGATTTCCGCCAAGGTGGGAGAACTGATCGAAGCGGTCACAAAGTCCCTACAAACCGCATTTGCTGGTGTGATTGAATCCATCGACAAGGAATTGTTGCCCGAACTGAAACGCATCACTGGAAAAGTCACCAAAGTCGCTGGGGAAATAGCAAGATCCGCTATTGATATCATCGCTTCGTGTTTGGCTACCATCAGTCAGGTATGGGGTTTTTTATACAGGGTGTTAGAGAATGTTGCTGGAAAGGACATATTCAGCACCTAAAAATATGGATGGGTTCGGAAATTTCCTTTTCCCCTTGTTAATGGAATCACCGTGCTTTTAAATTATCAGTATCGAACATTTTGTTGTTGTTGTTGAAGATTTATTTAGCATTAATGCTACAATGTCAATTTTGTATAATGATTGGGTTACATATTTTTCTTCAATGCATTTTCTGTAATTTTACATCCTTGTCTTTAAAAATTAAAATTACGTCACTACGTATTTTGATCATTCATAAAGTGATTTTTTAATTTCACCTTAAACATTTTTAAATTCGAACTCTGTTTAATATTATAATTCAATTTATCAATTTCAAATACTCCCTTTTTAAATATAGATTTACTAGTTATGCTACTATTACAATTTTGCAGATGAAAATCTATACTGCCTCTAGTTTCGTAGTTATGATAATGACTATTTAATTTTGTGAAGTTATCTAAATGTGGTGGTAATAAATGATTTGTTAATTTGAATATGAAAACGAGAACTAAATGATATATGAAATTTTTCACATCCAACCACTGCAGTTCTTCTAACATAGACTTAATCCTAGCATATTTGTTGTTATTTAAAATGATTCTCATAGCTTTATTTTGTAGAATTTGAAATTCTGAAAATATGTTTTCATTTGCTGTAAACAAGGTGGTTGAACAATATAAAAAATGGGGAAGAATTAGTGTTATACACAATTTTTTTGGAATACATACTAAGATTATGGGAAACTATAGAAGTAATTTATCTCTTTTGATATTTTTGATATAATGTATTCATAATGTTCGTGAAACAGTAGCCTACTATCCACATATATTCCAAGATATTTAAATGACTCGACTACTTCAATCTTTTCAGCATTAATCATGAGCCTAATTGTATTGTCTCCTAAATGTTTCCCTAATGACATACATTTTGTTTTATTAGTGTTTAATTTAAGTTTATTGATATTTAACCAATTCATAATTCTTTCAATATCACTATTTAACAGTTCTAAAACAGTGTCCAAATTCTTATGTGCTTCTTATATGCGTTTTTCAAAAAAAAAGCGCCACCCTGTATATATTTATATAGGGTAGCGCATCGAAAACGAAACAGACGCATTTACTGGCAGCTCAGCTTTTTTTGGAAAAACGCTCAGACCCGTCGATTTTGTTTTCGAGGGGGACACAAATGGAAAGGGGGGTCGAGTGATACCTTATTCTAAAGGTCTTTCAATTCGCTTTACAATGACGACCTTTTGGCACAGGAGTAATGGTAGAACACTTTAATTTTGACGGGAATTCACCATGTACTAAACAATGATTCACCAATAATAATAATTTCTTTCCAACTATATTGAAACAAACATTTAGAATATTTTTTGAGAGATTCTCACTTGTATTTTTATTAGATTTCAATTTCTTTAACGTTTTCCACATCATTTTAGAGTCATTTTTATTGCTATCGATCTTCTTATCATAATATTTTTTCTTTTCCCTCCTGAGAATTGCTACACACTCATTTCTTGATTTTGTATATTGTTTCCAATCATTTTCACTTTGGGCTACTGAAAAGTTTCTGTAGTGGGTATCGTGTTTCAATTTAGACTCCTTGAATATCTGTGAAAACCAAGATTATTTATGAATAGAAGTCAAAAAACTAAAACTGGAAATATTATGTCAAGCGTTCAAAATATATGTATATAAGTAGGGACGCCGCATGGGAGTAAATTAGGCAATTCATTATATACAAGGTGGGCCATTAAGTTTTTAAAAACACCAATCAGGAATTTGTAACTAGGATCAATATTGGCTTTGAGATACTGATAGTAATTTTTTGCTTCAAACATAAGGACTTGCCAATATCAACTCCACGAATGTGCCTTAAAAAACAATTCTGTACATATTGATATCAATAATATACTAAGTGACATATAAATCCGAACACCCAGTTTAAATGGTTTTATTTTAATAAAATTTTGTATAAGTACTTAATGAAGCATAATGACCTTTAATAATGTGTGGATGCACCCTGATGTGCTACGCATTCTCCAACGCGCCTAGGCATGCTTCTGATCAGGTGGTCAATGTCCTCCTGTGGTATCCCATTCCAGGCAACCAAGAACTCCTCTCGAAGTGCTTCTAGAGTCTGAGGAGGACGTTGAAAATTGAGCAATCGCCTACCCATCATATCCCACACGTGCTCAATTGGGGATAAGTCGGGAGATCTTGGTGGCCATGGTAACAATGTGACATCATTATGTTGAAAGAAGTCTATTGTGACTCTTGCAACATGTGGTCGGGGATTATCTTGTTGGAAAGTTGGATCTGCCAGGGTGTCAAGATAGGGTAAAAGATGGGGTTCTAGAACTTCGTGGATATAACGCTGCGCGTTCATGTTACCTCTGATGAAGATTAAAGGTGACCTGGAGCCATAAGCTATAGTACCCCAAACCATAACTCCAACAGTGTGATGAACATGTCTTTCAACAAAAAACTGTGGATTCCTCCTTTCACCACGTCGCCTTCTAACCCTGGCACGACCATCGTGCATGCCTAAACAAAATCGAGACTCGTCACTAAAGACAATACTGTTTTATTCCTGATCCCAGAGTGACCGTTGTCTGCACCACTCAAGGCGATTACGTCGGTGTTCTCGAGTTAAAGGGAGGACCCAGTGTGGCCAGTATGAAAACAAGCCAAAACTTCTCATTCATCGGTAAACACTTCGCATGCCAATAGGTCTTCCGTGTTCTGCAAACCATTCATTTGCAATGGACCTGGTAGTGGAGAAACGGTCCCTTAAGGCCAATAATCTTAGGCGGCGATCTTCACGGTCTGTTGTTCTACGGCGGCGTCCAGTGCCCCTTGCTCTTTCCGTACGGCGTTCTCGAAGCCATTCCTGACAACACCTAACCACAGTGTCTACACTTCTTTGCACTCTAACTGCAATTGCCCGAAAAGAAAGTCCAGCTTCCCGAAGTCCCACTATACGGCCCCTATCAAACTTACTAAGTTGACGAAATCGTACAGGTCTCCGTACTCTAGGCATCGTGACCGATCGTAAAGGATGTCAAGAACCAAAATCCGCCAACGTTGATTCATTACTGCGGCTGAAATATTCATTTTTAGAGCGTTAGTGAATTAAAAAAAAGCAGTATAAAAACCGGAATGTCCAACTGATAAGGCTGAAAATTTTTTCACTTGTTATTTACAGTAAGATAAATACATTCACCAACTTTTATTAAAATAAAACCATTTAAACTGGGTGTTCGGATTTATATGTCACTTAGTATACATTTATGTTAATCAAAACTCATCTCAAAATATCAATCTTTTTTCGAGAAATGTCAAAGGAAGACAAGTTCATTTTATAGCTCTGTTTATACGAACTTCTTATCGTATTTTAATCTGCTGAACCTGCAATATATTTTTTTATGACAGCATTCTGTAACGATACAAATAAATCCATATTTTGTTCTTACGCAAACTCAATATGTAGAAACTTCAATATGTAGAAAAAGAACCAAAAGACTTGCGAGATCGGTAGTATCAGTAGAAACTATAGCGACTGGGAATATAATTTTCTGTAAAAACATCAAAAAATGGATTCTTCCTTATAGGTTATCGAGAAGTACCAGCCAGAGATCAAACAGATCGCAGCAACCTTTGGAGAACTTGGACAGGATGTTGGAAGATTTATCCAGAAATCATATGAACAAATCAGGGCTATCGTGATTGACGTATCAAGAAAGATCTACGATGAAATCCAAGCTCTTCCCATCTTCGATGAATTGAAGGCTAAATACGAAGAGGTAATAGACATTTTATATTCCAGAATAATTTTTTGTTTTTGTCGTTTAAGATTTATTTAGCATGATTGCTAGAATTACATTATTCTAACAAACTAAACAATTACATAATGTACAGACATTCAGAAAAAAAACAAAATTTGCATCTCCAATTGTCCATGAAATATTCCTTTAATTTTCTTTTAAATATCTTTAAATTACAAGTAAACTTTATATCATTATTTAGTTTATTAAATTCAAGTAATCCTTTCTGAAATATTGATTTGCTAGTTATATTATTATTGCAATTTTGTAAATGAAAATCTATATTTCCTCTTGTACAATAATTGTGGTAATGATTATTCAATTCTATGTAGTGTTCTAAATGTTCTGGCAAAAGATGATTTTTTATTTTAAATATAAAAATAAGAAGCAAATATGATATGAAATTTTTTATATTCCCCCACTGCAATTCTTGTAACATAGATTTTATTTTGGTATACTTATTTTTATTCAATATTCTCATAGCTTTATTTTGCAAGACTTGCAATCTTGAGAATACAGCTTCATTGGCGGTGAACAAGATAGTTGAACAATATAGTAAATGCGGTAGAATAATTGTATTATAAACTATTTTCTTGGAATAGGTACCAACACTATGAGACGCCCTATAAAAGTAACTAGTTTTTTGGCAATTTTTGAAATAATGTATTCATAGTGATCCTACCTAAATATTTAATTGATTCAACATTTTCAATTGTTTCTCCATTTATCCTAACTGTGATAGTATTTTCATTTAAGTATTTCCCTATTAGCATACATTTTGTTTTAGAAGTATTCAATTTTAGTTTATTTACATTTAACCAATTTATGATTTTTTCCAAGTCAGAATTTAGCATTTTTAAAGCAGTGTCTATTAATGTATATATTAATGTATCATCTGCAAGTATCTGAAGTTTACAATAATGTAAAATATTACAAATGTCATTAATGAATAAAATAAATAGTAGTGGACCTAGTTTACTACCTTGTGGTACACCAACAAAAATATTATTTGATCTTGAGCGATGGAAATTTTGTAAGTAATTTATCCCTGTCACTAATCTCAAACGCCCTTTTGAAGTCTAAAAACTCTGTTACTGTATGTTTCCGAATGTCAATACATCTCCTCCAGTCCTCTAAAAAAACCATTTGTGTTGCCATTTCAGTTGAGTGTTTCTTCCTGAATCCAGCTTGAAATTTGGTTAAAATGTTATTGTCCTCAATATTGATCTGTTCGTAAATAATTTCTTCAAAAACTTTTTCTACATCTGGCAGAACATTTATTGGTCGCATATTGGTGTACAACTCACTTTAGAAACAGGAGTTATGGTAGAACACTTCAGTTTTGTTGGAAATTCGCTATATTTTAAACAGTAATTTATCAGGATTAATATGTTTGCTCCAATAATATCAAAACATTCATTAAGCACACTTTTAGACAAAATCTCACTCTTATTTTGATTTGATTTAATTTTTGATATAATCTTCTTGATTGGTTGGGATCCCTGCCAATAATTGATTTTACAATGTCGTTGACACTTTCTATGAAATAGGTATTCAATCATACTTTTTCCATTAGGAAAAACAATGTTTTTCAACGTTTTCCAAATATGTTTTGTTGTATTATTTTACTCTGATCATTTTTGGCATTGTAATATTTTTTCTTTTCATTTCGTAGATTTACTACAGATTGGTTTCTTGATCTTGTATATTCTAGCCAAACATTTTGTTCATTCGTTATCATCATATCTATAATTGTTCTTGATTGATTTGTAATTCTGGTGTGATCATAGACTTTTTGCCATAGTCCATGAAAACTGAATACCTGTTTAAATGTCTTTGCGTAGAAGTCTTGATTATCAAAATTTATATTAAAATCGCCCAAACGTACCATGCTGCAGTTTCGATAAAAATTTCTATCGCAGATTCAATTCAACATTGGTACTCAACAGCTACAATTTCATGTACTCTAGCTTTTATTTCACATAAAATATATAATAATATACCACCTTTATGTCTGGAAATTGTGTTATATATTTCTCAAATATCATATAGTTAAGGCAAACTTTAGAATTTAGTTTCAATAATGTCAATGAGTGGTTGTACGGTTTACTACTTTTTTAGGTTTGATATTTCATTGCGGAATTATTCGCTTATATTTGATACTGCATTATTGCTGATTTTGTTCCAAGTTCAAAAACCCTAACTCAGCCTTTTGTCACAGTAGTTTCGCTGAGAAAACTTGATTTAATTGATAGCAGGTATAAGCACTTCAACAGAATTTATATTGTTTCAGTTGATCAAGAATGGAATCCCGAACAAGGACGGAATCATTGGAGGAATGAAAGAAATTGCAGCAACAATCAAGGACATCATACCACCAGACTTCCTCATCCAGAAAGAATTAGTCGAAATCATCGACTTGATTGTAAACTACATTGAAAAGGTAAGTTGAATTTTAAAAATATTGAAAGATCACACTGTGTGGCACTTCCACCAAAATAATGAACATGAAGGCGAATTCACCTAATTTCATATAGCGAAAATTGCATGCATGAAGGAAGAATTGTGTTAATATTTTCGAATATAAGTATGCTTGAGCAAAATGTCTGTAACAAAAAATGCATGTCCAGACATATAGAAACCAAAATAGGTTTTTCTATCATATTTTTGGAAATCGGTATGTTGGCAGTGAGGTAATTAGCAAAAAAAATGAGCTGTTTATATCCATTTTCAAGGATAACTTAGTTTATCTTCGCTTTTTCGCTCGTGTTTTGGTAAAGATACAAATGTAAACTTTTCAGGACACCTATTCCAAATTTATAGGGACTTCAGTCGAGCTTTTTAACATTTAATATAGCATATATTATATATATAATGATATGCGAATATTTAAGGGTGTGAATCCACATGAAAAATTGATGTTAGTTTGCTTTATAAACTATGGTCCAAGAATGGTTCCTTACAAAAACTCGGGGTGTTGAAGTTTTAGGAAAAAAAATGGAAACTACTTATTATTTTCAGAACCGCTTCAGGTATTTCACTGATATTTAGTACGTAGTGACAGTTAATAAAGTCGCATATTTTCAATGCAAAAATAATTTTTAGCTTTAACAGTGGCGTGCGTACGGATATTGACTTCCATATTTTTAAGAAAAAAATGGTTCGCCAATGGTTTTTTTCCAAAAAAAATTATTTTTGAATTCACCGTTCAATTTAAAACAAAATGATCTTTCTTGAATTGTTTTCATTCGATGCGCCATTTTTTAGTAAAAAATAAAAACCGTTCTATTGTCTAACTTGCAAAATTATTATTAATTTAATTGGAAAAATTAAACACATTAGGGGTAATGAACAACAACAGCTGACAACATAAACATAACATTAAAACCAACGAAATGATTACAAAAATTATTGAAAATGGCCCCCTTCACTTAGTATGCATGCTTCCGCCCTCCTTCTCATGGAATTGCGCTCTCGTTGAAATATCCCTGGAGTGTTTTTTATTATATCACAAGCTGCAACTATTCTTTACCTTAATTCCTCTACAGTGTTAATGGGACTTGTGTACACTAGTGACTTAAGATAGCCGCACAAAAAGAAATCTAAACTGTTGATGCCTGGGGACCTTAGTGGCCATTCTTGGGGCATACTGCGGCTAATCCAACGATTTGGATAAACAGTTTGTCAATAATTACGAACCGCTACACTGAAATGCGCTGGTGCACCATCATGCATGTACCACATATTGTTTCTTATTACTAACGGAACATCATCAAGCAGCAAAGGCAACTGTTGTTGAAGAAAATTGAGGTAAGTCTCTCCGTCAAGTCGTCCCGGCAAGAAGAATGGGCAATAAAGTGGTTGCCAATAGTTCATGGCCATACGTTAACCGAAAAATGGTGTTGGAAATGGGTTTCGGTTACGGCATAGGGATTTTCTTCTGCCCACAAATGATTATTGTGGACATTCTGAATGGCATTTCGAGAAAAATTAGCTTCGTCCGTGAACAGAATCATTGATTCAAATTGCGGATTTTGTGTAATTTTTTAAAGATACCACTGACAACAGGTCACACGCTTTGGAAGATGTACTCTTAAAATATGGTAAGGATATAACAAAAAATCCACTAAAATTCTCCGAACAATTTGATGGTAAATATTCAAGTGTCTAGCGATCTTCCTCGTACTCGTTTCAGGATGTTCTTCGACTTCGTGCAGCACTGCTTCCTAAATTTCAGGTGTTCTCACACTTAGATGTTCCTTTTCGGACATAACCAGTTTTAACAAGACGACGATGAATATTAGAAAAGGTTCGACTATCTGGCAAAGCACGATCGGGATATCTCTGGTGATTAATCCGTCTGGCTTGCTCACCATTACCGTCGGCAAGGCCACTTCGTAATGCATTTCCGCCATTTCTACATTTGAATAATTCGCCATTATTAACAAGATTGTAAAAACTAAATAATGAAAAAGATGGCACAGCGAACAGATTTTAATAACAGAAACTTGTCAGATGTCAAAAGCCAGTCATATTCCAGAGCAACTAGATATTTATTGCTAAATTTCGTTCTTCAATTATTACATTAATTTTCTCGGACAATAGAACGGTTTTTATTTTTACTCAAAAATGGCGCATCGAAGGACAGCAACTCAAGAGAGATTATTTGTTTTAAATTGAACGGGGAATTTAAAAATAATTTTTAATTGGCAAAAAACCATTGGCGTACCATTTTTTTCTTAAAAAATATTGAAGTCAATACCCGTACGCACGCCACTGTTAAAGCTAAACATTATTTTGGCATTGAAAAATATGCAACTTTATTAACCTTCACTATGTACTAAATATCAGTGAAATATCTGAAGCGGTTCTGAAAATATTAACTAATTTCCATTTTTTTCCTAGAACTTCAACACCCCGAGTTTTTGTAAGGAAACATTTTTGGACCATAGTTTATAAAGCAAACTAACATTAATTTTTCATGTGGATTCACAACTTTAAATATTCGCGTATCATGAAGGAACACCCTGTATACTTGATTGCTTATTTTGATGAAACTCTTACATGTTCAAATCATATAGATATTACTTTCTCCAAACTACTGACAGATTGCTATAAATTATGGCAGTTGTAATTATATAATAATAATAATAATAATGTTTATTGTCACAAAATACAGGTAAATATCAAATATTGTGCACAATAAACATAAAGCACCCAAAAAAAGTTTGCACTTGTGTTTGGGTTTTTACAAAATAAAAACTAATAGTGCAGTCAGTGTATGAACAAAAAACCCGCTAATACTGTATAATTTGGTGAATTATTATGGAGATGTCAGGAAAAATATCCAGACAATTAGAACTAAAGTAAAAGTATGGATGTTAGTGTATGTAAAATATTATTGGTTTTGATAATGATTTTTCAGATCTACAATTTCGTGGATGGAGTACCGTGGATGTTGTAAAATCCATTTTTTTAGTTCTTTTTTAAATGATTTATTTGATTTAATTACTTTCAATGACTCTGGTATGAAGTTATAGAATTTTGGTCCAAGAAAAACAGAGATCGTTGTGTAATGGTTTTTGATGTTTGTGGAATACACATTGAATTTTGATTGAATCTTGTTAGTATTTTGAATATTTGAAATAATGTATTAGACCACAATAAAAATAAATTTGTCTGCAATCTAATAGCTGAGCCTCCACATATAGAAAATCACTTGAATAAGTAATCTCCCTATGGAGGATCAATTTTAGAATTAATTTTTGTAATTATTATTCATAACTCCCCCCCAAGCCAAAATTCCGTAAAGTAATAGAGGATAAACAAGAGCATAATATATACTAAGTGACATAAATCCGAACACCCAGTTTAAATGGTTTTATTTTAATAACATTTTGTATAAGTACTTAATGAAGCATAACAAGTAAATGATAAAAATGTCAAAATGATTGCACTGCTTTAAAGCCCTTTGACCTTTAATAATGTGTGGATGCACCCTGATGTGCTACGCATTCTCCAACGCGCCTAGGCATGCTTCTGATCAGGTGGTCAATCTCCTCCTGTGGTATCTCATTCCAGGCATCCACCAACTCCTCTCGAAGTGCTTCTAGAGTCTGAGGAGGACGTTGCAAATTGAGCAATCTCCTACCCATCATATCCCACACGTGCTCAATTGGGGATAAGTCGGGAGATCTTGGTGGCCATGGTAACAATGTGACATCATTATGTTGATTATGTTGAAAGAAGTCTATTGTGACTCTTGCAACATGTGGTCGGGCATTATCTTGTTGGAAAGTTGGATCTGCCAGGGTATCAAGATAGGGTAAAAGATGGGGTTCTAGAACCTCGTGGATATAACGCTGCGCGCGATGAAGATTAAAGGTGACCTGGAACCATAACCTATAGCACCCCAAACCATAACTCCAACAGTGTGGATTCCTCCTTTCACCACGTCGCCTTCTAACCCTGGCATGACCATCGTGCATGCCTAAACAAAATCGAGACTCGTCACTAAAGACAATACTGTTCCATTCCTGATCCCAGAGTGACCGTTGTCTGCACCACTCAAGGCGATTACGTCGGTGTTCTCGAGTTAAAGGGAGGACCCAGTGTGGCCGGTATGAAAACAAGCCAAAACTTCTCATTCGTCGGTAAACACTTCGCATGCCAATAGGTCTTCCGTGTTCTGCAAACCATTCATTTGCAATGGACCTGGTAGTAGAGAAACGGTCCCTTAAGGCCAATAATCTTAGGCGGCGATCTTCACGGTGTGTTGTTCTACGGCGGCGTCCAGTGCCCCTTGCTCTTTGCGTACGGCCTTCTCGAACAACAACACCTAACCACAGTGTCTACACTTCTTTGCACTCTAACTGCAATTGCCCGAAAAGAAAGTCCAGCTTCCCGAAGTCCCACTATACGGCCCCTATCAAACTCACTAAGTTGACGAAATCGTACAGGTCTCCGTACTCTAGGCATCGTAACCGATCGTAAAGGATGTCAAGAACCAAAATCCGCCAACGTTGATTCTTTACTGCGGCTGAAATATTCATTTTTAGAGCGTTAGTGAATTAAAAAAAGGCAGTATAAAAACCGGAATGTCCAACTGATAAGGCTGAAAATTTTTCCACTTGTTATTTACAGTAAGATAAATACATCCACCAACTTTTATTAAAATAAAACCATTTAAACTGGGTGTTCGGATTTATATGTCACTTAGTATAGATTATATAGATATTTCTTATCTAGAATATCTCTGAAATACCTGAATTTTGGAATAATACATCTCAGTCACTTCACAAGGTACTCTGTATGGGTACCCCATTTTAAGTGTTTGTCCAAAACCACGCCTAAGTATTTTATTTTATCGGCTGACTGAATCTCTTTGAGACCACTACTTGTATGAACTTCAAGTTTTTTAAATTGTGGTGAGAGCCTGTCGTTACAAGAAAATGCTATATAGTGTGTTTTGTTGTAATTAATTGTCAAAGTTCTTTCCGAAAAGAAATGTATAAATGTGTTGAAATCATGTTCGATTGTGGTTTTTAGTGTATGCCACTGGTTGCATTCATAGAGAATAGCTGTATCATCCGCAAAACCGATAACTTTACCTGTACTACTTATTTTGAACAAATCGTTGATAAATAGATTAAATAAAATGGGTCCTAATACTGAACCTTGAGGTACACCGCATGATATAATATGGGGTTCACTGAATGTGTTACTAATTTTGACGCACTGTGTTTGATTTGACAAATAATTTTCTATAAGTTTGTATGTTATTCCCCGGAAACCTAAGTTTTCTAAAGTTGTTAAAAGCGATTCATGAGTAATAGAGTCGAATGCCTTTGCCAAGTCAACAAAAACACATGCAGTTGGTTTGCCAATATCGAGATTCGTGTATATTTTACTTGTTAATTTTATAATAGCATCTTGAGCAAATTTGCCTTCTTGAAAACCATATTGCTATTCCGCAATTAAGTTATATTTTTTTGCAAATTCGGTGAATCGTTTTTTTAACACTTTTTCAATTTTAGAAAATTTGTTAAGATGGAAATTGGTCGATAGTTGATGGGTTTTTCTCTTTCTCCAGATTTAAATAAATATGTTGTATATACTGTTGTATTAATATAATATTTAATAGATCTAAAATATTCGTTTGTTTGCAGAAAGTGAACGCCCAAGCTGTTGACGAGTTCGCAGTCCTGGATAAACTTGCAGCAAACAACGTCGCAATTGTCAGGAAGCTGGCCCATGCCGTGTCGACACCAACCTACGACGTTCAGAAGGCCACTACCGTCCCCGTCTCCTTGGACTTCTTGAAGAAACTGCCGAAACTAGTCGCCATCAAATTCTCGCCCATCGCATACGTGCTCAGAGATGACCCTACTGAGGAGATCGTCGCTTTCGCTTTGTCTCTGTTGAACCATCCAAGACAGTGGTTCGCACCATTCCCATGTAAGTATTGGAGTGTTAGGAAATTATCGGTCATAGCTTCCAGTAGGTATAGCCCAAACTTTCATGAAGTTATCAACAAATTATCAACGTTGGGATGGACTCATACAGTGAAAGAGGGACCAAAGGACGGTTCAACAAATCTTGTGAAGAAGATAAAAGATGTGTACCTTCTTACAAAGCTCCACTTTAGAGAACGTACAAACCGAAGTCGAGTCAAAAAACAAATACAGCGTGGCGGATCGAAAACGAAACAGACGCATTTACTGGCAGCTCAGTTTTTTTTGGAAAAACGCTCACTCAGACCCGTCGATTTTGTTTTCGAGGGGGACACAAGTATGGTAAAAAATCACGTTAACACGTGCAGCCCCCTGGGCGGGGGTGACACCACCCCCAAAATCTCAAATGGAAAGGGGGGTCGAGTGATACCGTATTTTAAAGGTGTTTCAATTCCGTTTAAAACGATGTAAAATAAATGAGCTTCAGTTCAGTAGTTTTGAAGATTTATTGATTTAAAGCTTAAAGTAGACTTTTAAAGGTTCATCAGAATAGTTTGTACTACTTTCAGAAGAAATTTGACTAAAAGAATTTACTTAATAAGTAAATGCTTTTCTTCACTACGCCCATGGTTTGTTTATCATTTTGTTGTTGAAAATAGCTATTGGAGCGTTTTTTTGTGGCAAAAAAGTTATTTCTTGAAGAAAGATAAGGGAATATCTAGTACTTATTTTAAATAGGAATTTAGTAGATAGTTTGCGATTGATTTGACCAAACTTTGTTGCTAAAATAACTTGTAACGCTTTATAACATAAATTAACCATGGTATATTCCACAGCAGAAAGAGTAGAAATTATCGAAATATTTTTCGGAAATAATCAGTACGCTACTAGAACAGCAGAAATATTTAATGAACGACATGAGAACAGTAACGTGCATCGAAAATATGTTCTAGAACTTGTAGCTAAATTTCGGGAAACTGGATCAGTCGCCAATAAAAAACGCAACATTGAAAATCCCATAAGGAACGAAGCAATAGAAGTGGGAGTTTTAGGGCAAGTTTATGTAGATCCTACGTTAAGTACCCGCAAATTGGAGACTGTGTGTGGTGTTAGTCCACGTACTGTCCAACGGATTCTAAAGGCCCATAGTTTTCATCCGTATAAAATTGACCTGGTACAAGAACTTAATGAAGACGATTTTGATCGGCGATTACAATTTTGTGAAGATATGAGTGAACGGAGTATAAACGATGAACATTTTCTATTCAACACTTCCTTTTCCGACGAATGTTACTTTTTCTTAAATGGCGTAGTAAATCGTCATAACTGCCGATATTGGTCCGATTCTAATCCCAGAATTTATCATGAGGTTCATACACAGCAGCCACAAAAATTAAATGTTTGGGCTGGTATCTTTGGCGATCATTCAGTTGGTCCTTTTTTCTTACCTGGAAATTTGACCGGTGAAATCTATTTGGAATTACTGGAAGACGCCATGGATCCTGCATTAACAGCCATAATTGAAAACCAGAATGATCGGCGGTACATTGAGAATAGGTTGATGTTCCAACTGGGTGGTGCCCCACCACATTACGCATTACGTATTCGACAATATTTAGATCAGACGTTTCCAGATCGCTGGATTGGTAGAAGAGGAGCCATTGATTGGCCCCCAAGATCGCCAGATTTATCACCTTTGGATTTCTTTATGGGGAGTCATTTAAAAAGCAAAATCTATGCTACTCAGCCAACATCATTAGAAGGCCTGCTACAAAGAATTGCGAATCAGTGCCTTCAAATTACTCCTCAAATATTGCAAAATGTGCGGAAACGTTTTGACAAAAATCTTTATTATTGCATGGAGAGTCATGGTGGCCATTTTCAACATTTACTAGCCTAACGAGTCAGTTCATTCTTCATTTTTAAATTACTTTGCTGCCAAATGTATTGATCTCCACTAATGATGATGTATTAGTTTTATTTAAGCTTTAAATCAATAAATCTTCAAAACTACTGAACTGAAGTACATTAATTTTATATCATTATAAAGGGGGTCCGCAATGGCAAAGACCAGCAAAAAACATCTTTTTTTAATTTCATCTCACATTGTATGTTCTTTCAGTGAACGGTATGATCGTCCAAGGCCAGCACATCTTCACCTTCGACGGAAACCACCTGACCTTCCCAGCCAATTGCAAATACTTGTTTGCCAGGGATGCTGTTAACGGAAACTTCACTTTGGTGGGAACATACGCCAACGGAGAACTCAGCTCGATCTCATTGGCTGATCGTACAGATATCATTACCATCGAAAAGGGAGGAAAAGTTCTTTTGAACGGAGGTAAGTACAGTCAGATCGAAGTAAAAACTAAATTATAGAAACTTTCTGCACTTAATCCTTGGTTTCTTTGCTGCTGTCGATTTGCAACCCGTTACCAAAATAAATTAGAAAAAATTAAAAAAAATTAGTTTGTCTCTAAACTGTTTTATATTTTTTTGATTACTCGGAATCACCATTACTTTCAGATATTTTTTCCAAATATTCGAATCTTGCTCATTTAAATAAACGTAATAAAAGTGCCCGCGGAGAATTTACAAGATACAGATAGGCTTCAAATTTTACCTTTAATCGAATCTAGAAAAATATAGTTACAAAGAAGCTACAGTCAGGACAACAATTTATAAACGGAAAAATCTAACACCTTGATTCTCAAAGACATTCAAGGATTATAAATTATTCTAAGTGACATATAAATCCGAACACGCAATTTAAATGGTTTTATTTTAATAAAAGATGGTGAGTGTATTTATCTTACTGTAAATAACAAGTGAAAAAATTTTCAGCCTTATCAGTTGGACATTCCGGTTTTTATACTGCTTTTTTTTAATTCACTAACGCTCTAAAAATGAATAATTCAGCCGCAGTAAAGAATCAACGTTGGCGGATTTTGGTTCTTGACATCCTTTACGATCGGTTACGATGCCTAGAGTACGGAGACCTGTACGATTTCGTCAACTTAGTGAGTTTGATAGGGGCCGTATAGTGGGACTTCGGGAAGCTGGACTTTCTTTTCGGGCAATTGCAGTTAGAGTGCAAAAATTGTAGACACTGTGGTTAGGTGTTGTCAGGCATGGCTTCCAGAAGGCCGTACGCAAAGAGCAAGGGGCGCCGTAGAACAACAGACCGTGAAGATCGCCGCCTAAGATTATTGGCCTTAAGGGACCGTTTCTCCACTACCAGGTCCATTGCAAATGAATGGTTTGCAGAACACGGAAGACCTATTGGCATGCGAAGTGTTTAACGACGAATGAGAAGTTTTGGCTTGTTTTCATACCGGCCACACTGGGTCCTCCCTTTAACTCGAGAACACCGACGTAATCGCCTTGAGTGGTGCAGACAACGCTCACTCTGGGATCAGGAATGGAATAGTATTGTCTTTAGTGACGAGTCTCGATTTTGTTTAGGCATGCACGATGGTCGTGGCAGGGTTACAAGGCGACGTAGTGAAAGGAGGCATCCACAGTTTTTTGTTGAAAGACATGTTCATCACACTGTTTTAGTTATGGTTTGGGGTGCTATAGCTTATGGTTCCAGGTCACCTTTAATCTTCATCAGAGGTAACATGAACGCGCAGCGTTATATTCACGAAGTTCTAGAACCCCATCTTTTACCCTATCTTGACACCCTGGCAGATCCAACTTTCCAACAAGATAATGCCCGACCACATGTTGCAAGAGTCACAATAGACTTCTTTCATCATAATGATGTCACATTGTTACCATGTCCACCAAGATCTCCCGACTTATCCCCAATTGAGCACGTGTGGGATATGATGGGTAGGAAATTGCTCAATTTGCAACGTCCTCCTCAGACTCTAGAAGCACTTCGAGAGGAGTTGGTGGTTGCCTGGAATGAGATACCACAGGAGGACATTGGCCACCTGATCAGAAGCATGCCTAGGCGCGTTGGAGAATGCGTAGCACATCAGGGTGCATCCACACATTATTAAAGGACAAAGGGCTTTAAAGCAGTGTTTTATACAAAATTTTATTAAAATAAAACCATTTAAACTGGGTGTTCGGATTTATATGTCACTTAGTATAAAAAGAGACTACAATGATAAAAAGTTTATGATATCTGGGAGTGAAAATAATTGGCTAGAATATACAAGATCAAGAAACCAAAGGGTTCTACGAGATGGAAAGTAAAAATAAACATCAAATGACAGTGTTTTTGGACCTCAAAAGGGCATTTGAAACTATTAAGGGATAAATTACCTACAAAATTGCATCACTATGGATCTAAAGGATCTGTATTTTATATTCTAAAAAACTAAGAAAAGCTGCTTAATTGACAGAAGTCGAAAAAGCAATATTGGATCTACATTATTAAGCTAAAAAGATATTTCTGTTGGTATACCACACGGTAGCAAACTAGGTCCTCTACTATTTACTTTATACATTAATGACATTTGTAATATTTGCTAATTTAAATGCTAAATTCTGACTCAGCAAAAATCATAAATTCGTTAGATGTAAATAAACTAAAAATGCATCTAAAACAAAGTATATGCTAGCAGAGCAATGCCTAAATGAAAATACTATCACAATTAGGATAAATAGAGAAATAACTGAAAATGTTGAATCAATCAAATACTTAGGTATTATTATTAGGAAACCGGGTGATAGGCAAAGTCATAACAGCTATCAGAAAAATATTTAAAAAAATTTTATGTATGTGTTTTGAAAATTATAGGTCTTTGAAAAAGATATAGAAATTTCACACCCTACGGCAGTCTGTCAACTCCTGTTACTACAAATATTAACTTTTTTTGGATTTTATTTTTACAATGTAATGATGAATAATGCATCTTCAAACTGGTGTCTCAACCTTACTGCCAACTTTTCTCGTTCAGGAAAAATTGCCACTTATTTCCCAACCAAGTATTCCAAAGTAAAACTTTGCTCAACTTTAACTGGCTTTACTGGAAAAAAATGTACTACGAGAGTTTGGAAATTAACCTTAAAAGTTGGCGCATTTAATAACGATTCCAAAATGGTATAACACTTAGAAGATTACTCGTTAACTTATGCACAATTTTTATTTGAAAAAAACTGATGAAAATTTTTCAAAATTTCTTAATTAAACAGCGATTATGAAAACGCACAAGGACCCTTAAGGATAACTGTTTGCACAACAGTGGGCGTCAAAATGCTGCTGATGATCATTTACCTTTACAGCAAATCCTCAAACTGTTTTCCTTCAGCCGCAATACACGCTCGACATCTTCTTAAAAAAGATCGGGTTATTAAACGAGCGAATCCACGGTTATTAACAAACTCAGCTGCTTCCAATAGTCTTTGCCGCAGCTCAGCTACATTTTGAATTGGCTTGAAATACACCTTTTCTTTTACAGTTCCCCAGTAAAAAAATCTAAAGGATTCAAATCAGGTGATCAGGCTGGCCACGGTATTGTACCAGACCGCCTTATCCATGTGCCTGGAAAGTTTTGATCGAGATACTCTCTCACTGAGAGTGCATAGTCCCACATGTCCCTGTAAATACTTAGTGGCACATCCACCAATAAATTTTGTAGATGATTTTTCAAAAAATCCAAATAAACTTCAGCAGTCAAAGTCTCTGGGAACTCAAACGGACCGATTATTTCACCATTTAAAATTCCTGCCCAAATGTGGATTTGCTACGTGCCACTCGTATAAGTTATGCAGGTCCATGTACCCATCTTTCTTAAATGTGGTCTCATCCGACCATACAATTTTTTCAAAGAACTGTGGATCTTTCCTGTGTCTTTCTAACATTGTGCGACAAAAAGCAACTCGGGGCTCATAATCCCGGGGCAGGAGAGGTTAAACATGCTGTATGTGGTATGGATGAAGCACATCACTTATTTGCTATTGCACACTTTGATACCGATCAGTACTCCTTCGTTTACTGCGCATCTTTACATGTTCGTCCTTGTTGATTTCGTACTGTTACTAATTTTGGATTCGTGAACTGGACTGTTGATCGCTTGTGATTTGGATTTGAACTGTTTAATTGCTCTTCAAAACAACATTTGCTTTCCTTAGACTATCTTTGATAGTGTGATTGTGCAGTGCCGCTATGTCCGTGTACACCATACAAGAATATGCTAACATGCACCTCATTTATGGGGAATGCAGATGCAACGCTAGTGCTGCAGCGAGACTTTTCTGTAAGAGGTACCCGAATGCAGCTCGTCATCCAGATCATCGAGTGTTCACAAATGTGCACCACTTACTGTTCTCAGAGGGCCAACTACCAAACCAATCACACGGTGAGGGAAGATCTTTCCTTCCTTACGAAGACGTGGTGCTAGGAGCTGTCGAAAAAGACCCGAGTACTTCAGTGCGTGCAATAGAACTAAAAACAGGTGTGCCCAAAAGTACAGCCCATAGAATCTTGCAAAAAAGTGTGCTCCATCCATACCACGTACAGCGTGTTCAAGCTCTTCTGCCCCGGGAATATGAGCCCCGAGTTGCTTTTTGTCGCACAATGTTAGAAAGACACAGGGAAGATCCACGGTTCTTTGAAAAAATTTTATGGTCAGATGAGACCACATTTAAGAAAGATGGGTACATGAACCTGCATAACTTACACGAGTGGCACGTAGCAAACCCACATTTGATGAGAGAAGATAAATCTCAATATCGCTTCAAGATAAACCATTGGACAGGAATTTTAAATGGTAAAATAATCGGTCCGTTTGAGTTCCCAGAGACTTTGACTACTGAGGTTTATTTAGATTTTTTGCAAAATCATTTAGAAAATTTATTGGAGGACGTGCCACTGAGTATTTACTGGGACATGTGGTTTCAGCATGATGGCTGCCCAGCGCACTATGCACTCTCAGTGAGAGAGTATCTCGATCAAAACTTTCCAGGCAGATGGATAGGGCGGTCTGGTACAATACCGTGGCCCGGTCACCAGATTTGAATCCGTTAGATTTTTTTTACTGGGGAACTGTAAAAGAAAAAGTGTATTTCAAGCCGATTCAAAATGTAGCTGAGCTACGGCAAAGACTATTGGAAGCAGCTGAGTTTGTTAATAACCGTGGATTCGCTCGTTTAATAACCCGATCTTTTTTAAGAAGATGTCGAGCGTGTATTGCGGCTGAAGGAAAACAGTTTGAGCATTTGCTGTAAAGGTAAATCATCATCAGCAGCATTTTGACGCCCACTGTTATCCTTAAGGGTCCTTGTGCGTTTTCATAATCGCTGTTTAATTAGGAAATTTTGAAAAATTTTCATCAGTTTCTCTTCAAATAAAAATTGTGCATAAGTTAACGAGTAATCTCCTAA